CCAAGCGGCGTTCCCGTGCATCGCGTGCATCCGCGGACTACAGACTATGGACTCCCGACTCCCGATAGACTACGGGTTACGGACTAATGATGCCACTTGCCAGCACCATAACTAGGAGCAGGAGCAGGAGCAGGAACGGGCAGCGGCAAACAAATGCCAGCGACAAAGGCGATGGCAAAGTTTTGGCTTGCCCGCTTTTGGCATTCAGAATGGCGTGTCCTGGTACTGCCAAAAACCACAGAGGATAGCAAATAATAGCAGGAGGAATATATTGAAACTTTAAATACTCTTAAAAAAAATGGGTAAACTAATAATAAGAATCAATTAAAAGACCTATAAACTGTTTAGAAGAAAAAGTTCCTTTAAATGTTTTCTTACATGTTTAATGTTTAAATTTAATAGAAAGAAGCCAACTTTAGGAGAAACAATGCAAACGTATTTAATTACATACATATTTTAAATGATATTAAAACACCAATATCTAAATTGATTGAAGTGTTTGTATAACTTCAAGAAGAGAACACTTTAGAGATGTCTATCCTATGAATTAAGCTTCCAATTATCCATAGAATGGCAAATATCAGAAGAAAATAGGTTCATATTTGTTTTCTATATTATTATTAAGAAATTGTTTGCTCTACAAAACCAAAAATTAAGGTATAGGAAAGTCCGATTTCTATAGGAAACAACACAAATTTATTTAGAGATCAGTTTCCTACTGGTAATATCTTGTACTATTTGTAAATTGTGGTTGTTAAATACAAGATATTATAGTTACCTTGCTTTTTGAATAATTTAAAAAATTGTATTTAAGTTCTTATAAATCTAAATTATCACTTAGAAGGAATCTGAAACAAATGCAATGTAACAATCATCATACCCCCATCGAATGAGTCTCCTCAAAAAAAAAGGACATCACATACTGCGACCGCCTATCTCGTGTCCTTTGTCGAGGCATGTCTTTAGTCATAACTTGCTCTTGTTCTTGGGGCTGTTGTTATTGCTGTGGCTCGTGGTGCTGGTGGTGGGTCATGTGCATGTAATTATTTTAGTAAAAATATGTGAATGCAAATACTGTAGGCCTCATTCACAGTGCAATGTGCATATTTTATGCACTTTTGCTTTTCGCTTGACAGCAAAATTTATTTGACCGACTTATTTTTTGTGTTCCATATTTTTTGGGCCATTTTTTGAGGGACAGGAAACAGGGACGGGGCCTGTGTGTGCTCACACACACAACGAACAGGACAGCGACAACAAAAGCGTTGACAACAGGCAGCGGCGTCGCTCTTGAGAGTTACAGTTATATTTCCGCAGTTTAAACAAAAAAAAGAAACTTTTAATTACATTTTGAGCCACGCACAAAGGCGAAAAATAATCAAATTTCATATGCAAATTGTTGGCAGCACTCGTGGCCCAAAACGGGGCAACTTAATGGCCAACAAATTTCAATCGAAGAAGCTGCAAAGTCTGGCAGAAGGAAAGTGAAAATATTTGCTTAACAATACATATGTATTTTCTTCTTCTCCTTTTTTATTTGTTGGATTTTCCGCATCGCTTTTCTTTTACCATGGCACAATTCTTAAAGGACACTACGAAAAAATATTGTCAAAGGAAACTTTCTTTTGGACTTTGAAAAATATTTTAATCAGAGATTGATCATTATTTCAGCAGTTTTTTTTACTGAATTTTGACATAATAAATACGAAAGAGCATGTTACCTATATCCAAATTGAATATAAGGTTTTCGAATAAAATTTTAAATAATTATAGAAGATTTATCTTATGACTCCCACGATCCACAAACATAACTGACTTAAGGAGTAAATTTTATGAATTTTATAAAATGTAGATCCCTTTTATTGGTGAAGAAGAATACTTTTAAAATACTAAATAGGAAATATTTTACAATATTTATTACTTATTTATTTAGTAATTTATTTAATTTATATATTATATCAGCCGCATCAACTATAAAAATATTTTGTAATATTTTTAAAAGTGCAAAGGAGCACAGCTGCAAAAACGTCAAGACTGCCACATGGCTAATGATAATTATCAAGCTAACACACTCGCACACACTCTCCCACGATAATAAATATTTGAAAATATTTCTGCGTAATTTTATTTTCCAATTTCAAGGCAAATGTGTGAACAGTTGCGTTTTGTGTGCCGCATTTTCGGTGGGTCGAAGTCCTTATGTAACTTTCCCAGCCGTACTTTCGCGCCTTTTGCAACTTTTGCGTTTTCATTATTTTATTTAATTAGGTAAATGTATGCAAAGGCACCCATCCCTTGCATATGTGTGTGTGAGCACACACCCGCAAGGAGCACACACACACACACACACACACAGCGCAACATGTGCTTCGGTAATTACAATTACTTTTAATAATGTTGCCAGCCCCTAAATGGGCTAAAGGATTTAGCTTTAGGTTCAGCATTAGATTTTAGCCGAGCTCCTTTTCTCAAGAAGCTAAGCAGGCAAATTAACTTGGCGGCCTTATGAAAATTTAAATGGATTAAACTTGGGGGAATCAGGAAATCACATGAATAGCCAAGAATAGAGTCGCTTTTCATATTAAACATGGAAAAAAGCCTTTTTTATTCCTTTTGCAGGGTATTATAATTTCAGTCAGAAGCCTAAAACCCAGTGAAGGAATCATTTCCGACCCTATAAATCATATATATTCTTGATCAGCATCAACAGAGGAATTTTTCTAGGCATGTGAGAACAAAACAATTTTTTGTCAATTTTTTTTCACAATTTTATAAGGTGTTTTTACATTGTTAACATATTCAAAAACTGACAAAAATTTAACTTTTTTAAAATTTTAATTTAGATATGCAAATTGTTTAACCTATTAAAAACTAACACAGAACAGCTTTCCGAATCAAAATTAATGCATTTTTGGCTTAGTTCTGAGTTTTTGAAGTTTGTGGGTAGTACAAAAATCGTCATAAAATATATATATAGATAATTATCGATCCAAAGAATGAGAATATTTATACCCTTGCATGGTATTATACATTTTAATATATATTAATACTAGTAATAGAAATATATAGTTAAATAGGGCTTAAGGTATATCATAATATAAATAATGTTTCATAAAGTCAAATATCAAAATGTACAACCACAAGAGAGGATCGTATCTCTTAAGTTGCTCTCTCGCTCTTAAGTTTAACTCTGTTGGGGCGCGCTAAACAAAGTTCACCCGCCAAACCCGCGCAAATCAAGGGTTAAAGCAAAAAGGTTAAAATATTGTTCTTTCACTCACCCCTTCACATTGCATACTGCTGCAGATCCCCAACGGCGAATTATTAGGCGCAAGCGCACACACACACGCGCACAAAAAGAAGTAAACAAACCTCCTCATTTTGAGAGGTATTGGTACAAAGTTACAGAGTTTATTTAACCACTTCGAAACGGCAGTGTCTTTTTACATTAGTTGCACTTGCACATAAAAAAAACCAAAAAAATAAGCCAAGAAAAACGCACAAATCTGTGCTACGCACATACATAAACGCTCACGCACACGAAAAAAACACACGACAGCCTGCCGGCTGCCCGCACTTTGTTTACACTTTTCACTGTGAGGGATCGCATATTTCCCGCACTTTTCACACTTGCCCCTGGGCTTTCCGCGGTAATTTTCTTGCACTTTCCACCGCTGCAATGTTTTTTCGCACAGAGATTTGTTCTTTTTCGTGTATTTTTATTGCCTCCTCCGGCAGCGTGGGAGTTGGGGCCTGGCCGATACATCGATCTATCGATGTTCCGGAAAGAGAGTAAACATCGATACGATCGATTCACGATAAGTTCGATGTTTTTCAAAGCTTAAGTGGGAGCAGACTGAAAGCTAAACTGACGGCTGAGCTTATAAGCTAGCGTATACGCGCAGAGCTTTTGAAAAAATCAAACATGGCTGTTCGATCAAACCGAGGGAAGCGCCCTCATACAAGTAGTGCGTTTGTTTCCGGAAGCGGATATGCAGGGGCCTTACAGTCACAGTTTTACATTCATTTTTGGTGACTTTTAAGGATTGTTTGTATGGAAGCTAAATGAAATAGTCGCCTGATTTTTATAAAATAAAAATCGAAATTCTAGAAAAATACAATATGTCTATATTTTAAATTAAAAGAAAATACGTCAATAAATGGAAGAGCTATATTTTTTTATTCTACAAATTTTTAGATCGTTCCTATGGCAGCTTTAACAAGGTAACGTTTTCCATTATTTCTTAAACTTAAAAAATCCTGACAAATTGGGAATTAATTTATAATTTAAAAAATTCAATATAAATATTTTAAATATTTTTTTGTGAGTATATATTTCTTTTGAGTATGCAACTTGAATTTAACCATTCTAGTAATTCGCCTTTTCTTACATATAGAATAAAAAATATTTTACTTAAGTGGAAAAGGTTAAAAACAAATGTTTTTATAAACATATGAGGTTATGGATATGTGTTTAAATAATACGAAAGCAACATGCAATAAAAACAAAAATCAATAAAAAAATCCCACCACAGTTTTATGACAATAGTTTCAAGATAATACTGTTATACAACATGTACAGTTTTAGCCGCAGGTGAAAATTGAGCATGCAAATAGTTTGAGAGCAACAGGACTTTGCTAACATTTACAGTATAACAGAAATATATTTTACATAAACATTTTACGCGGTCAATTTAAATTCTTCCCTTTGCTGTTTAAAAATTTAACAATTAAAGAGAAGGAAAATTAAAAGCTGTTAATTCTTAACTACTAACACATCTTCTAAATTATATTAATATAATAATATTGCAAAATAGTGGTGAAACGCTGTAAAACCAACCAAGTTTCAATTTTCATTTCAAATTAAATAGCTTTACGCTGCAGTTAAGGGACACCGCTAAGAGATTTTTAGCAATAAAAAACTCGTTAAAATTATATTTTGTAATACTTTTTGCATGTTTATTAATATTTTTATTGATTTTGTATTTTTATACATTTTTTTTGTTGGGTTTTGTTTTCGGTTTAATACATAATATATATACTCCCCGCATATCCATTTGGTGATACAAGTTCTCCCGCAACTCTATAATATGTGTTTCTTCCGCTCGTAGATAATACAATAGTGTAGTTTAGCTATACAATTAAGGATAGAAAAGAGTGCTTGACTTAGGCTTATGAGTTACAAATTAAATGATGTCTCCCAGCAGTTGGATAACCAATTAAAGTTAAGTCATACAGACTGATTAAATAGTTACAAATGAAGGGGAGGAGTTAGATTAAAAGTAAGTGTAGGCTGTTAACATATATATATCGTACAATTTGAAATCACCTTGAGCTGTCGGGCTCAACAGCATAAGCTCGTTACAAATAAGAAATAAAGAGAGTTCCAGCTTAAAAAGCAATTTGGGGATTTTCTTGAGCTTGCGACAGAACAAAAATTAAAAATCAAAGACTGCAAAGTAAACACACCAGTTGCTGCTGCTGCTGCTGCTGTGATGCATCAAAGGCCATAGGTATGTGGAAAATTCATTTCCAGATCAGCGAGAGAGAGCATGGAAAAAGCAAAACAAAAAGTATTTATTCTAATGCACCCGGGGGCTTAGACATTGCCTAATATCGATTGGATCCGCTCTTGAGCTCTTCAATTATTGTATCTGGGCTTAGCTTTTCCTGCTTGGTATGCTTTAAGTAATCTGTGTAGTATGTTAGCTCGATCGAGTATTGACTGTATGCCATCTAGCATAGGGTATAGAAAATATTTTATACACTTTTTGTATCAGTTTCTTGTGGGGTTTCGGGTAGCAGCAAAGCATCTACGCATTTATATATATGTGTTGTATGTGTATATGTACATCAAAATATTTGTTATTTAATTTACGCGTACTTGGCATATGTTTTAGATTTCATTATGTATATACTTGGTAAAAAAGAGAAAATTTAGCTACTTCTCGCACTTTGTCTGCTCTACCGCAAATGAGGACAATGAAATCAATCAATCAAAAAGGATACCAGCACACACATCTCGCTATCAGTTCTCGCTCCCTGCTGATCCCTGCTGATCTCTGCTCTCCCATCTAAATATCACTTTCCGGGCCAAACAGTAACTAAGCAATCGAGCCGCACACAAAGCCTTAGTCTAGAATTTTACAATGTTGCATTGTTTGTTTTGTTGAATATGTTCTCTTGTATGTTGGTTTTTTTTCGGGGTTTTTGCTGCTAATCGCCGTCTGTCGTCTGCCGTTGACTAATTGGGATGACGCTTGGACGCTTGGACTCGTGTGGACGCTCAACGCACTCTCGAGGTGGGTCTGCAATAGATTAATTATTAGTTGCATGGTTCTAACTTCTTAAAAACTCAACTTACCTGGGCGATTGGGCAACACCTTGACGCTTGGGCGTATTTGGCGCCGTAACCGCCACTCGATTGGTTGGGGTACGCGCCCTTCCCGACGCCGGTGTGGCAGATGTGGGTGTAGTTGCTCCGGCCAGACTATAACGCTTCGGTTGCACCATCCTGCTGGGCGATCGGGTGCTGATCTTGGCTCCACTGGCTGCTTCCTGGGCACTGGTGAGTCTGTGTGGGCGGGGGGAGGAAACAAGAGCGGGTTTGTTGTGGCTTTTAGTGACAGTCTTGGGTGTGTTGGCAGCGGCACGAGCCGGCGAGGGTGTGCTCATGACGGGAATAGTTCGTGTGGAGGTGGGCGTGGTACTCCTAATCAGGGAATCCCAGGAACAAAATCAATGCAACATCATGCAAAATAATAAGAGGTACACCAAAAACGAAAAGAAATCAAATTTTGGTAAAGAAAATACAATTCCAAACAAATAATTTCGAATATTTTAATAGAATTACAGAATATATAAATACTGACCTGCCCGCTGGGTAGCTCACTGGTCGTGGTATCCTCGACCTGGGCGCCGAATTGGAGCCCGTCGAGTTGGCCGAGGTGGGCGTGGAGCCGCCGCTCTTGGTGGCCGCCTCGCTGGCCAGCTCCTTGAGCATGCTAGAGTCCTTGCTCATCAGCTCCCACTGGATCTGCAGACGCTTAAAGCGATTGCTCTCGATCTTGCGCTGCTCCATCACGTCCAGCGTTTCGCGTCGCTGCAGTGCCGCCACGGAAATGTTGGGGGAATTGGGTGGCGTGGCAAAGCGCTGAGCATGCTGCGGCTGCAGGCCGGCAGCAGCACCCTCGTCGTTAAAGGACACCTTCTTCTGCTGGCTAAGCACCCGGCTAACCTCCTTTTTGAGAGCGGCAGCATCGTAGGTCACCTGTTCGCCGGAAGACTCCAGGATGGCCGCAATCTCTGCGTAATGCTTCAGTTCGGAACGCGGCAGCGAGGCCAGGAAGTTCTCGGCACGAGCTCTGGCATCGAGATCCTTGCGGGATAGCCGCTGCTTCACCGGCTGCACCTGTGGACTGTGCTCCTCCTCCTCGAAGACGTCGGCCAGCTCATCGTTGGAGCCCATCGCATAGTTATGCGGCGGCTCCTGCAGACTGCGTCGCTTCTCCAGCTTGGTCAGCTTTTGCGTCTGCTGTGCCTCAATCATGGAATTGCGCTTAGAGCGAGCCTGTGCCGAGTGTGCCTTGCGCAGAATACTTCTGGGCATGGGCTGCGGCGGTGTCTGAGTCGGCTGATTGCCCGGACTCGTCTCCACGCCCGAGTCCATGCGCTGCTGGTCGTATTGATACACATACATCTGCTTCAGCGGATCCGTATCCAACTCGGAGTCGGTGAGCAGCGTGGACGAGCCGCGGTAGCCGGAACTGGGCTGCTGACTGGATCCCGAACTGGAGGCCTCGTCCATCTGCGTCTGGCTCTGGAAGTACTTGGCGCAGTCGCAAATGTGCGAACGATTCCGCCGAATGGGCGGCGACATACAGAAGAGCGGACGCTGCGAGAGCTCCGAGTCCAACTGCCGCACCAGATGCTTCACCTCTGGAATGTGCTGCAACCGCCGGCGATATTCCGTCGGCAGCAAGGTGGCCAGTGACTGCCAGTCCGAGACATGCTTATAGTCCAACGTCTTCAGGATCTCATCCTCACTCGCACTCTGGCTGCTGCTGCGCTGCTGCTTCTTCAGGGAACCTGAGCTGCCGCCGGCACTGCCCGCCGCTCCGTCCAGCGTCATCTTGTAGTTAAAGGGCGAGAAGATCACATCCGTGCTGGCATTGGTCTTCACGAATCCGAGATCGGGCAACGCATAGTTTGGATAGATGACGTAAATGGGCGCCTGCCGCTCCTCACCCAGATTGTTGAGCTTCTCGAGGAACGAGGGCGGCACACAGCGATACCGCTCACTCAGGCTGCTCCTGGTGGTGCTCAGAGATCCGCAGGAGGTCTGCATGGAGCGCGTGATCATCTCGGAGCTGGAGGCACAGGACAGGGGACGCGTGCTCGGCCCGCATCCCGCATCCGAGCGCCTTGGCACCTGAGTTAACTGCTCCGAACTCGCCTCCGAGGACATTTGGCTGCCTGTGGAAACCTGAGCTGCCAGCTGATAGAGCTGGGGATTCCTCAGCGGCATACTGCGGCGACGATGCGCCGGTGAGTTGGTCGCTGTGAGTGATCCCGTGGAGCTTGAGGTGGCCACATCGTCATAGAACACGGCCTCCGAACGGCTTCTTAACTGGCGTCGCGGAGTCTCCGGTTCCGGGTAGTGATGCTCCTCCTCGTCGTGGCGACTCACTGCCGAACCCTTGCCCGAGTCGTTCATGCTCTTCTTGCGCAAACGCTGCTCCAGGGAACCGCTGCTTGAGCTCGCGGCATCGCTCGATGGCCAGCAGCCGGAGGAGACGTCCATGCAGGTGTGGGCACTTGCCTGGACGGCCAAATCCTCCTGGCCGCCGCTGCTGTTGGTGCTCTTCTGTTTGATGAACAACTTGACTAGATTGAAAGCCGGCGGATTGGAGGAATTGCCCGAGGAGGCTGAGCCGGAGATGTGCAAGTTTTGGCTCTCCTGGGAGCAACTGCAGCGGTGCTTGTGGCGATGATGATGCGAGTGGTGCTGCTGCTGATGCTGTGACTGCTGGTGCTGGGATGTGGGTGTGATCTGCTGGTTGGGCAGGATCTGTTGTTGTTGGTCAGCCTGATGCTGCAGTCGCTCCGAAACGGACACACTAATGGAAATGGGCATCTGGCACATGGGCAGCAGGTTACGAGATCTAGACTTGCACGACTCCATGGTGGAAGTGCTAATCGCTTGGGAAACATTCAGGGGAGCTGCCTGCTGGCCACTCTCCTCCGTCTGGTGGTGCTGCTGCTGCTCCTTCAAGCAACTGCCGGTCATTGATTCCTCGCTCTGTAGATTCGGTAGGCTGTTGCTCTTCCGCACCGTGCACTGTGGTAGGTGCCGGGTGATCGTGATGGTCTCGGTGTTGTTGTTCCCGGAGGGATACCTGCGGGCGGGCGAAACAAGGAATAACGAGCGTCTTTACCACAAGAGACACGTCAAGCGTTTGGGATTACAATTTTGTTGGCGGAAGGAATTTTTCAATTTGGTTTTTTCTTAGGTAGGAAGCATTGCGGGTTTTCGGATTGGTTGCTGCCTTTACCTGCTGGCGTCTGCATTGGGTTTATTTGCATAATATTTCGGGTTTCCTCGCGTCCTCGCTAATCGGTTTGTGAATGAGTTTTGCTTGGGCTAAACCCATAATTGGTTTTCTTTACGGATTAACTTGCCTGAACACAAAACCGACCCACTTTTCCGGCCCGCAACGTTAAGCCCTTGAAGGTTGGCATATGCCGGCGTGGAATATACAGCAAAAAGTCCCAGTTCCAAGTTGAAATTCCCCCCCATACGTTAATACTCAGCTGGCAAGCAAATGGAACTAAATTGAATTCAATTGAAATGACCCCACGCGGCTGCAATGAGAGCGGACTGCAAGGAAAGGGGGAGGCAGAATCTACAGCATCCGCTGCCAGAAGCGGGACAATCTTTCTATCTTTTAGTTATCTCATCATATAAACTCTTAGATAATTAATACAAGTTGCGTCTGTCTTCTATCAAACTTTACATTCATCTTTCACCTTACTGAAATCGTATTGAAAATCGTTTTCATACATCTTTCTGATGTTTAAAGAAACCCCTTCTTCCTGGCAGCAACCAATCCTTAGGTTTTTGTGCGAATCTTGTGCGGCTTGTGTAGGTGGAAATGTGAATCTAAACCAACCTCTGTAGCTTGGCAGCTGCGGCTATAGCTGCCTGTCCTTTGGGCGACATGGGGCAGAGTGGTTGGAAGGCCTGGGCTGATCGCGACATGGATACCTCCAGGGCCTTGTTGCGCTTCACAATGTCATCCAGATTGCTGTGCAAGTTAATGCAGTTCTGTTTATTCCTGGCTGCAATTTCACTAGGTTCCGCTGTAAGATCAATTTAACAATTTTTAATACATTATTTCCCAGTAAAAAACACTATATACTAACCGTAGAAACTGTCGTCTGAGTAGAGGACACTGCCCTCGAAGGCTATGGTGTAGTTGTCCTTATTGCAGGTGAGTATGATCTCCCCATCGTCCGGATAGGCATCCATGTCCAGCGAATCCACCGAGATGTGCGACTCCCGCACCGGCGAGAAAAGCAACTCCGACTTGCAGAAGGAGTTGTCGATCAGTTCGTTGGTGGAGGTGGTCGACGTCTGGGACATGTTGTGCGGCATCATGTTGCTGTGGTGCAACAACTGTTGCTGCTGCAACTGATGCTGCTGCTGTTGCTGTTGTTGCTGCTGCTGCTGGAGGAGCAACGACTGCTGCAGACGACTATTGGCTCCACCCAGGCTCTTGCAGTAGGCAGGCAGCTGCGAGAGCAGGGAATGTATATCCTCGGCCCGGAAACTCTCCATATCCACCTCGGCCAGGTTGGCGTCCAAGTTCTTGGCTAGATCCTCGTAGTAGATGAGATCACCCATGGCATTGTACGAGGCCGAGAGGGAGCTTAGCACGCTGCGCTGCATCCCGCCACAGCCATCTCGATAGCCGTAGTCCAGGAACCACTGGTAATCGGAATTGTCGTGAGTAAAGTCGTGCGACGAGGCCAGCGAACAGTTGAGATTGTTGACGCCACCGCCACCGCCACCGCCATTAGTAGTATCCCGCATCCCGCCACCACCACAAAGCATCCTAGCATCACCTACCCCAAGTTGCTGCTGCTGTTGCTGTTCGCTGCTGCTGCGACCTCCTGGCGTGGTGGCATTGCTGTTGTAATCCGATTCCGGTGTGGCTGCCATCTTGCCCAGCACAAAGTTATTGTTGCCCTGGAGCTTCCTATTACCCACCAGATCCTCCTCGTTGCTGTTGTTGTCGCAGTAGAGCAGGCTGCCCGTTTCTTCGCCAAGGAAGAGGCTGCCCGACTGACTGCTGGGACTGATGAGGCTGCTCACCTGCTCATTCAGTATAATGCTTCGCAAGGCGTTATTGTAGCGATCCAAGTTGCTCAGCACAATGGCCACATTCTGCTTGAGGCTCTCCTCGCTCAGTTCCTCGCCGGCGGCGTCCTCCTCCGCATCGCTGCCCAGCGATTGCAGTTGCTGCTGCTGGCACTGCTGCAGATGTTGCTGCTGCAGCAGGCGATCGGTCAGCTGTTGCTGCTGATACCGCTTCCCAATCGTCGTCGTTGCCGTCGTCTGCGCCGTGTTGCCGAACGGTCCGTTGCTGGGACTGTTCAGGGGATTCCGGTAGCTGAGCGGGGTATGTGGCAACGAACCCGATCCCGATCCGGATAGAATGTGGCCAGCCGTTGTGTTGCCGTTGTTGTGTTGTAACTGGCTAAAGGGCAGGGTCTGCTGGAACTGATGTGGTCTTTGCTGCTGATGATGATGGTGATGATGTTGATGATGTTGCTGTTGGGCCAAGCGCTGAAGCAGATGGGGATGTGAGTTGGGATTGGTTAGGGCAAATGACTGCTGGTGGATGGGTGAGTTCTGGAGCGGTTTCTGCTGAGATGCGGTGAAATGCGGTTTGCTGTGATCGTTGTTTGTTGAGAATTCTGTCATGCCACGTCGAAGTTTGGGTCCTGAAAAAGTTAAAAAGAGCATTTAAAGTTAGATAAAATTATAAAAGAAAGTTTTATCAATTACTGTTCTAATTAATCAGGTGATTACAATCTTCTCTACTGTTTAACGACTTAGTTCACTGATTAAAATACCTTATCGATAATCCCTGCCAGTCTCTTCCCTTCCACAATGTTAATTGGCTAATCAGCGTTGACACTGAACTTGGCTCAATTAAGATGCCAGCGGAAGCATCCAAGTGAAACTAACTCCAGCTAATGATCTATCCCCATTTCCATTTGCACTCTCCACCGGGCGGCACTTTCCCCCCGTAATGGACATTAGCGTGCCACACATTTTGGAGCCGTAAAACCTGACAGGGGAGGTTGACTGGCGTGTTTCAATTAATTTTTACGACACCCCAGCCCTGGTCTAGCAAATCAGAATGACACTGCTCGCTATCTTTGGTGTCTTTTCGATGTCAGAACGTAAAAGTTGTAAAAATTATTTTTATACGTTTGAGAGATTTTTACGAGACAACACCTAGGATCGTGCCAGGCATCGCCCAAAAAAAAGAAAAGTTCAATTGGAAAATGTGACATTTTCCTCAACATGCAACGCCTGTCTGCCAGCCAGCGGCAATTAAAGGTTAAACTTGATGGTATTGCATGTCTCAGGGCGGTAATTCAACGTTTAGTTATACCGCATTGCCATCGATTGCAGTTTTCCAGTTTTCCTCATTCCTTATGCAACTCAATATCGCATCGGGATCGAGGACGGAATTTAAATTTAAAATGAGACCCAAAGCTATAAACAAAAGAAGTTGGGAGTCTAAAAAGGGGGAGAAAGGCAAACCTCCCAGCAAGTGCAGACGCAAGGGATTATATATCTGTTTTTCAAAAGATTTTCCAAAAGATTTTCCACTACCCCGATGACAGAGGGAACGACAAGTGGCAAAGCTACAGCACATGGCTTTCCCTCTGTCCCCCATCTCCAGCTATCTTTCATCCTCACACTCTCCTCTAGAAAATACAAAAATATGAAATGGAAAGTCATTTCATATTTGGGCCAGCGCAAGATTACAGACAAATGAAATGATTTTAATGCATTTTGTGTGTAGCTGTGGATGCATGTATGTAGCTTCTCATGCCGGGAGGGTTGGGCATCGGATCAATGGCCCTGCCCAGTGCCAAGTCGGCCTCTCTGGAGCTCAATTAAAGTTAATTGAAATTACAAAAAGCCCGTCTCGAGATAAAGCTGAAGAGGCTGCGTCTCAAGGCAGAGACGAGAAAAAGAAACAATGCTGACGATGCTTTTTGGCGAGGACAAATATTTAAAGCTAAACCCAGACTAAGTTGATTTTAGCTAAAAAAAAAATATTTAATTTTTTTTTATTGGCATAACTAAAGCAGAATCTGAAAAATCAATCACCTTATTTCTTTGATTGATATTTAATATATGAAAATATTGATTGATAATTATTTTCTGCAAATGAAATCTATATTTAAGACCTGCTCTGCTCATTAAATTATTTCTTATAGATGTGTTCAAATTTAATATGATTAATTGTTCAATCAATAACTCTTATTACTTATAGTTTTAATGATAATTAAAATATATATGACTTCTATAATAAGGTATTGCTTAAGTATCCTTTTTTTTGTTAGTAGTTAGAAGCATTTAGTTAAAGAATAAGTCATGATCATCTTAAAAAAATCGTTAATCAATTAGAATATATCTCATGGTGTGGGAAAATCTGGGCATATTAAAAGATTGGTTTCGGTTTTGGAACCCATTAAAATTAAGTATTTCTTAACATTTTAAACTAAACAACTTAGCGCACCTTGACCGACAAAATTTCCATTGTTTTGTTGGTTAATGTTGTGATTCCAATTGTTGTTGTTGATGTTGTTTAAATTGTTATTCAAATTGTTAAGATTATTGTTGTTGTTCAAATAATCATTGTCATTGTTGCTGTTGCTGTTCTGGTCCACATATCGCTGCTGCTGCTGTTGTTGCAGCAAACGTTGTTGCCGCAAATACTGTTGATTGCAGGTGAGACCCGCGGATGTTGTTGTTGTTGCAGTTGCTTTGGATGTTGCTGATGGCACACCCTGTTCCCGCAACTGCTGTTGCAGGCGACGCCGCTGCATCAATTGCTGCTGCAGAAGCTGCAACTGCTGCTGCTGCATGCGCTGATAGAAGCGTATCTGCTCGAGTTGCTGCGGCGTCACACCAATGTTGCTGTAGCGCTGGCGATGTTGCTGCTGCGGCACATAGTAGTTCTCCTTGGAGGAGCTGTTGCTGTCACAGCCGCTGCTGGTGCTGCTGCTGTTGCTGGTTGTTGCAGCAGTGGCAACATTTTGCCAGCATGCCGTGTTGCTGTTGCCGTTGCCGCTGCCGTTGTGCGGACAATCGATGCCGGCCCTGGAGCAGGCGGCACAGCGCTTGGAAATGTCTACGAATCGCATGATGAAGGCGAGCAGCAGCAACAACATCTAGTTGCACGGACTGATGCTGCCGTTTTTCTGGTTATTTTTGGCCAATCTGCTGCGGACCAACGCTGCGATGTTGCCAAGTTCTGAGAGTGTCTCCGCTTTATTTTTAGTGTTTTTTTTCTTTTGATATATATATATATATATTTGTTGTTTTTTTTTTTAAGGGTTCAACTCCATTGATTGGTTGCACATTTTGTTTGGATTTCCTCGGCTTCGATTTTGTTTTCTACGCTGCACTTTTCATTTTGATTTCTTCGTAGTTTTTCCCGCTATTTATAAATGTTGTTTTGCTCGATGCGTAAGTTTTCTCTCTCTATACGACAAGTTATATATATAAACTGAGTGTGTGTTCCATACACTGTACAGCCACAAAAAGTTTTTGAATTTTGTGTCTGAATGTTGATACGAGAAGCATATAAAAATAATTTACGAGTTTTCTGCAGTCGGCCGCGAGACTTTTATGATTTTTGGTAAAACTTTAACGCGGAGTTTCTACGAAATTGTGCCTAAAATTAACCCAAGACACAATAACAATGGCATATAAACAAAAACTACTGCAGTTCTACAAGGAGAATGTAGCCACGAATTTTGGAGGTCTTACCTCGAAATGCAATTCCCTTTTGCCCAGTTAATGGCAACAGTCAGAGCTCGTTAGCAAAGGCGTTTAGACCGTTAGGAAAGTAATTTATGCGCAAACATTTCCGGCCAAACTTAGAGCTCCAAATAAGCAACGGAAATGGCCCGTCCTTCCCAAAACAGGACTTTCGCCTTGGAGCCAAATCGAAATTACCGGGCCAAATGGCTATAAAGGTGTCTAAATTTAAATCGCTGGCCGAAAGAAAAACCATAGCCAAGTTCATTATTAACTTGACAGCCAAACAACAGCGGGCATGTGTCATAATGTTTGCTATTGAAATCTATCTAGAGCGCATATGAGAGCTTGCCAAAAAACCAAAATAATAATAAAAGATGGGAGGGGAAAAAATTCTTAAATCGGCCAGGTGCTTGTGGCATAATGAGATTATTATTTAGTATATCTCGCATATTTGATGCCTGACATCAGCGAACGAGATAATGCTTTTATCTGTCTGCGAAATGCAACCAGAAAATAACACTTGCAGTTGTCTTGGACACGCCCAACGATTGCTCCAAAATTGTTACTTGTTTTGGGTACACTGGGAGAAGTCTTGAAGGAAAAACTAATCATTTTCAAAATTAACTTACGAAATTTCTTAGTAACGATTGCTTTTATGTTTGGCATAAAAAGAGACTAGTAAACAGTTTACTGCTCTTTAAGATTATAATTGAATGATCGAATTTTTAAAGAACTAAACCCTATAAAAGTTAAGTTCGGACCTTAAAAAAGTTTGAAAATACTTTAGATCTTTACTGGGAAATCTATATTTAACTAATTTAGATTATATTCACATTAAATGCATGTAAAAACGTAGCTTCTTCTATATACCTTTAGTTTAAGGTAAAGGATTTTCCCTGGTGTACGTTTTCCAGACAAAGGAGCACAAAATGGCTGCCACCCACTGGGGAGGAAAATGCGCATTGCTTGCAAAAAAATATATATATAAAAAAAGGCGAAGGAAAAACCCTACAGGACTGTGAGGCTAATATCGAGAAAGGGAAAGTCAGAGTAGAACGGGTCGAGTGCCACCGTGGAGTGCTCAGGCGCACCAAGGACCTGCTCGGGGAAAATGCCAAAGCGGCTTCCCACCACATCTGGCAGCTGGCCAGAAAAATAAGAACCCAGAAGGAGTGCTCTCGAATCGAAGCATTTAGCATATAGCATATAGCATTTAAACAGCGGCAACTTGTACGTGGGCCACGCTCCAGCTGCCTTGTATTTGCCATCAGCCATGAAGTTCTTGCAATCATAAACAGAAGAAAAGCGGCGAGAAGAAAAGCCAATGCGAACGCACTGTGAAAATGGCAAGTTGTGCAAGAAATTGCAGATGCGTTTCGATTTTGCACGCAACTCATTTGGATTTCTCTTTGCACCTTTTGGCAAAAATAAACAGCGCATGAGATGATGCGATGCCAAAGAACAAGTACAGTACAGTCTTGCCAAGATGCAGCAAAGGTGTGCACTGTACGTGAGTACAGGTTCAATCACATTGTGAACTTTTCAAGGGGAGAGTACTTCCAACTCCAATCCTCCAACCTCCTCCCCAAAAGGAGAAACTATTTTCTTTCTAAAGAATAAAAACACATTTTGGCTCAGTTCAATGTACTTGTTGGCCTACATTGCCAGCGGAAAAACTCCATGCCCGCCAATTAAATGAGCCAGCGAAGCCCCAGCAAAATGTATCCACAAGATGCAACTGAATTTGCAGTGGCAGTTTTTCAGATACAATGTGTTTCTTTGCTGTGGCGATAGTGTAATTACGAAATCATCCAACGCATGTGTGTTCCTATCGATGCGGAAGTATTTTCGGTTTAGCGAAAGGTCAAAGCTATTTGCAGATTGAGATGCCGATGCAAAGATACAGATACAGGTTCGTAGAGAGCTGACACTGACAGGTGACAGTAGCAGTTGCTTATCAGCCTGTCGAACGCTCCGATTTGGCATAAATAAACTCTTTTGGCATAACTAAGTATTTTCGCGTGATAAGATAAGGTAGCCAGGTACTAATGCAGGCGACAGGTGATCTCATTGCGACTGCAGAAAACTCATAAATGTTTGTTACTTTACCACGAAACGATGGCGTATTAGATAATCCCATAGAATTTATAAAAGAGAACTTTCTCAAGTTTCTTTGTTCGTATCAGACAAAAACACACACACACTTTTCGGCAGATGCACTTAAGTATCTTTGTTACTTTTGTATCTTTTAGATAATTGAATGAGCCTGGGGCCCACGCACAATTAAAGCTCTTTTCGGTGATTTCACTTTGATTGGCACAGAGTATATACGATAGACGAACGCGTAAACAAATCGGTCGAAATGCGAAACGAAAAAAATACAAAAATTATATAGGGGGAAATATTATCAAGGCTTTCACTGGCGACACGCTCCGCACATTTTCACAGTTGCACCAGCCCAAGGAGACGACTGACTGAAACTGAAAATATATTCGTTTGGCGAGCGAACCGAGGCGACGGCTACAAAGCGACCACCTCGCTCCCTGCTTTGCCACCGAGTGTCCCGAGTGTGTGTGCGAGTGTGCGAGTGTATCTGTGAGAGGGCGCCTCCCAGAGTATCTTCGGGGTGTATCTCAGTGGCGTGGCGAAGAATGAAAAGCGCCCGAAAACGCACGAAGTATCGCACGGAACATTATACAATGTGCTGCAGCGGCGGAGAGCCTCAGCTAACCCCAAAAATAAAAAGAGATGAAAAGGGAAAATGTGAAAATGTGAAAACGAGAGCGGACAGCGACAAACTTCACGGATACGGATACGGGCGCAATCTGCGTCGCGAGCGGCAAGTGCAATCCGTTGGATGCCATCCAGACGGACGCCGATTACTCATGCAGGACACACAAGGATACGCAGGGATTTGCACCAAACAAAAGAGGAAAGTTTTCAGTTTTTTTAGATATTATTTAAGTAAGTGAACGTATTATGGTTGTATGAAGTTAATTTACTCATTAATTAACTAATTGGTAATACTGAAATATATCATTGTATACTTTTATGAGCTTTTGATATTTTTTTTAAATCCTTAATGACTGATTTGTATATCAAATCATAGTTAATAATATTTATCACAGTATAAAATGTATATTGTTTGATTAATAATAAAATATATCTACAGTTCTCCTAAGAAAATATCATTACGGATACACTAAATTGATAAAGATACGACTAATGTATTATACATACTATACTGTACAATATAAGTCGTATTTTTCTTTACGTACTTTACATTATAAGTCGTATCTTTATTAATTGAATCAAAGTTTAAATAATAGCAAAAAAGTTCCTTAAATAAATAGTAAAAGATAGTATTTATTTATATTCTTCTGTTTAAATCGCAATCCTTCAAACAAAAGATAAGTATAATCGGAGTTTCAACTTGATAAGAGAACCATAAAAGACCAAAAGTGTTTTAAATAGGAATTCAAAATCGATTTAACTTTTATAATATACAAAGATATCCCTTCACAGCCATAAATCCTACAAATAGGCACTGGCCATCTGGGAAGTAAATCAACTGAGAATTTTGATTTATCCCCTCAACTAATGAAGCTGCTCAAGTGGAAAACCAAGTGCCTACTTTGTCTGGCCAAATAAACAGTCCTTCCTCCACCACATCCAAGCGAGGGAAAATGTATCTGAAGACGAGGCTTCCGGCAGGATGAAGATCAAATTCCCAGATACTCGGAGGTCTGTGCACGTGCCGCAGCAACAAAGGGTAGATGTCTCCCCCGAAGCGGGAGGCACTTGAAACTAAACACCAAGAACATAAAACTATATCAGAGAATCGGAATCGAGGTTCGAGGGGGAGCAGCACAAGTGCTCATTAACAATTACAAACAGGCGATCGAGCCAGTGGAGCGTACTACATTTTCCCAATAAAACTATTATAAATGCACATAAATTTTTCCCCTCCTCTTGAGATCCCAAATCGGAGACAATGGCAGGGCATGAATGAGTTGCATACATTAAATAATCATCGCAGACACCCTGTAAATGAATGCCTCTCCGGTGACTATATAACCCCAAGACCCATTCATCTATCAGCTGTTTTTGTATTAGTCCATGCTAATTCAATCAACCGCAAAAACATGCACGGAATCCACAACAACAAAAAGAGAGAAAAACAAAATATCACTTTCAATGAACAACAATTGGCTTGTTTACACGTATCTGCGAAAGAGTATATTTCACAGATACACATCTCTCTGGAGCGCAAACACAAAACAAATAGTAAACTTGTCGTATATACATATGTATATTATCAGCAACTCTTGAGGCTTTGACTTTTATTTTTTCAATTAATTATTGTCGGCTTGAAAAGTCCGCCCGGATGCCATTTGAGTGGACGATGAAAGGGGGAAAAATGGGCAGGGCAATGGGAAGAGGTTGTGCTTATAATCCATAAATTAAAATACCAGACACAGCAGCCTCGATCGCAATAAGTGAGCCAAAGCAATATAATTAAAATTCAGTGGATGATGGGAGGAATTCAGGAATGCCTGGCATACTTTTAGGTGAAGTCCGGAATTTCACTTTCCTTATTGATCGATGCCGCCTCGATTCTAATTGAATTTAGTTGCTTTTCCCCCGCCGCCATGACTCATCCACTGATTTCCTCCAAAGTCAAGTATGACAAATCTATTTACTGGCAGGGCCATGCCCCCAACTGCTGATCCAATTGTGGCCACGGAAAATTAGCATGAAATAATCCAATCCACCCTGGGATAATGGGTGAGTATCTTATGGATTGCTTGACCTCCCGCACGAGTGCGTCGTCTTGCTCATAAATAGGTTGGCAAAGTAAACAAACTGCGGTTTCAAGTTCCTTGCGGTGGGTCCATCCTTATCCCTATATATACATATATATATCTGTATAGTATTCTGCTCCCCAAAACGGGAGCTGCACTTTGCTCCCTGGCCAGGTCATCATTCGCATCTCATCCCATGCTGCGCGAAAAATTCTGCGCACAAAACCAAGACGCAATAGGAAAAAATGAGCGAAAAATACTCTAAGATAGTCATAGAATTTAAGCACTTTAAGCATCAGTTGTTAATGTATTAAATAACAATTATAATTTACTTAAATTCATGAAAATAAATAAGCACAGCCACAATATGTAATCCGTGTTAATTATAGGGTTTATCTTCTATAATAAATCAGATTATTTGTTTTGCTTGTCATAATAAAAGGAATTAATCGGATTTATTTAATTAGAATAAAATTACCATAACTACTTTAGAGAAATATCCCGCTAATAAGGCTTATGGCAATACAAGTATCTTGAAGTATGACTTTACCTTTTTAGATGAATGAAATATATAATATTTTCTTTATAATGAATGAAAAACAGATTTATAACATATTCCAATCGGGTTAATAAACTTAAAGCATTCAAAATAACTCCAAATAAAGTTAAATAAAACTTTTCAGCTATCATGTTACCCGATATCTTTCCCCTGAAAGATACCCTAATGTCTAATTCCACTGGTCATTTATCATTCTGCTAGCACGAGAGGCAAATATTATATTAGAATATTTAATGGGATATTTCATTTCCTAACAGGCCGTAATTATGTCAGTCCCCCGATGACAAATCTCCGGCGATCTCTGTGAAAGAACAAAGGGTAAAAGGGAAAGGGTGTCGTCGTCAGTTCTCTTCATGGTGCTGCTCCAGAACGCCACATGTGGCAATGTGAGCTAATTAAAGACGGGCATGGAGGACTCCACTCTGTTTACTCAGCCCCGAAGAACAGACTTCGAAAGAGGCTCGGTTTTCAAAGTGAGAAAGTCAGTGAGGGGGAACGAAATTTACATTTCTCGCTTGGTTTAGCCCAGAAAGCTGATTCGATTTCACAAAACAGCAGCGAATAACTTCCTAGTTTGACAACAAAATAACAAAAATAACAAAAAACAGCGGGATGTATAAAAACATATTGACAATTTCACAATCGGGCCAACACAGAAACCCAAGACAGATGGGAGGAGACTAAAGAAATGTTGCAACATGGCCACATGACAGCCACATCGATGTGTTCCTGCTGCTACCACTGATTCCTCAGATGTTTCTTCCAACAGACCTTGACACCGGCAATATGTCAAATGTCAACTGGCATTTGTATCGATTTGGTTTAGAGATGGCAAAGAAATTTAGTGATATCAAGATTTTTTCAATGCAAATCATTGTCAATGAGGAGAAATTCATAAATTGCGATTAAAGTTCATATAATATAATAATAATATATCGAATTTTTTGCTATATTTCTCAAACTTCTACCCGATATATATCTTTTCGATGACCATCCCTAATTCGCTTAAAAAAACAACTCGAAAAGCCAGACACACGCAGCAAATAGGAGACATATTTCACATGCTCAAAGAAATAGCGTCAAATGAGGTTTTTCTTGTCATAAAGTGAAAGTCGAAATCATGCGTAATTGCCGATCCATAAAATGCGGAATAGTCTACTCGCTCCATAAGATAAAACCGATCGATCAAGTGCAACACGCGCCATGGAGTCAAGTGACAGGCGACAAAAAGCAAGCCTACATAGTCACCTAATGCGTGCAACTATCTCCGATCCAATTCCCAATCCCCGATCCCCGATCTCTGATCCCGATGATCTTCACGCTTCATCTGGCACTCGTCAATGGTGTTTAACGCTTGTCCGCGAACAAATTACTAAATATTTTCAATGACAGGACAGATAAATGTAACAAAAAACACACATCAATAAAGCAAAATGGATATAGAAATCAAGAGGAGCATGTCTTAAATGTTCTTTACCAAAATATAGAGTTTTAAGAGACTAATAATGAGTTTATAAAAATACAGCAAAAAATTTTAAAGAAACAATCATATTTACAGAGTTTCTTTATTGCTACTTCTATCAATTAAACAATCATGTATGTAAATACATCTTTTATTAGAATAACCCCATTGATCTTCCACTTGATCTTTCATATAAAATACTCTAACCTGTAGGTAAATAATAAATATTCATTAACAAACAATTAATCAAAGGTTGTGGCTGACCAATTCGGTTGCAACTGTAAACCACAACCAATCAATTAAAAGCCAAGTCAAATGCACATTTTTTTTACCACGCTTAACATACGTCATTAAGAAAACCCATAAATATGCCTCCAGGCGCACTTTTAGTACGAACCTGTTTTTCAGGCCGCACATTGCCATCTCTCCGTGGGATTGGCGTTGCCTAACGATGTCATTTGCCAATGCATAGATAACTGGCCAAGAGAGCCTTGAAAATTACACAAATTGAAAAACATAAAAATTGAAACTCCGTTGCATCGTCGTGAGTGACTTGCCAAGTCTTTGCTCTTGCATAACCATCAAAACTTTCAGTTTCAGGCAGGTAAGAGATGGGTTTTCTCCATCTCTCTATTCGGAAGGAAATTTATTTATGTGAAAGCTATTGGCATTATCTATAAGTGCATAAATTTGTGGATAATGCAGCAACAACATACAAAAATTTAGCAAGAAATTTTGATATAAAATAAAAAGGTTAAAGTTTTTGTAAAATTAATTAACATTATTATGATAAGATGACTGTAATATAATATAATAACTATAATAATTAAGTGTTTCGAAAGTTTAATCAATAAAAAGACTCATTTAAATAAGCAAACTTAAATTCCTTTGAAGGATTTTATTCATAAGATTGCATCTGTGTTTATGTAATTCCAACTCATACTTGGTTTTACATTATTGCCTAATATTAAAAATTTCCCTAACTAAAAAAGGGGTCATTAATATTTTTAGAAATCCCCGATCTTGTCTAATGCTTTAAAATGTAACTGAAACTTTATTGCTTATTATTCCATTACGACACGCACGAGGCACAAGTATTTCGTTTACCTACGATAATATTATATTGTTCTAACCGGATTCCACTGCATCCAAATGTGTCACTTTAGATATAATCGGTTAAGTAACGATCACAAAACTCCAAGCAATTGTAGGAGCTTGATTTATGCTACAGATCGTCTGGGATTTGCATTCTATCAACTAATATCGCCCATGTCTCACGTGCTGTGTGGCTAAGTGACTAACCTCGGCACCTCACAGGTATCCAGAAGATGGCAATTAGCGAAGACCACCTGGGTTGTACCTCAGTCCCCCATCCCTCGATGGCTCGCTTCGGCGAGAGGGGATTTCTGATGAAATCCAGTGATCGCCAAAGCGGTTATCTAAGCGGCGACGACCGGTCGTCCACAGATACATATGAATACTCGTAAATTACCAGAGCTTTGGGCCCACAATGAAACTACTTTGGTGCGGGAAATCGCACATTTGTTTACGTGCGCTCGCTGGCAAGCCCCCAGGTGAGTGAGTGGGTTGAGTGAACCGCATCATCCAAATCCAGCCACCAAGGCTCCATGACCTAGACAAAGCGCCACTGAATTATTTATCATCTTTATTGATTATCAGCGTATTATGGGCTTTGAGTAGATAGTAAACGACATAAAATATTGGCTTAGCTCTAACAATCTGACCACTTTCAACTTAGCAACTACGAAGGGGAGTCAACACAAGAAGTTGGCCTAGGCACAGTCCCGCGACTGATAGAACAGTATATAGCCCGTCTCCGAGGACTTGTGGATGTCCGAGGTGAGACCGTAGAAATCTTCAATGGTAGAAGCTTCGATCTTATCCACCATGTCATCGTCGAAGAGCAGCCACAGACCGTGGCTCTTCACAATGCTAATGTAATGACCCCGATTCGGTCCCGATCCACAGTGAATGACCACAGCGGTGAGGTCGTAAAGCCTGTCCGGATTCACAGCATCATCCGAGGTGTTGAAGAGCCTCAATTCCAGCGGAAAGACTACCCTGTGAGAAACCTTAATGTGCCTATTAAACTGTTCCATATACTTGAAGCGCTTCAGATGCAGGGCCAGGATCATGGGTAGCTTCTTCACCCGCATCCTCTTCTGTGCCTCCTGGTAGCTGCAACAGTTGTCGCACTTGAACTTGTTGTCCGAGCACAGGGTCTCCGTGTTGCTGAAGCAACGCAAACAGTGCGTGATCGAAGTATTCTGATCCACATCCACCTGCAGGTCAAAGAAGTTCTCATCCTTGCTGCTCACTGTCTCACAGTTGAGGCACCTCGTCTCTGAGGTGAGTATGCCCTGAAAGATCTCATGCACCCAGGTGGGCTCCGAGTTGGCCCCATTGGTCCCATTGCCGCCGCTTCCAGTGGTCACGGGCGTTGTGGTGGCCGTAAGGCTTCCACTGGCATCCAACACACTTGTGGTGGCATTCAACGAACCCGTGGAGTTGCTGCTATTCCCGTTGGAGTTCGATGTTGAATTGGAATTGGAGTTTGAGTTGGAGCTGGACTTGCTGGCTATGCTGCTGGCCATGGCACTGGGTTGAGTGGCTCCCCCATGACTACCACTGGCCTTGGTGTTTCCATTGCCGGGACCCGCATTCCGCTCTGCCAGAATAATCTCATTGATGTGATTGATCAGAAAGTTGAGAAACTCGTGCGCATCCTGCTGCATGTAATTGTCAAACTCCTCCTTCTCCTTGCGCAACCGCGTGATGAACTTCTTGGGCGCTATGGAGCCGACCTTCTTCTTCTGGGTGGCGATGCTGTAGAAGAGATCCGCCAGGCACGAGAGCAACGTCTCCTTGGGCCGCTTATTCTTGGCCTTGTACTCGAGCACCTTTTCGCGGAAGGGCTTGCAAAAGTATAGGGCCTGCAGCACCGAGTTGCTGTAGCAGGTGTTCCCAAAGTTAACCAGCCCGAAGTAGTGCTCGTTGGGCGGAAACAGGTCGGAGCCGATCTCCCGCTCCAGCTGCGAGACGTTGGCGCCCATGCCGGCACCAGGAGCTGCAGCGGCGCACCGGTAAAGAAATGACCACACCGTGGTTGCTTTAGTGTTCGCCGGGGTTCGTCGGGAGCGCGGTCTTTGGCTAGAGCATTTGGTTTGGGCCTATTAGACTTATGCTTTCCCTATACTTTGAAGGGGGCAGAGGCGCAAAACACTTTTACACTGTCTGAAAATAAATAATTTTGAAGAGGGGATACACGTGAGTTTGCTTTGCATAACACAAACAGAAATTAAAATTAATATTTTTTTTAATATTTACGTTGCTTTCATTTTTAGTGTAGTCTTTTGCTTTACTTTGATTTGATATCTTTAAAGTCTTTTGAATTTTAATCTTTGCGACACTAAAAACTAAGCAAACAATTGTAATAACTAAAATGCGTAAGGAAAAGCAAATGAAGATCTTCAAAGTTTCAACTCTTATATATCCCCTTTCGAAAATTATTTTCAAACAAAAGTGTTTTACGTTCAAGTACATATAAGTTTTTGCACAATTTATTTATATTGTGAGTTTTTTGAGAAAATAATCATTCTTAAAATCACAAATCAAAAGATGTTTCGAATACATTTTTTAAAATAGGCATTGAAGTTGGTACAATTTCAAAGATTTCTTATATATATTAGGAGGTGTTTTAGTTAAATATTAATTTCTAGATATTTCCCACAACTTTACAAACTACCCAAAGTATAAATTATATTTCGGAATAGGTTTCTTCCTCAATTTGGTTCCCCAACTCATGATGAGCTTGCAAATTTTGGAATAATCATAAAAATATTTATGGCGCCCCAAAGTCCAAAAGTGTGAATCAATCACGAAAATGCTGAGTATTCTCATGTAATCCGATCTTAAACATATGCAAACATCTGTGTGAATCAGCAGCCCCGCCCATTTGGTATTAATTTCATGGGAGGCCGGTTCGTTTACACCGTGAATTGAATTGGACCGATGTCTAGACTTGGGGCCAGAGATGACGGTAAGGGCTAAATATAGTGTCAATTTTATGGATCGTAATTGGATGGCAGTTCGGTGATTTTTCTATGAACTGTTAGATGGGGAAAATTCCGCAAGCTACGCAACGACGGGTGCCGGTCGTGTGCCACGCCGATGCACTCGCTCCACGCTTCAAGCTCCACGTTCAACGCTCGCCGAGAATAGTATAAAAGCCAAAGCGGTTTCCGCTGCAGTCTTACAGTTACGATTAAGAGGCAACCGAAGAAACATCTAAACACAACACCTTCAAAACCAGTCAGTGTCAGCAGCAAATAGCACGAGCTTCCCAAGTTTGGATACCATCTAAGCAAAAACCTCTACAGGAGTCAGAGACCGCGGAAAGAAGTCCTTCAGCCTGTTTAAAGGATCAGCCGCGTTGGAGATTCACTTTTCAATTGTGTCCAATCATATCAATGCCGGCAACGGATCAAATACGGAACCAGTAAATAATCTGTCAGCCAAGTTGCTGAAGATTCTAGCTTAAGTGTCCCTTAAGAGTCTCCTATAATTTAATAAGAATATCCAATAAGAAATAAGTTTTAAAATGTTTGATATTCGTTATAACAAGCCTTGTTCCTATACACTTTAAGCTGTTGTTACATTACCCTAAAAACTATTACTATTTATGCATTTGCGATAATAAACAAAATTCAAGCTAAAATCAATTGCATGTTATTATTGAAACTATTGCTCTAGTTTCGAGGGGATTTTTTCTAATAATTTTATATAATTTTATCTTAGGGGCTAACTACACACGTGGATCACATATTGGTTTTGTAATACTGACCCACTGCCTATGGTAATCAAGCAGCGAGTTCCTTAGAATTCCTGAATACATCAATTACTTGAATAGGCGATTAGCTTCGTGCGACTTATTTATTTTCCAATAATGCTGGAATACTGCGGTTATCTAATAAATACTGTAATACGGGAATACGGAGAAAGGAGTTCCCATTTAAGCCATTCATCAAATTGGATTGCATAAAGATGGAGCAGTATAAATCAAAAACCCCCACATATAATAAGGAGCATTTCTTAGATCATTTTGAAAACGTATTTAAAAGGTAAACCCTTCTGGTTATAAAACCATTAAAACACAATATTATAGATGAGGGAACTTTGGTGACCTACTAAATATTCAAATGAAGCATATTATTGCGTTTCCAATATGAACTAGCTTTAACCAGAACAGCACAAAATCTAGTGGTAATATTCGATGGGAATAATAAAACTTGTTTATTTACATAAGGTTGGTAATATGTTCGAGGAACCCTGTAATTATCCAGTGTGGAACAATCAATAATTTTCACTATAGTAAATGATTTTTAATTGATAAACTCGGCGACATGTAACTAAATTAAGAGAGTGAAAAAGAATAATCTTGCATAAATAATTAAGCTGAGATGAGCTAACTTTTAGAACGTCTGGTCCAAGGATATCATTATAGATGAACCCCAATTTAATTTATTTTAATATAATATCAGCAATTTCTTAAGAAGTTAAACTCAAAATAAATAAAGCAAAGAATTGAAAGCATAATGAAACTTATCTTTGTAAAAGAGAACAACAAAGCGATCATCTAATGGTATCATTTTAAAAATATAATGGAATCAAAGCAATTGATGAATGATTCAGTATTTCGAAATGTATGTAAATGAATGTTTATTTTGGGATACATTATAGAAACAAATGTAGGCCCCATTTAAAAAGGTATTAAGTTAACTAAATGGTAACGAAATTAGGACCAAAAATAAACCTTTACAAATAACACAAATCTTATTTGCATATATCAGATGATTCTATAAATATTCAACAACTATCTATGGACATTTTTCGTTTGACCAACAATAATTATATTTTATAAACTTCTAACTCCCAGTGCAGTTCCCCTTTTAAGAGTATATAAAACGTGCTTTGTTTGTTTAACTTAACGCCAGCCTAGGTCAATTGTAATGCTTAGTAATTGTAATGCTTAGTATTATCTTAAGCCACTAGTCATAGCCACTACTTTCATGAGTCACGACGCGTGCCATCCGAGGGCGTCAATTACCAAGAAGTAAGGTTGGTCGTACTTATCATTATAATCATAGCAGAAATATGCATCAATTAAATGAATATTTAATTGAAAATCTCTGGGAATGAATCAGCTTGGCAAACGGGGTTATTTAAAAGGGGGGTTGAAAATCATAAACCCCTGAGAGAAAATTGCATTCACAGCCATAAAAATAGAACAGATCAGCCTAATCTCAGACTAAAATAGATTTTCCCAATTGAAGCAACGCCCATACTTAAAGTAGAAGACATTAGACCCACTATATAAAACCCGTCCGAGTTGCTAACAAACTGACTGTCTAGCTGGGTAATTTTATGCATTTCTAACGAGCAGCGCCACGTCGATATAAAATGCACTTGCAATTGGAATTTCATAACAGAAGCAACTTGAACATGAAAGCGATTGTAAGTATCAATGATTTTTCGATCAGTTTAATCTCCGAAGAGGATATTAAGAAAGTTTTTTCTCATTACAGTTGCTAGTTGGCATACTCCTGGCCTGCATTATTGTACTATTGAAGCTGAGTCTAAGTGGTATAAAATTGGATATACAAAACACAACCAGCTCAACCCACGATGTAGTCTTCCAGAAGGATGCTTATACTATTAAACAATGGTTCAAAGACACATGGAAGCACAGGCCAAAGGATATTCATTTAAATATCATTACCGATCCAGAGGAGGACTATACAAAGGATAGACTCAAAAAATTGCTAGTTATTCTCAAGCGAAAACCAATACAGGATAACCAAATATCATCTTCCACTCATCCTTTGAAAACTCACAATGTCAAGATCCCAACAAATCCAACCGGTGAGGAGCAAACTACAATAATCGATTGTAATTACATTTTGGACGAGGATTGTGGACCAATTGATTTTGGACCAAGGCTTAGTGCAAATTTGCTAAAGATACTTGCACGATAATGACTGATCTAAACCAGAGAATATTTATTAGTATTTATTGATATTGTTAAGTTTTTTAAAATACAACAATAAATAACAAATACTAAACATTAATTTGACTGGATTTTACTTACTTTCCACGCAACACTTATGCCAGACTTTATTAAATGATTCAAACTAGTTTTTATAACGTCTGGTCGTGATATTTTCACACGCCATTTCATTAAATTTGTCATAAATTTGACAACTTAAAATGATTTTCATATAAAAGTCACTGCATATTAGTTCTAGTAACAGTATCAAAGTGAAAATGCAAACGACAGTAAGTCCGAAGTATATTTTTTCACACAAAATAATCACAAGTTAACCTTTCTTTATAGAACATATTTCCAATCCTTGTGTTGGTTTCTATTAACCAATCACTTGCTGAAAATGTGAATATAACACACAACTATCGAAGTAAATTGGAAATAGGAAATACAAATGAAACATCCTTTACATTTTTAAGAGTCCTGAAACGATCTCCTGATCAAGATTCAACGAAAGCAACACCATCCACTGAAGGATCTACAGATAATATAAATAAACCAATACTTTGTTCTTATTTTGATGGAAAACAATGTGATGATAAAACACCAATTATATTGCTTAGTTCAACCCTATTAAAAGTGCTTACTTAAAAGGGACCATAAGATTCAATAATAACCTTTAAAATACTGTAAAATACTATCACTGATTTTATCGAAATGCCTCAAAGTACACATCAAAATGTATTTAGCAGTCTGAACCCGTTTTATTTTTAATAGCTTTATACTAAGTGGGAAACTTGATGAATTAATAACTAGCATCGGAATCAATATAAAACTGTTAGATGTCAAGTGAATATCGATCAGTAACGAACTTAAAATGAGAACGATAGTAAGTACTTGGAACTTTAAGATGAACTAACTTAACATATTATATATTATATAGAATTTAATCCTGCTTATAGTGTCGGTGGGGATTGTTACCGCCTCTGGACAGCCTTTTAAGGCCAAAGATGCAACTCTTCCAGATCGTGTAAATAGCTTATCTACAACTTCAGCGTCGCCTCAAATGGAAACACAATCTAAAAGAGAGCAAGGATCAGAGCAGCATCCAATTAATAGTACAATTACAACCGAAGCTTTTAAACTTTTTGAAGAAATCTTTTCTGCTCATGATTTCAAAACCAATTCTTCGAAGGATACAACCTTAACCAATTCCAATTCCAATGAAACATTATTCTTCAAAGTTCCCAATGGCCTTACAGAAGATCCCATCCCATTGGATACTGAGGACTATGAAGATAAAGTTGAAGATGAGGACCCTGAGGGACTGGGACCTCGACTTAGTGCAAACCTATTAAAAATACTTACGTTTTAAACGTCCAACTATAATCTATATATTACTGTAATTGATTTTGTAAATACGCCAATAAGTATGTTTCAGAAGCCAACTAACAACTTAAAATGTGAATGGTTAACTTTATGAATTTATAACTACCAACCGGGTTCAATATAAAATAGACTGCGAGAGCAAGTTCAAGTTTCAGTATCGCAGTAATAATGCAACCGAGTGTGAGTGTTCTATTAAACCGGATGGGATTGTAAACACCATTAATCCAATTAAATTCTATATATCTCATATATACAGATTCTGTTTCTACTTCTGGGCTGGCTGGCCGTAGTCAACTCTTTTGGCCTAGACCTGCGATTCTTAAACCCCTTGAGGTCCTCCGATGACAACAATGAGCAGCATTTGTCACCGCCAAAACCGAATATGTGCAATCCCACGGAGCCCAGGACTTTGATAAGGAGTGCCAGGAAGGCTCAACTATTGCGAAGTGATTTTGTACCCTTACCAACTCTGGCACCCACGAATAATCCCGACAGAGGAAGCTTTGTACCCTTACCAACTTTGGCACCCACATCCACCTCGACCACAACCCAAGTCAGCAGAAGTCTAGGCAATAGACAGGAAAATCCTTCAAATGATTGCGATCCTTTTCCCTTAGGAATCGGCACTCGATTGTCAGCACAACTTTTGAAAGTTCTTACTATATTGGGTTGAGATTCAGAAAAATTTAACAATTGTTACGAATTATTATAATAAATTAAAGTAGAGCATTTTCAATTTTTCCATCACACTCAGCCAGGTATTACCCCGAAGACATATAGATTTCCCGCATTTCCCCCGAAGTTTTTCCCTCAAGGCTTTGATGACACAGAACCCCCTCAAAGACTATAAGCTGTCAGATCGGGGCAATTACTGCCAATCAGCATCGTTGTGGGGGCAATTATTAAATCCAGTCAATAATAAAGCCCAATACCGATGGAAACAGTCACGGCTCGAATGGATTAAACCCGTTTTGGGGCGTTTGCTGACACAGGCTGTCAGAAAATTCTGAGCTATCATAAAGATCTCTCCCTCTCTCGAGATCTATCCAAAGAATAAGTAGTGCGGAATCACCCGATCGAATACTCTCAGTTGCAATGCTACCGACCGGTCTAACTTGTTCCATAGTAATGGATATTGCACTTCATACAATTGCAAGAACACGGCATCTATAGCCACTATAAATACGTATCGTAATCGCATCTGGGATTTCATTCATTCAGTGCTTTGCAACAACTTGAACTAGAATGATCAGAGCCACTAAGGTGAGTCGGGCAGACAGGTGCCTGGCAGGTGCCTGGGAAACCCATCAAAGTAAACAAATAAATTGTGAAATATATATATTTTCAGTGCCTGTGGGTGTTTGTATTCCTTGTATTGTTTATCCACCGGAACCGTGCGGCCACCCATGTGCTCTATGAATTTCAGTGAGTGTTTAATTTGATTCGTGTTCGAATATATTTTAATGACTTTCCGTAATCGAACACAGCATTCGCGAGAGCTCCGGCGAGCGAGAGGAGAAGGGTGTGCTCAAGGACTCCTCGGAGGATTCACGTGCGGAACCCGAACTGATCGTCACTGGGAAACGCACCTCCTCTGTGGTCCTGCCCTCCAATAATATCAGCTATGTGTATATGGAAACGGCCACCTATTTGGCGGATAATAGCGGCTACCATGTCAAGTACAACTTCACCCTGGAGCCCCTCGAAGGTGGCCCACGTCTTAATGGGCAAACCCTCAAGTCCACCGTCGGTTAAGGCGATTCACCAAGTATTCCCCTAGAGACTAAGAAGTAGCTGTAGCAAATACTGCATTATTTATTAGAACTCAATGTCTCAGTGCAGGCAGAAAGTGTCAAGTTTCACCCTCCCCCCAAGCAAACAATAAACGGAAACTTTGAAAAGCAAGTTTGTGGCGGAAACTTAATGGATTCCAGTCAGATGACAGGGCCGTGAAGGAAACTAAGTTATGGCTCTCACTGTTTTTTGGCTTTGTGCCTAAAACGTCTCTGAACCAATATAATTTACGAGTGCAGAAATATTTTATATGTTAGTTGCGGTCAAAATAGGATTTTAGTGGACTTTTAGATCGATAATTACTAGCTTTTTGAGTGATTGTAAGTTTAATATAAATTCAGGCATACCATTATTCCAATTAAAGAAGAATAATTACGAAATATGACCGCAACTGTTGGAATATTTATAGAAAATATATATTTCCTTACCGTGTGTGAAGTTTCCTTGATGGCCGTTGTCTGGTTGCTGATGATTGCTGGCTGGCAATTTCTAGTCAATTTCTGTGGTAAAAATGTTTTAGAAATCTAGCCTGAGGAAAGTATTAATCTGTAACGAGAGTTAGAATACAAGGGGAAATAATTAGAGCCGAGGCATAAACAAATTAAGCAAGGGAAATAACAAAAACACAAATTATAATTAAAGAGTGTTCTTTCCACTACAGGATGACGATGAGTGGGAGGCGGTGAGATCCCCAACCTTGGGCCCGGAAAAGTCATTTGCTCATTAACTACACATATATGCGAAAGAGTGGGAACTGAGAGCGGCTACCTTGAGGGTCAAGTGCGAGAGAGCGAGATGAAAATGAGCACTGGAATTAGAATTTTAGGTCAGTCCCGTAATTGAGAGGCCTGAGCAAATACACTGCATCGGTTAATGGGACTAATTAACCAATCAAGCGGTGGCGGTGGCGCTGGCGGTTCTGGCGATGACGATAAGCCTCCGGTTCAAGTCAAAAATCGACGCATCTCTCGATTCTCGCTCAGTTTCGTTTCGGCAATCATTCGAATCACACAAAAGCACATTTACATTGAATCGCTAAATCCGCGTATAGTTATGGCACGCCAATCGCTGAGACTCCTGCTGGGAGTCCTCTTGCTTGCCATCGGCCTTTCCGATGCCGCCGTCCTGAATCCTGTGGTCACCAACTACACCATCGATATCCTGCGCCTGGCCAAGGCGGCGCACATCAAGGCCTACATGGGTGAGAACGAGGAGGAGCCCTGCCGTAATTTCTACAACTTTGCCTGCGGCAATTGGCCACGCCTTCACCCGGCTCGTGTCTCTAAGCAGCGGACCAACTACCTGGAGGAGCTCCAGGAGCTATACATCCGCAAAAGTGCCGATATGTTGAAGAGCGCCACGCGGGGAGCCGAGAATAGTGCCGATCGTCAGCTGAAGAACTTCTTTGGCTCGTGCCGCCGTCAGGCTAATGACACGCGATCCGCATTGACGACCCTGTTCCAGGTGGCGGATTTCAGAGGAGGCTGGCCAGAGATTAGGGTTCCCTCCTGGTATCAATACGAGTACGACTGGCTCCAGGTGGTGGCCAATCTCAAGCGCAAGTTGGGCGTGGATATCTTCATTGGCCTGGAGGTGATCCTGGACTACAAGGAGGAGAAGATGCACCGCCTGAAGATAGGAGCTCCCAAGTTTCCCATGGCGCGACGTCTCTACTTGCACGATCACTTCGAGGGCACTCGGGAAATGTACGAACGATCGATTGTGAATAAGCTAAAGCTCTACTTTCCCGAGCAATCCACTCGCTGGCTGGATGAGGTGGCCTCGCAGGTGCTGCATGTCGAGCAGCAACTGGCCAAGGGTCTGCCCCACAACCCCGCCCTTACGCTGGAGCAAACTACTCGCCAGAGGACGGCTAATGAAATGAAGGCTGCCTACGGCAGCTATGTGGATGTGACTCGCTACCTGCAACTGATCTTCAATGACAACCTGTACATGGACTTGTACGAGACGCCGGAGGACTATCTATCCAACTTGGTAGATGTGATCCGATCGACACCTAAGCTGCAGTTGGCCAACTACACCATGTGGAAGGCCCTGGAAGCGATGGACGGTGCTCGTGTACCACAAGCACAGCAGCCGGATATCTGGTGTGTCCAGCTGGCACAGCGGTACTTCCCCCAGCAGCTGGAGAGCCTGTTCCATCGCAACTACAATCACATGCAAATGATCAACGAACTGCAGTCCACATGGTCGGACATCAAGCGCGTGTTCAGGGAGGATCTACAGGCCTCGGAGAAGCTGCATTGGCTCACCTTGGAGACCCGGCAGAAGGCCATCAGCAAGCTGGAGGCTCTGAAGCTACAATTCCGCACTCACGACGACAGCAAACTGATCCGACAGGTGCACGGACTTAACCTGCACGCGGATCGTTTCTACCCGAACCTGGTCGAAGTTCTCCAGTGGCAGACAAGACGTGGACTGGCCAAGCTAGTAGAGGAGCCGGTGGCCGAGGACGAGGTGTACAAGCTGCCGCACTACGAGCTGCAGAAGAACCGCATTCAGGTGCCGATTACGTTCCTGCAGGCACGTTTCTTCTGGGATCCCGCCTATCCGAATGCCCTGAAGTATGCCACTCTAGGCGTCCTCCTGGCCCGTCAGATGCTGCACGGTTTCGATGGCGTTGGCCGTCGATATGATGCCTACGGTTACCAGAACAATTGGTGGGATGGCACCTCGGAGAGTTCGTACTCGCGACGCTCACAGTGCTTCCAGGAGCAGTACGCCATCTTTGTCCAGTTTAAGGAGAAACCGGTGCAGGACAAGGATCTGCTCCGTCGGGTTGTGGCCGACAACGGAGCTCTGGATATCGCCTATCGTGCCTATCAGCAGTGGCTGAAGAACGCGGCCGAGACTCCGGTTATTTATCAACGAGAGCAGCTGCCGCTCTTGGAACGCAACCACAATCAGCTATTCTACCTGGGCTATGCTCAGCTGTACTGTTCCGATTATCCGGAGACTGTGGAGCGATTCGATGAGCTGCCGGAGCAGCTGCGCATCAATACCGCGCTGTCCAACTCCCAGCAGTTTGCCAACGCCTATGGCTGCTCCCGCGAGGACAAGCTTAATGCCCGCTTCAAGTGCACCCTCTACTGAGAGGAGTCCGATGCCCTCCATGCTTCATACTATATGTATTTCACCAGAATATCTAATAAAAGGTTTTCCTGCACTTGTCATTCATTGCCTAGTGTTGTAATTTATCATCTGGGATTATTCATAAGGTAAAGTTCTTCCCGAATATATACCATTACTTTCCCAGAAATGTTTATTAATTAGGAAAATATTAACACGTTTATTAATTTATCAATAAGATAGAAGGTTTATTGCTTAAGCATTCATGAAGGTTCCTAGAAAGTTAATTTTGAATAGTTTCATTCCCATATAATCTTGAAATATTAATGCAATCATTCCTTTGGCATTTACTTTGTCATTGTCTCTTAATAACAAAAACAAACTGTTTTAGTAATTGGAATATTTCCTCTCTTTCTCTCCCTATTTTTATATTGACAACTTATCTTTTGAAAATATGTTTAAGAGGTTCTCCCAGAAGGCGTAGACCCAAGGAACCTATTGCGTAAGCACTTTTCAATGAATTATGACTCAAACAAGAATGTATGTAATATTTACAAGGGTTCCAATTCAACGATTTACTCTCTACACCCCAAGCTCTTTCCATTCGATAACCCCAACTGACCCCGACCATATCAATGCCTCTCTCTCTCCGTGTGAGCTGCCTTCAAACCGTGCGCCAGATTGTCACTGCGTGTGCGGAAGGCAGTCGATAGCTTCACCGAGCTCCGACAGCATGTCGGACACGCCTAGGAAGAGACTGCTCCTGTGGCTGGGACTGCTCTGGCTAGCGCTTCTGCAGCAGATTAACCTAGTTTCTGGGGAGGATGCACCGGCTTTTCAGCGCATCTACCAAACGGAGAAGACGGTGAGACGAACTAAAGGTCTGGAGATGCGCAGCTATGTGAACAATAGTATTGATCCCTGTGTGGACTTTTATGCCTATGCATGTGGTAATTGGCGATCGACATCCACACCACAGGAGCATCACACTCAGCAAATAGACAGGGAACTCCTCTTGCTCATCCAGGAGAGTGTGGTGCGAGAGGACAGTCCCTTAGTGCGACAGGCCAAGGAGTTCTACAAGTCCTGCCTCACAGCTCAGGCTGAGCAGAGCCAGCAGCAGCAGCAGTTCCTCAGCGAGTTTATTAACCAGAACGGTGGCTTTCCAGCGGTTCCCGGCTCCCAGTGGGCGGTGCACCACCACGACTACGATTGGCTAAGGGTTCTAGGTGGACTCCGACGCCGCTACGGAATGGATATCTTAATCGGACTTCGGGTGGGCTATAACTATGAAAGCGTCTTCGAGAACAGCCTGTATTTGAGTGAACCCAGCACGGTGATTCCACGGGAAATGTGCATCCAAAATCGCTCGGATATAAGGGATGCAATTTATGCACCTTTGGAGCATCGAGTGGCTCGTGAACTGAAGACCTGGCTGGCCTTGGGCAATGAGGAATCCGCCCGCCTGGCTGCAGACATTCTCACCTTCGAGCACGAACTTTGCGGCAGTATGAACGGCGGCTCCTTGAATCCCTGGGATGCCGAGGAGCAACTGTATAGAGCGAACTACACGCGCAAGACATTGTCCGAGCTTGGCCAGATGTTTGATTTAAACCTGGAATCCTATGTGACCGCCAGCTATGATCAGGTGATCTTTAAGCCCGTCTTCATGGCTGCTCCGGAATACTATCGCCAGCTAAAGCGTACAGTGGCTGCTCACAATATGAGTCTGGTGGCCAATTACATCATGTACCGAGCGATCTCTGCTCTGAATTTTCCCATAGACGAACGACCGCAGTTAAGAAAAGGACTGTGTTTGGAGCGCATCAAGGACTTGATGCCCAGTGCCTTGGGAGAACTATATGCTCGGCAGTTTGGCGCTGAAGATACAAGGAAAGACCTGGACAGACTCTTTGAGATACTTCAAATGTCTCTGAGGAAAAGTCTAAGTGCAGAATGGTTAGAGGATGTCAGCCGACGGGTGGCCCAGAGAAAGCTGCAGGATCTGAAGTTGCAGCTGCCCAGCTATGAACGTCCTCCTGCCCTCAAACTGCAACTGGAACGTGCCAACTATTGGAGCAATCTGCGTCAGCTGTTGGAAGCGGTTCAGTCCCAGCGAATGAACCAACTCTTTGAGGAATTCCCGCTCAAACCCCACGATCCCGTGGAGGCTTTTGAAGCCAGAGTTTGCCTCCGACCGGTGCAGAGACGCTTGGACATGGGACTAGCCTTGCTCCAGCCGCCAGTCTATAACCATCACTATGGTCACCCATTCCGGTATGCCACCTTGGGCTTGAAGCTGGCCCAGGAGTTGGTCACAGCTTTCGATGATCTCCACTGGTCGGTGGGGCTGCTCGAGCGCGATAATTGGGATGGCGAAACCGCCTGGAAGTACCATCTCCGAAGCGATTGCTTCAGCCGACAGGTGGAACACTATCTGAGGGCTAACATGACCGCCACCCGGCAGCTGATCAAGGACAGTGCAGCCTTGAACGTTGCCTTCCAGGCCTATCTCATCTGGCTCGGATTTCAGGAACCCAACAATGACTTGGATATGCTACTCAATGAGACGCTACCAGGAATGGATTACACAAATACCGCCCTCTTCTTTGTGGCCTATGCCCAGCAGCATTGCGACCTGGAAGAGTTTCGTCCGAAAGATGACCAGACGGGAACCGGAGGATGGCTTTACAGTGCGCGACAGAATCACACTTGGACGCGGCTCCGAGTGAATGGACCTTTACGCAATTCAGCGGAGTTTGCTAGAGATTTTCGGTGTCCCATTGGTTCGCCCATGAATCCCGCCACCAAGTGCAGTATATACTAAGAAGGATTTCTCTACAAATAACCATTTAAATATATACCGAAATAATATAAATGCTACGGATTTAAACTATTAGTGTTTCATAGGATAGAAATGTCTAGAATATCATTAGGAAATGATTCTATTTCTGGGATAGACTATACCCCCTTCCTTTTTCGGTGAGGGGATTACAACATTCGTTGAAAGAAGGAAAACCTTGTCACCAAGCGATTAGTGTTGATTTCATATCAATGCCAAGTTCTCGGCTCGTGAGGCCAGGTTTGTTTACTTCTCTCGCGGATTTCAAAGCCTGCCTGGGTGCGATAACCTCCAGGGACTGAGAGCGAACTTGACCCAATTCTCGCAAGTTCAAGTCCCAGCCAGTGGCAGCTTCCGATTCGTCGCTTATCAAGCCTCGAAACACCGCCGCTCAGTCGATTTTTCAACGCCAAGATGGGAGCTACCAGAAGCGCTTGGCTGAGTGTGCTCCTCCAGTGGCTGTTCCTTTCCATCGCGACTGGAGCCCGGTACAATAACAATAACATAAACAGTATGACTCGAATGCAGATGCAGGGCGGAGTCAAGCCGGATTCTCGGGAGGAGCACATGACGCGCCAACTGATGGCCTCGGATATGAAAAAGTATATGAACCTGAGCGCTGATCCCTGTAAGGACTTCTTTGAGTACGCCTGCGGTCACTGGGCAGACTATCACAGGCGGCAACTGCGACTGGGGGAGTTGTACACCGCCCAGCAAGTCATGGAAACCAAGATCACGGACCAGTTGCGGCAGCTGCTCACACAACCACTGCCGCCGCAGCGTCATCCAAACAGCTACAGCGAACCCAGTATGGCGAATGTGAGGAAAGCTCGAACCTTCTACGAATCCTGTGTGGCCGTGGAGGCAAATGCTGGCGAAAGACGCCGCTTCCTCACCAAGATCCTTAAGGACAATGGCGGACTCCGCAATGTTCCAAACTCCAACTGGCAGCACAATCGCCATTGGGTTCAAACTCTGGCCGATATAAAGAGGAGATACGGCTTGGATATTCTTCTGGGATTGGAAATCGATCTGAACCTGCAGAACATGCAGGGGAATAGCATATACTTTGGAGAGCCCAAGTTCACCATAATTCCCGAGGAGCACTGCAATGCGGTGGCCACCAAGGGTGCCCAAGTGAAGGACGAAGTCTACGAGCGGATTCAACAGCAAGTGGCGGAGAATCTACGGAATTGGTTTGGCGTGGACACGGGAGAGGCATCCCGCTTTGCCGGAGACATTGTGCGCTTTGAATTTGAACTCTGCAAGCGAATGAGAGAGCAGGATATTCAAATGCCCGAGGAGGAATCCCAACCGCCCAACGGTCCTATATTCGGAGTTCGATCACGAACAGGCCAGGATCGATTGCACCGCCAGAGGGGAGGAATGAATCTCAACGAACTGACCAATGAAATGGGCAATGTCTTGGACTTTAGAATGTTTGTGGAATTAGTCTTGGAGAATCCATATTCAAATTCGGTTTACCTGCGTTCCCCGGAATACATAAAGCATTTGATACAAACAGTGAAGGTGAACAACCGATTGACAGTTGGTGGTTACATTATCTACGTAGCACTCAACGAACTTAATCAGCCTCCGGAAGAACCTCCTTCGCAGCGTGCTCGTCAGTGCGTCCAAGTCACACAACGCCTCTTTCCCCAGGTTCTGGGTGAGATGTTCCAGCGCCATGTGCAGCGTGACAATGCCAAACACGACCTGGATGCAGTTTTTCGCGATGTCATCAAAGCGCTCGAACAGCAGATGCGTGTGGAATGGTTGGACGAGAACGATCGAAGAGCGGTCAGAACCAGACTGTCTCAGTATCGCGTTCTGCTTCCGGATTACCAGAGTCTGGACCTCTCTGACTTGCAGTTCCAGAAACAGGACGACTACTGGCGTCGTTTGGAGATTGTGCTAAAATATCGCTCCAAGCGGCAGTTTGAAAGTTTGAACGGTAATGATTTTGGGCAGGACTTGCATAGCATCCTGGATGCCTTCGAAGTGCGAACAGCGTTGGCTCCCCGCCAGCAGGCAGTTCTAGTTGGATGGGGTCTCCTCCAGCCGCCGTACTATAGCTATTACTATCCCAAAGCCCTTAAATACGCCTTGTTGGGTCAGAGATTGGCCAGCGCCTTGGTCCAGGCTTTCGACGATGAGGGATGGAACCGTCATCCACAAGCCACCTCCCAGTGGAATGAGCTAACCATGGCGGGATATCGAAATGTCAGTGAATGCCAGCGAGCTCAGTACAGTAGCTATTTGTATAATGAACCAGGAGAGTTTCGGAATGTCACGAGGCTAAGGGAAATCATAGCCGAGGGCAGTGGTCTGAATATAGCTTTCAAGGCCTATTTGGAATGGCTGGAGCAGCAGGACTACCGGCTGGGTCCTCTTCTCCAAAAGGAAACTCTTCCCCAGCTAAACTTTAGCAACACTCAGCTGTTCTTCCTCTACTTTGCTCAGACACGTTGCTGGGCGAAGGACAACCAGGAAGCCATACTGGACTCGATGCCTCTGACGCAGCACACACCGGAGAGATGGAACGTGAATGGACCACTGAGCAACTTCGTGGAGTTTGGGCGGGAATTTGGCTGTGCTCTGGGCACGCCTATGAACAGCGGGGATAAATGTTTGGTTTACTGATGAATAAACTATAAAATAAAATGGATAAAACTATAGATAGCTATTGAATTATTATTATTGGTGGAAAACGATTAGTTTGGTTGAAAATCTATTTCAACTGAACTTATCGCTCAATGCCAAGTTCTAGGAAACTGAGGCCAAGATTGTTTACTTCTCCCTTGAATTTCCGAGCTTCGGTGATAAGCCGGATGTGTTGAGAGCACACTGGACGCGATTCTCTCAGGTGTAAGCCCGATCTGTTTATTATTAAACGCAGGAGCTGCGCATTTTAGTCTACTTTTCAACGCCAAGATGAGATCTTCGAGAAGCGCTGACTGGAGTGCGCTTCTAACGTTGCTATTGAGTGGCATTCAGTTTTTCGTTGTGACTGGAGTACGCCCGAAAAACAAACCTGGTTATCGAGAGGAGCTAATAGTGCGCCAACAAATGTCCTCGGATATGCAAAAATACATGAACCTGAGCGCAGATCCCTGCACGGATTTCTTCGAGTTTGCCTGCGGCAATTGGGGTGCCTATCACAGCTTATACTCCGCCCAGGAACTGATGGAGAACCGAATCTTGGAGCAGTTGCAACAGCTTCTTACGGAACCGCTACCACCGCAGCATCATCCAAACGGCTACAGTGGGCAAAGTTTGTCGAATGTGAGGAAAGTTCGAGCCTTCTACGAATCCTGTGTGGCTGTGGAGGGGAATGCATCCGAACGGCGACGCTTTCTAATGAAGATTCTCCAGGATAATGGAGGATTGCGAAATGTTGAGAACTCCAATTGGCAACATAACCGTCAGTGGCTACAAACTCTGGCCGAATTGAGGAGAAAATACGGATTGGACATTCTTCTAGGACTGGAAATCGATCAGAGCCAGCAGGGAAACAGCATAAGCTTTGGGGAGCCCAAGCTCACCATTATTCCGGTGGAGCATTGTAATGCTTTTGTCACTCACGGAGATCGGGTGAAGGAAGAGATCTATGAGCAGGTGCAAGAACAGGTGGCGGAAAACATGCAGAATTGGTTTGCCATGGACGCTGGGGAAGCGTTCCGTTTTGGGGGAGATATTGTACGATTTGAATTTGAACTCTGCAAGGGAATGCGAGTGGAAGATATTCAAGAGCCCATGGATGAATCACCAAGAGCACTTCCTCTTTATGGGTCTCGGTCTCGAACTGCTCAGATACAATTAAATCGCCGGAAAAATGGAATGACTCTCGCTGAACTCACCAATGAAATGGGTAATCTATTGGACTTTAAATTATTTGTGGAGATTATCTTAGAGAACCAATACCTTGGCGCAGTATACCTGAGATCATCAGAGTATATAAAACACCTTATAAGAACTGTAAAGTCCAACAACCACATAACTCTTAGTTGGTACATAATCTACGTTGCACTCAATGAGCTCAATCAGCCTCCGGAAGAACCTCCTTTACATCGCCCTCGCCAGTGCGTTCAGGTGATCGAGCAACTCTTTCCCCATGTTCTGGGTGAGATGTTCCAGCGCCATGTGCAACGAGACAATGCCAAACACGACTTAGATGCAATTTTTAGTGATATAATCAAAGCCTTTGAGCAGCAAATGCATGCAGAGTGGCTGGATGAGAGGGATCGAAGGGCGGCCAGGACCAGACTCTCTCAGTATCGATTCCTACTTCCGGATTACAAGAATTTAGATCTCTCCGACTTGCAGTTCTACAAACGACAGGACTATTGGAGCCGCTTAGAGACTGTTCTTAAATATCGTTCTGACCAGCAGTTTGAAAAATTAAGGGAAAGTGATAATGACCAGGATTTGAATGATCTTCTGGACGCCTTTGAAGTACGTACTTCATTGGCATCCCACAAGCAGGCAGTTCTAGTTGGTTGGGGCTTGCTTCAGTCCCCTTACTACCACTACCACTATCCCAAGGCACTCAAATACGCCTTGTTGGGTCAGAGATTGGCCAGTTCCTTGGTCCAGGCTTTCGTCGACAACGGATGGAACCAGTGGAATGAGCTAACCATGGATGGATATCGAAATGTAAGCGAGTGCCATCGAGCTCAGTATAGTAACTACCTGTACAATGAACCAAGAGAGTTCCGAAGCGTCACAAGGCTAAGGGAGATTATAGCCGAGAGTAGTGGTCTCAACATTGCTTTCAAAGCCTATTTGGAGTGGCTGGAGCAGCAAGACTACAGCCTGGGTCCACTCTTAGAAAAGGAAACTCTTCCACAGCTGAATTTCAGCAACACCCAGCTCTTCTTCATCTACTTTGCTCAGTCCCAGTGCTGGGCGAAGGACAACCAGGAAGCCATACTGGACTCGATGCCTCTGATGCAGCACACTCCAGAGAGATGGAACGTGAATGGACCACTGAGCAACTCCGTGGAGTTTGGGCGGGAATTTGGCTGTGCTCTGGGCACACCGATGAACAATGGGGATAAGTGTTTGGTTTACTGATGACCATGCGACATAAATAAAAATATTGGAAAGTAAGTCAAGAAGGAATTATTGATTGGAGTGTAGAAAGCTTCAGCGTTTCCAGCTTCTTACTTTGGCCAGTTAACTTTAAAATATTTCTGTATCTCTGGGAGAATTCAGGCTGCAGATCGATTTCTTAAACTGCAAGCACAGATTTCTTTAAATATCGAAACTCTTGAACACAGCTCGACGTGTCTCCAGCTTGGGCTGGGTTTTAGGCACTCGAGCACGCAGCCCTCGTTCCAAGCATTCATATTCATTAAGAGATATGCCCGCTCATTAATACCCAACCATGGCATGTGGGCAGAGCTCTCGACCTTGAACTGTCAATCGATTGCTCGTGACCATATGGGATGCGGATGCGGGACGCACGCATTTCCGTTGTGTGTAACATTAAGCTTACCTGCAACGAAAAAAGAGTTAAAGAAAATTATTAGCAACAAGTATAAAATAAACTTAAATTCTGTATTCAAATGAATAAACAATAAACAACAATTAAGTTAAAGAGAACTCAATTAACCTTTACTAATCACAAATTAAACCTAATTTTACATTTTGATTAGGAATTCATTTATTCACTTATTCATTATCAAATTTTCTCTTGAGAGTTAAGTTAGCAGAACCACTTTTTTGAGTGCATTCTATTTGCTGGATATAGCAGTTAGTCATCTCACTGATTTCAAATGGAACGGAAGTGCACCATGGCCAGTGCATAATATTCTGTAAGCTCTTGGAGCGTATCATCAATTACTGTTCTGCGAAAATGGCATACAATTTGGCGAATCAATTCGTCATGGGACTGGTAAAAACAACACTATAGCTTTAAATAATGTTGGAAGTTAAGTGTGTAATCGCTTAAAAGACAAAAAAAAACACATAATGGAAAAAAAAAGAGAAAACAAAAACCTAATAAAAGAGCTCCCCAGCAAAGTAATTTTCAATTCACATTCGTAGGAAAAAGATGCCATGGCCTCGGGTATATCATTATGGTCGCCGCAAATCAAATGGGGGGAAAATGTTCGCACAACGGTCATAAAGTGACGCGGAATTCCAGGCAAATGTCTTCAGCCACTCCGACTCCCGCGGCACCTTTAAGTATCTCGCTTCCCCCACAATTATCAGACATTTTCGAGACGAGAGCCATCAAATTGGCGTCGTCGGCGCCGTTTGTTGGTAGCTAATCAGTGAAAAGAGAAAGAAACTGCATGAAACGGAAGCTTTTGGGAAAGGCAATAAGCAATAATTAACAGATAATCCATAAAAAATAACGATGCAAAGGGGCTTTGCATATGGCAATCAAAGGGACTGTAGATATTCCCTACCCAGAATCGCATTTAAGCAGAACATAATAGAAACACCTACGCCTATAAGCGGATTTCACACAAGGTGTGTCTCCCTATTGGATCCTTTTACCTCTTACAAGTCCGGTTATGCAGCTCTGAAAGAGGCTTAATGAAGCTTTATCTACAGACACAATGGCGGAGATTGTAGAGTCTCATATGCATATATGCTTGCATTAGTTATGCAACATATATTTCCACCATATCATCATATGCACTTCTCCTCTCCCCTTAGAGGCTATAAATTTGACAAAGCTTACATCGGCATCGACTTCAGAGGAAGACAATCCCAGAGTCAAATGAAAATGTGAGAAAAATGCAGTGGACAAAAACGAAACCAGAAATAAACGGAGCGCACGAGTCAATTTGATTAATCAACTTTACAAAGTCCCCAATAAATCAAGCACAAGTATTTAAACAAGACAGACGCTAGGCAAATGACCCAATTTCCTAGCCCCTATCTATGTATTCTGTCTGCCTGCCTGGGTCTTTGAGTGGCATTACCAATCTATGCCAAGTGACTCCAAAAGAGCACCACTGCCGCCGAATCCCCCGGGCACGTTCTAGATAGTGTGAAGGACCGATTCAATATTTCATTCACACATTTTTAACCCAAATTCGAAAATGTCTTTACATTAGTTTCCATAAAAACAAACAACAGCAGCAGCAGCAGCGGGCGGTATGAGTGGAAATAGCCAAACTAAGTGGTTCTACACATGTCGAGCGGCATTCCAACAAATTGATCTTGAATGTGGCCAAACATAGATCAATGGATGGCCAGCAGGTGTGGCCGGGAAATTGAGGAAAAACCGCTTGCAGACAGTAAAAGTACTTGTCCATTACTTCATTTGTGGTCTGCACAGGTCGTACGTCGGTTCCCAGGGAAGCTGCTGGAGCAGGAGGCTCATATATCATCTCGAATCTCGGTGCAAACACTTTTGTAATTCAAAACTGTTTACGCTGGGCCCGGGACACCAGACAGACAGCCGATATAAGTGGCAGAAACGAGAGCGAAGCTTGGGGAACATATATATACATACATATATGTACATATCTCGACACATATTGCTTCAGAGTTATTATTATATCTCTGCGGCAACTTCGCATGTGGGCGGCGACGCCTCTGGGCCTGTCATATATGGCCTCCATTTATTCACCGTGCAATATGTGTACGGGTTATAAATACTTTACATGCGACTTTGGCAAGCCATAAGTAATGAAATTTATTTCTCATTTCAATTGAATTCTTTCTCGACGAGGAGCGCCCATATTTAGTTTTGTCCAAAACAATTTGTCATTATTCTAAGGCATTACATATGAGAGGCGGCACCATGGAGCTGAATAGAGAAAAATGTCATTAGAATTGCTCAAACAATGGGGGTATTTCTATATATTTGACTTAAATATTCGAGGGTACAAGAAGTACTCAACCAAGTTAAACTTTCTTGAATGGGGTAATCTCTGTTATCTTTATATGCACAATAATCTGTAAAGAATTTGGTTTATGTTGGTTTAAAAAACACTTGATATGCCTGTCGTTTTAACAAGATTCTTATCGCCTCTCTTGGCAGCTTAAAATTCATGAGATGTTACTGTGACGTTACTAATTAAATTATGGGATCAGAATAAAGAGACATTAACAGATTACTTTGACAACCAAAAACAAGTTGAACTTTCGGTAATATTTACAAATTTTATAATGATATTTTAAGCAATTTAAGAACAGCCTTTCTAGCAAAACCATAAATGAGTAGACACATATAAAAAGATAATGCCACATTTCACCTGTACATATGATTCACCTTATATAAAACAGACATGGTAACAGCTTTAATTTTTTGCGGTGTGACAAGCAATCTGATTAGTCCTGAAACTTCATAAATATTGCATACGTGTTCAATTAACAGAAGGCATCGGGCTGCACTCCTTGGGGGTGATCCTAAAAGGGTCGACTGCCATAAATAAGGGCCAAACCTAAGGGGTTTCATTCGGAGAGACTTTCCCGGCAAGCCCAGAGGGTGGCCACCACATGGAACAACCCTCTTCCGCCAGCTGGCAGATGTTGTGCTTTTGAAATGGCATTTGCAACCGCTACAAAACTAAATATTGGGGAGCGTGAGCCAATGACTCAGTGGCGGGTAATTTGGGGAACGGAATCAATTGCACACAGCCGAAAAAAAACCGGGTATCTGCGGGTAAAGGTAGCATGTCAAGGAAACGGCGCTGGAAGACCACCTTCTCCACCAGCACCACCCCCTAACAATTCTGGCTGAGAAACAGCTGAGAGGCAGAAAAGAGAGCAGCACTCTTGCTCGCTCTCGTTGTAAAAATCGATTTTCCAAAACAAACTCAAACTGGTGGCCGCCTTGGGCAGATAAATTCGCTGATGAAAAATCCAAATTACCTTTTCCAAACATAAATCTGCGTCAGACCAAGATGGAAAATCCCTTGTATCAAGTGTATATAGATTGGTATCCGTTGGATACTTTCGCAGATACTTTGGTGTTTCCAGCGTCAAAGCGTAAACAATTGATAATTTTATTAAGCACTAAAAAACACTAGGCAGCCCAGCCACCGAGTTTAACTGAAATTCTCACACAAAAATGATTTTGAAATGCACTTCACGCACTAAACTAAACTGGAAATGGAAAGGCAATACGGCCCCTTTCCCTTCACGAGATGGCATTCGGGCCAAAGTGGGTGTGGTGAGTTTCCCTTGCCTCTGGGCCAGGACTTATCGATTTGGCAATTAGTCGCGTGCAAAAGCAAGTCAATGCGACGACTTTCAGCTTTACAATTGCTTTTATCGTACGCGACACGAACAAAGCGACTTGGGCAACGCAGAAATAAAGAATTCAAATTTCAAATTCCACGGGGGGATACACACGATAAGGCGATTTCCTCCGCACCGAACCACGAGTAAGTCGCTCCACTCAGGCCAGCGAGCAGCAGCGTCTATGACGACCGTCGATGGCGATGTGTGGCGTCGCTGTGTGGCTCACTTGGGCGCTCCATTCCGCTCCGCTCCGCTCATGCTCATGCTCATGCTCATGCTCTCACGCTCTCACTCCGCCAGTTATGCTGTGCTGCTGGCGCTGTCCGCGCAGCATAGGCATATATAGTGGCAGTGGCCACCGATTTTCAGACACAGAAAAAAAAATATAGTGAAAAGGCAAAGAAATGGTACCAAAGCCTAATATATACAGAAAAATAATTGTATTTTTCAAAATATTTCAAAAATAATAACCCAAAAATATGAAAATAGATTGTTTTTTTTTAAATATCTACAAGATCTATACAATATAAAACAGAAATACCCAAAGATTGTGGTACAAAAGCGAATATATAAAGCAAAAGAAAGTATATTTAAATTGTATTCTTTATAAAATTAATGAAATAATGTTTCAAATAGGTAGAAATACATTGTTTTTACGAATATCTATTAGATTTATATAATATCAAGCAAAAATATCTTCAGTGAGCTCTTATCTATAGGACCCGAAAGTCAAATAAGTAAAATAAACAAGAAATCTTGACAACCAAAATCGATAGGAAAAAATAAATATTTATACGAAACATTAATTATTCCAAATAACTACACAGTTGAAAGAAAAATATATTTAAATATATTTTAACTTACTTTAGCTCTTTACTTAATTTATTCATTAGCCAAATGTAAAAAGTTAGCGGAAATTATTTATGCGATTTCTACGGAAGTCCCCAAATAATAAAATTTGTAATTAAAAAACTAATTTATATTTCCTAAACGGTTTTGGCTACCTTTCCTTTGTTTTATTTTAGCCAGTTAAGAAAAACACACTCAAAGTACTCAGAAAATTCACGTTTTTAAACTAAAAACCAAGCACATATAGTACAAAAAATTTATTTTTTCATATGTATACTTCATACATTCTTTAAAGAGTCCCAGAGTTAATAAAAATAAAGCCTAATTAGGCCTATTTTACTCGTTAAAAAAATATATACCTGCAACAGCCTCTCATTTTAGACTACATTTTAAGCTTCCTAGGTTAAATACCTTAAAAGAGTCTGGTTTTTACTGTCCAATAAAATGTAGAAAATAATGTCTGCTTTATTGAGCAACAAGTTTATAATTTACATAGTTCTCAACAAATGTCTAACTAAAATGATAGACCCACTGTTAGAGTATCCAAAGCGGCAATGTCCGGCGTTCGAGCGATACTCAGATGTTCAGAGAGAGCGAGCCATTGCAACTCAGCAAAACTGGAGCACTGTGCTCCGGCTGATAGCATGACACACAGTCCATGACTAGTTCCCGAGTCTTTAGCTCTATGCGGTGGTGTGTGCGTGTTTGATAAGCGAACGGAAAATCGAATCGTGCGCTCTCCGATCAATAACCGAAAAGTAAACAAAGTCGAGGGGAGAACAAAGTAAACCCAAAGCAACGATCGGTCACGCATGCGCCCGAACACAACGAATTACCAATCGTGCTTTGGCCCACTGGCAACTGTGAAGGAAACTGGTTTCCTTGGGGGGTTGACATTTCCAAGACGATCCGCATTCTATGCAGATTAGCCTCGCCGCTAAACGCAATGATTTTTCCAACTAGCAGTGCATAGAACCCGTTCCGAGGTTAATGACACAATCAGACATCGGCCGACATACATATAGTTGCAGTATCGTATTAGCCAATTACCTAACATTCGCGCACAGATGAGCTAATGATCTAGTGGCGGTCAATCAGCGAGCACGCAATATGGTAACCAAACAATTTACGGACTGCCAGTTCCAAGACCAGAAAAAAAAGAATACCGAAAAAGCCAAGCCAACTGGACATGCAATGCGCAGCGAATTAAGATATATACTTTTCACGGTAGCCAACTTTCGGTTATCATCGAAAGAAAGTGTGCCCAATTGAATTAACAAGACGGGGCAAATGGGAAAATTCAGAAGCCAATTTGATGCCCAGGTGAAACTTACGTTGTATACTTTATATTTAGATTTATAATAGATATTCTTTATTTATGCTTCAAAGTTTATAGCATTTCAGGAAACAATGCCCATCCCTGGCACAAACGAGAAAGGTTGCCCAAATGGAAATCAATCGACGAGGGTCATTAGAGGGCCCCCAAGAACTCCGTGCACGGGGTTCCACGCCATTGAAATGCAAATGAGTTTGTAGTTTTTCTCCCAAGAATCAAGGGGAGCAGCCGCCGCTGGCCATTGATTGGAAAAGCGTATGCCAAGACACGGCTGAGGTCGAACCCAATCGCATCGATACGTCTGAATGCGCAGAGATTTACGTGTGACTTCAGAGTCCGAAACTTGATTATGACGCTATGAATATAAACAAAAGCGAAGCTTTTTGTCAGCGTCAAGCTCGGATTACTGTTGATGTTTTTTCCTATTTTTGTTATTTCTGTATTTCAATACGGTGTTCAAAACAAGTTTAACGAAAAGACAACAAAGGTAGCCGAGTTATTTCTTAGTCACTGAAATAAACAACTGCAGGCAAACTTCCTACATACATCGGGTTTGTCCTAATTTAAGCTGTTAATATAATTAAGTTCTATGAACTGAGGCAAGTTATAATTTCTTTTTTAAAAAGGTAAGCTGTTTGGCAGCAGACTAGACAGTTTAGCGCATTGAAACTTTTAAAAATTCGTATTAATAAATAAATAAAGTTGGCCTTAATGAAGTCATCCTACAGATTTCCTGTTATGAAAGCTTTACTGTGATACCAAAGGAACTCCTGTCGCGAACCTCGCTCATGGGCTAGCGATAATTATCAACTTAATAACTCGACACTAATTAGTCAGGTGCTCGCAATGGACTTCAAGGGGTAGGTGTGGGGAGGTAGGGTCTTAGTACGACCCTAGGTCGCGGCACAAAATAAAGACAAGCAACATTTTGACGCGGTCCGATGTGAAAACGAAAGCGATACCATTTTTCGGCGAGGAAAATCAAATCCGTCGGCGACGAGAAACCCATTTTGGAATGGCAATGGGACGGAATAGAGGAAACTGGAGCTCGAAAGCGATCCAAATGCCAGCGAATGGGTAAATTAAATCACAGCACCAGCATCAGCATCAGGCGGCAGCAAATCAACTTAATGACGACGGCTGGCAACTTTTCCAACGGTTTTATCTGGCGAGGCGATCGTGAGGTGAAATGAATTTAAGTTGCTTTTGCAGCAGCCACATAATGAGCGGCAACAACAATATGCCTGGGATAAAAAATCGATGAGTGCTCAATTAACTGTTATTCGCACACACACTAACCACACGCACACAAAGGCAAGCGCCCACGTAGTACGCCCACACACTGACAACAAACAATAAATATTACGCACAGATGCAGATGAAATTACCTTTTCAGCCGAGTTTTGTTGCTTTTTGGCAATTGCCTCTCAACAAAACAACATTTGGGGGTATTCGGAGCTTGTGTATGTGTGTGTGTTTTTTTTTATTCGCCTCCTCCTGTTCCGCAAGTGCCACTCCCACTCCGATTGGCGCTTGCAGTTTTCCTTTCAGTGGCAGGGCGGGCGTTCGTTGCCAAATTTACGTTTCACCACCACACTGCCTTTTATAATTTACTTTTGCAGTTATGTCAACTCCCTTTCGCGGCGTCTGTTGTTGTTGGTTTTGTTGGGTTTTGCAAATTATTCCGTGTAAATTATGTGCAGTGTGGTTGTTGTTGCTGCAGGTGGTCTAAACACTCGCGTTCGTTGGGTTTACGTGGTTTCGTATGCACTGGGTGCCGCACGCATAATTTGCGAATTGCAAATCGTCGTTTTAATATATTTTCGTTAGTAATTTGGCTATTTAATTGGTTTTAACACGGAGAAAACTTTCGACGTTTTTAGTGAGACAGAACATTTTCAGTGTGACCGGACCCACATAGACCCAAAATAACATACGGCCAATAAATAAATACTATTATATACCAATTCAGCACTATTTATGTACCAAAATCCTATTACTCAGGTACCAATTAGGCACTAGTTATATTATTAGTATTATATATTTTCGTTTTTAATTAATTAAAAATGTTCATTCCTATAAGTTCCACATATTTCTCATTTTTATATTTACTCAAATACCTATTTAATTATTGAATTACTGAAACTACTTATGTATGAATTTAAGTTCGGTTTGGAGAGGATGAAACTGTTTTCAGCGCGAAAAACTATATTCTTTTGAAGTGTAACCGCTCTTTTCACTAGTTTGTTAAAAAATACCGGAATTTCCTCTCCACAGTACCTGGTCACTCTAAAATAGCGAAACATTTAAGCTATTTTAAATCGATTTTAGTGTAACCCGCTCTTCGTGCTTATCGATATTAAAAAAAGTTGAGTCGGCCAGAAATTTGTTTACCTAAACAAAATGATCATAAAAAGTTTAATATTAGCATTATTAGTAAGTTTTGGACGAGAAGCAGCTACAGATAATGAAGGTCTGTGTAGCCCTGACCAGAAATCGTGTAGCCAACGTGAATTCGTGGACGAAAACCAGGATGAGTGTGAGCAACTTGTTGCCGGCTTTTCATTTATTGTTTACTCAATTTCCAACCATTTAGTTACCTTCCAGATACGTCGGCAGATCGATAAGGCAATGGCCGGATATAAGCCTTGCAGCAATGATGCAGAGGATGCCAGTTGCACTTGCCACGCGGCAGTTCTAAAGCGGGATCTGGCACTCTACAAGTCAACAGGTGTCACCCGGCAAATGATTGAAAGTTCGGCGAGATACGGCACCAAATACAAGGTGTATCAGAATCGCTTGTACCGGGATCCGAGCTGCATGTTCCCGGCCCGGTGCCAGGGTATCGAGCACTTTCTTCTGCCGCTGGTGGCGACTCTACCAAACATGGACTTGGTGGTAAATACAAGAGATTATCCGCAGCTGAACTCCGCCTGGGGCAACAGTGCCGGAGGTCCAGTGTTCTCATTTTCCAAGACCAAGGAGTACCGTGACATCATGTATCCGGCGTGGACCTTCTGGGCCGGAGGACCGGCGACCAAACTCCATCCTCGGGGCATCGGACGATGGGATCAGATGCGCGATAAGCTGGAAAAGCGAGCAGCTGCAATTCCCTGGTCGCAGAAACGAGAACTCGGCTTCTTTCGTGGCTCACGCACCTCCGACGAGCGGGACTCCCTTATTCTCCTCTCAAGGCGAAGTCCGGATCTGGTAGAGGCTCAGTACACAAAGAACCAGGGCTGGAAGTCACCCAAGGACACACTGGATGCTCCAGCAGCTGACGAGGTCTCCTTCGAAGATCACTGCAAATACAAATACTTGTTCAATTTCCGCGGAGTGGCTGCCAGTTTTCGGTTAAAGCACTTGTTCCTCTGCAAATCACTAGTCTTCCATGTGGGCGATGAGTGGCAGGAGTTTTTCTACGATCAACTGAAGCCATGGGTTCACTACGTCCCGCTTAAGAGCTATCCCAGCCAGCAGGAATACGAGGAAATTCTTTTGTTCTTCAGGAAAAATGATGCTCTGGCTCAGCAAATCGCTCAAAGAGGTTACGACTTCATCTGGCAGCATCTGCGCATGAAGGACATAAAGTGCTACTGGCGAAAACTGCTAAAAAGCTATGTAAAGCTGCTCAAATATGAGGTGCAGCCAGAAGATCACCTTATCCATATTGGCCAAGGCAAGGATGAACTGTAAAAGATTTACAAATTTTAGAAGACCTGTTGGGATTTCACTAATTTATTACAAGCATTCCTATAATCGAGTATATAACCAGGTATTAATTTCAGAATCTCCTATACACATTAATTCTATTCTAAAACAAATTGCTATATGAGAATAAGTAAGGTAACTGTGAGCCAATTTTCAAGTTTTTACTTTTAAACAATAGACATTTTAATAACGACTCAAAGTTTTATTAAAAGTATTTGGAAAAACATGTAAACTTGACAAAATTATGACGATGACGACCCTGCAAAGGAGATTACTCTTCGTGGGAGCCCTTATCCTGTGTTATGCTCCCCAAGCTCTCTCCGCCGTAGAGGACAAGTGCTCCGCACTTTCGCAATACGTTGAACCCAAGAGTAAGAAATTGCCTTTGTCTTAATGGATAATAAAATAATACTTTACATCTCCCAGTTAGCTACGACTTTGTTCCGTATGTCCTGCGGGCTCTGGACGAATATCGACCATGTGAGCCCGGTGATCCGAAGTGTCTCTGCCATGTTCAAACCATCCGAAAGAACTTGCAGCCATATAAGGACAACGGCATCACACCGGTCATGATGAAGCAGTCCCAACGTTTCGGCACCTTGTACAAGGTGATTCGTGGACGTATCTATCGCCAGGAGAACTGCTCTCATCCCAGGCGCTGTGACAATGTGGATGAATTGCTCTTGGACATGGCCGTTGATCTACCGGACCTGGAATTCGTTCTTAATGTGCGAGACTGGCCGCAAGTTCATTTTCTATCGGGTTTAAGTGGCCCCGTCCTTTCGTACTCGATCACCGAGCAGTATCTGGACATTATGTGTCCGGCTTGGTCATTTTGGACCGTGTATGCCCCGATCTTGCAAGACTATCCCCATGGCCTCGGTCGCTGGGATTGGATGCGCCAGCATATGGCAGACAGGGCGGCGAGGATACCCTGGAATACGAAGCACTCGAAGGGCTTCTTTCGGGGCTCACGATCTTCCCCAGAGCGCGATAATCTAGTGTTGCTCTCGCGCAGGTGTCCAGACCTGGTCGATGCCCAGTACACTGTGCATGTAATTGGTGAATCCGGTGCGCATACCCTCGGTACTGATCCCGCTGAAGAGATACCTTTTGTCGAGCATTGCCAGTACAAGTACTTGTTCAATTTCCGTGGCGTGGCTGCCAGTTTCCGGCTCCGTCATATCCTGCTCTGTCGTTCGCTGGTGATCCATGTGGGCGACCAGTGGGAGGAGTTCTTCTATAACCAACTGAAACCTTGGGTGCACTACGTTCCGGTAGCTAGCGATGCCGACGTGGATGAGCTGGCGGATTTAATCCTTTATCTTCGGGAGCACGATGACTTGGCGGAGGAGATAGCCGAAAGAGGACATGAGTTCGTTTGGCTGCATCTGCGAATGGAAGATGTGCAGTGCTACTGGCGGAAGTTGCTCCAGGAATACGCCCAGCTGCTCACCTATCAGGTTCAACCAGAGCCAGACTTGGTGGAGATATCCAACAAGAGAGCTGTGCAATTGTATTACGGGTAGTTAAGTCAAAAGTTTAATTTAAAATTTAAACAGAAAATGCATAAATTTTTATACAAAAAATTATGTCCGTAAAATAATCGTCGATGATTTAGCGTCGAAATGGAACATGGAGGGGACCTTTAATTTTTAATTTATTTCGTAATTAAGGCACTAATTCGATAAAAAAAATTCTTGCACATATGCACGGTATATAGGCTCACTAAGGGAAGATTAACGAAAATTTACAAAAAATTGCAATTGTTTTTAACCGTCAGATTTCGAAAAAATCGAATAACAGTGGGTGGTGTATTTGGTCTGATAGCTAAGGCGCGAACTATGGAAATGGAACTAGATGGGAACCAGCAGAGAACCACTCGCTGAATACCCCGCCAGAAAATATTCCTATTGGCCATTTAAACAATTGTATAAAATATGCATGACCCATGAATAAAATTTACATTCCAAGCATTTTGGTAGATGTTTCATCAAAATCGGTGTAGCCGTTCAAGAGAAAACATCACTTTTTCATTTATTTCCATAAATGCTCCTTCGAGGAATAAATATATCTGGCAGCACTGTCTGCATAAAATTAAATCAATTTCATTTAAACTGTATTAAAAAAAACTTATGCAAAGTGAAGATCGTACCATTAACGGGATCGCAATTCTGAACATTTTGATATATGTTTCGTCAAAATCCGTTCAGTCGTTTATAAGAATTCCCTACTTTTTCATTTATTTCCATTTATGTGCCAGCGAAGAATAAATATATCCCGCAGCCCTGCCTGCCTAAATACCAAGAAAATTTATTTCAACTTTATGGTAAAGCCTATGCAAAAGGAAGACTGTCCCATAGACGGCATCGTAGTACTGGACATTTTGATCTATGTTTCATCAATATCCGTTCAGTCGTTAATGAGAAATTCGTCTTTTTCATTTTTAGCAGTTGGGTACCAGGGGTGCACACTCATGCCTCCTTAGTACATAAATTAGTAATTCAAATGTTAATTTCTCCCAAACTACTGAACGGATTTTGATGAAACACCTACCGAATTGCTTAGAAAAACGATATAATTTATTGGGCAGACTATTAAATGTTATTTCGAAAATTTGCTTCTCAAGTCTATGGCTTCAATGCCCTTGCCTTGTAATATGATTTCAGGTCAAAAATTTGTAACGCAGTAAATAAATTATTTTCTACCATATAAAGTATATATATTCTTGATCAGCATCAACAGCATAGTCGATCTAGCTATGTCTGTCTGTCTGTCAGTTCAATTATGTTCATTTACGGCAATAAATGAAAAATCGGAATTTCTCATTAACGACTGAATGGATTTTGATGAAACATGGATCAAAATTTTCAGAGCTGCGATGCCGTTTATTGAATCACCTTCCTGTTGCATAGGTTAAACCATAAAGTTTAAATCAAATTGACTTAATTTTATACAGGCAGTGCTGCCAGATATATTTATTCTTAGTTGGAACATTTATGGAAATAAATGAAAAAATGATGTTTTCTCTTGAACGGCTGAACCGATTTTGATGAAACATCTACCAAAATGCTTGGAATGTCAATTTTATTCATGGGGGATGCTTATTTTATAAAATTTTTTAAATGGCCAATAAGAATATTTTCTAGCGGGGTATTCATCGATAGGGTGTGGAAGGCGCCCCTATCGATATGAAGCAAGTGTTTGTGAATGAGATCGGAAAAATAAAACACTAATTTTTAAAAATCTGTGGGTTAGATTTAATAGAGATTAATTTCGAAGTTGTAGAACATTTTTCGCTATCATTTGAGATACCGTGCAAGCTTGCACGCGTTTATTTAATCTTTCCCTAAATTAGATAAAAATCCCACAAAATTGTTTTGAATGGCTGTTCGATTTATTGAGCATTCACTTTTCTTAATGTTTTATTCAACGCTTTGCAGTTTTTATTTAATTTAGTATTTTTCTTAACATGGTTCCATGGTCTGGTTCAGCGAGTAGTTCTGTGCTGGTTCTTATCTGGTTCCATTTTCATAGTTCGCGCCTTAGCTATCAGCCCATATTCACCACCCACTGTTATTCGATTTTCTCGAAATCTGACTGTTAAAAACAATTTAAATTTTCACTAAATATTCGTTATTCGTTATCTTTTCTTAGTAAGTCTTAGAAAGTATATACCGTGTATATGCGCATGAATTTTTTTTAAAATCGAATTAGTGCCTTAATTACGAAATAAATGAAAAATTAAAGGTCCCCGCCATGTTCCATTTTCCCACCGTTCCATTTCGACGCTAATTTGAAGGAGATCAAAAAATTCAAATACCCAGTGTGACCTTACTAACAACCGTTGGTTTGTCGCGACGTAACAGCTGTTTTGTGTTTTTCTTCTTTTTTATTTATTTATATGGATTCCGTGTCATGGCAGCGCAGCTGAATCCCTTCCGCAACGCATTTCGGCTGCCGGCCACGCAGCGTGTCAACTGGTTCCCGGGCCACATGACCAAAGGCATCCGCCAAATCCAACAAAAACTGCGAACGGTAGACTGTATTGTGGAAATCCATGATGCACGCATACCGCTGGCGGGCAGGAACTCCCAGTTCTTTGACACCATCACGGGTGGGTTCATCTAATGACTTACTCGCCAAAAGAAACTTATTTAATCCTTCTGTTTACTCAGGAAGTGGCGTTAAACCGCACATTCTGGTCCTGAACAAAGTCGATCTCCTGGGCGCGAAGCAGCAGAGAAGTGTGTTGCAACAGCTGAGGTCGCAGCAACCCGGACTCAAGCACATACTTTTCACCAATTGCAAGGATCAGCGGAACCATGGCGTGTTGGACATCCTCCCACTGGCCACTCGACTTGTGGGCGAGAGCAGTCGCTTTAATCGCACCCAGGCGGCCGAGCACAACATCATGATCATCGGGGTTCCCAATGTGGGCAAAAGCTCCATCATCAACGTGCTGCGGAATGTGCACCTGAAGAAAAAGAGTGCAGCCCGGGTGGGAGCGGAAGCGGGAATCACACGAGCCGTTGGGGAACGCATCAAGATCCAGGAGAATCCACCAGTCTACATGATCGACACACCCGGTATCCTTCAGCCCTCCATCAAAGACGATGAGATGGGCATGAAACTGGCTCTGGTAGGCTGCCTCCCGGATCACATCGTGGGAGAGGATCTCATAGCGGACTACCTGCTCTACTGGCTGAATAGCCACCGGCGCTTTAATTACGTGGAACTGTTGTCACTCAGTTCCGGACCCAGCGACAACATAAGCGCCGTGCTAGCGGAGTATGCCCACCGCGAGGAGCTGTTCCACAAGGTCAAACAGTACGACGGACGGGTGGAGGTGATGACCAATTTATTGGCGGCAGCACGAAAGTTTATACACTTCTTCCGCACTGGCCAGCTGGGCAACATCAATCTGGATGAGCCAATCGGTTTTAGATAGCTTTACATAAAAGTAACTTAAGGGCTAAGAGTAAATATTGAACCGTAGAGTCCGATTGCGTCCTTATTGGCCGTCTGCCATGGGCACATCAATGCCGATGTGACCAACACCTGGCACCGGAATGGAGTAGGAAACTGCTACATTTCCCATGTTGGGGTCGTCGGCGAGGTCCATGGGTGTGTGATGCTGTGGCACCTGATCGACGGGCATGGCCATGCTGTACTGTTCAGCTGTCTGATCATGTTCCTGCGCCACTTCTTGATGAACTTCTACCGGAACGCTGCTAACGGGCGGGTAACTTGTGCGCGAGGCCACCGAACGCAGCTCTTCCGGCACGCCTTTCATCCGCTTCGCTATGTGGCGCGTATACGGTGCCATCTTCTGATAGTATGCGATCAGCATCTGCGGATCCTTTTCCGACAGCTGACTGCTGGGCACCAAGTCAAATTCATCGCAGTACTGCCAACGCACAAGGTACTTAATGCCCCCGGTGACATCCGTGGCGCCCACTATCTCGGCCAGCTCCAGACCGCGTTCGTATCCACGTGGCTTCTGGATCTCCTCGCACTTGGGCTTCTTCTCGCCTCGCTTTTTCGACTTGGCCCTCGACTCCTCGAAACGCTGGATTAGCGTCGGACAGTCGCAGTTCTCCTCCGGCTCCCAGGTGTTGTCCGTCGACGGGAAGCCGCGCCACTTGATGAAGTACTCCACCTTGCCGTCGCTGGTGATGCGCTTGTCCATGATGCGCTCCACCACAAAGTTTGTCTCGTTTTTAACCATTTTTCCTTAGTTTTTATAATTTTTTCGGATTGTTTACAACTTTTCTATGTACCGCTTGGTTTTTTTTTGTGGGAAATATGTACACACTGGTACGTGTGTTATCGGTTATAAATCGAATGCCGATAGTTTTTTCTCGATAACGAATGTTGTTAATGTTTAAAATATTTGCTTATAAACTTATAAAAACAACCGTAGTATATTTGTTTAAATACCTCTACTAAAACTACTAATATACATTTATTACAGTAGAATATATTTTATATTTATCCTTTGTCGAGGATATTCACTTTTACAGCGAGTTGGCAGTCCCTCTTCCAAAAGCACGCGATCTACTCGAATTCAGGTGTCAAATTTCTAAAAATTGAAAATATAAAGCGGAACGATGGCGATTAGCCTGGAGGAATGGTCCGATTGGAATCCCATGTCCCAGGACTTCAATAATGAATATATTAACGATCAGTGGCAGAATATGATCGAGGAGGAGCCTGCCCCTGTCAGGGCGCAGTCTTTTTCATTCAAGGACACCATCGAGGCGAGAAAAAAGGCCCGCAGCGAGAAGCAGCAGAAATACCCATATCTGGTGGTGAAGAAAATCTCAGAATTTGTTACGGAAAATATGCTTACATGTTTCTTTGGGAGAGATCTAATCCAGGACATGGAATATCGCCCAATGTCGCGAATTTTCTTTGTCTACTTTAAGAACATCGGGTAAGTTGGAATATGAAACAGTGTGTGTAAGGCTATTTACTTATAATTTCTTGCAGTTCGTTCGAGGCAGCGCAAACGAAAGTGGAGCTCAACCCATCCTTGATCACTTGCCAACGCGGTCGCCACAGGCCGCCCCCGGAGAAAAACGACAATATACCAGCTGCAGCTGCAGATCCGGGTCCGAATCCCTCAATCACTGAGCGAACCGAAGTGAATCTCTCGTTGCGAATGATATGCACCTCAACTGGCTGTCAAAAACATCCGATCTTTATTCAGCCTCCGTTACTGACGAAGGCGGATTACGCCGCCAAGGAATCACTGCTGGCCATCAACGATCCAGATCGGCGCTACCTGAATGTCAAGTATGAGTTTGCCTGGGAGCGGCATGGCATCTATGTGCTCAAAGAGGAGCGGGTGCAGATGAACTGCACTGTGCACTATCTTTCGGGTAGATCCAGAACCATGTAAGTATACTCTCTGTCTCTGTTTTGTTCATATGTTACATCCACAATCTATTTTAGACCCCTTTTTGCCGATGAGGAAAGCACGAAGGCCGAAGACAATAATACCCTAAGCCATTTGATCGAAAAAATGGGGCTGCGGCAGTGTGTGGCCTGTCATAATTGGACAGACGTGTCCTGCAAGGACTGCAGTATGCCTTTTTGCAACGAGGAATGTTTTGATGATGTGAACAAGGCGCACAAAGAGAGTTGCGGAACTGGCAAAGAACTCGACCTTGGTGATAGCGTTGGAAGTAGACGCAAATTCCCAAAGCCCCAAATGCCACCGTCCGGATCTAAGGTTAAGATTACCGCATTCCAACAGACAAATGTCTGCTATGTGCGCTCCACTGAGTATCATGATGAAGTCGCCTACATCAGAGTCCTTACTGAAATAATAATGGAGGGCAAAGAGGCGGCAAGGCTCGAGAATCTGCCGAAATCTGGAGAGATGGTTCTTGTTAAGTTTGAGACCGAAATAACCCGTGCCATGGTGCTCTATGTTGACAATCTAAACGACATATATGTGGTGTGCATCGATTTTGGGAACGTTGAGGTCGTAAAGTTGGAAGACCTTTATCAATGTAGTCCCTATCTCGCAGGCTTACCGTGTTATACCATTGCCGTGCAGTTACGTGGAGTTCCCAAGGCCTTTTTGAGCCCCAATATCAGGGAAGCGATTTACGAGCTGAGTGGGACGATGGTGTATAAATTGAAGTACTCAAAGCAGGAGTACGACTCTGTTAAGAACATCCAGGTCGCTGTGCTGACCGAAGTCTATAAGAACGGTAGCCTGAATCGTTTGCTCAAGACTATCATGTCGCCGACGGTTCCTCCATTGTCGGATCCTGGATTCAAAGAGGATGTAAGTAAATACTTACTCAACGCTGTAACTCTCGTTTTATTATTCTGGATTAGTATCTTCCACATATATCCTTGCCCACTGGCAAGAACATTGAGTTGGTTGTGATGGACAATACTCTTCTAAAATTCGGTCTTATTTACTGCACGCTCAAGGATCTGTCTTATGAGGTCACCAAAATACAAAGGGACATGCAGGCATATGGCGAAAAGCCAAGCACATGTTCATTTTACGCTCCACCGTAAGTTTATATTTACTTTAAGACTTTCTGTATTTAAGAAACTTTCTTTTTACTTCAGGAAAGATGAACTTTGCGTAGCCAAATACGAGGGCAAGTGGTGCCGGGGTCTTTCGATGGAGCTGGTGGGCGATGGATATCCCAGCATTTTGTTCCTAGATTACGGCAACATTGTGCCCATCCACGTGAGCGACATACGTCCGTATCCACCACAGTTTAGGTTCCCAGTGTTGACCACTGAACTCGATTTGATTGGTAAGCGATAGAACTATAATAATAGCATTATAATTTAAAAAATATTCACTCATTGTCCCATCATACAGGTTCACCAGAAAACCCTACCGATGAGCAGGTCAGGCGCCTAGAGCAGTATCTGGTTGTGGGTTCAACCGTCAGCTGCAGCGAAATAGTTTGGTGTCAAGAATCCAACAACTATTCAGTTCGCTTCGATGAACTGCAAAATATTTTTAATTTAAAATAACTTTGTAAGGACATACATAACATTCCAAAATAAGAACTTCCAAAAACAGTTATTAATATTGAAGTTATGAAATAATTCTTTAATTTCTTTGTTTAAGTTTTGACATTTTCGTTATTCCTGAAGTGAAATATATTATCATGTTCATATTAATAAATCCTTATTACACTTATGTCTCATTTTTGGTTAAATAAATACGTTGTAGGCTTTCCAGGCTATCAGAAATACAAGCCTCCTGCAATTAAATTGGAACAATTAAATTAAAAGTTAATATTAAACCGTTAAATCAGGCATACTTGCAAAAACTCTTTGGTATATGGCGGCTCCGCACACCTGTAGCTTTCAAGGTCATCCGTCGCATCTCCAGGATGGACACCTAAACTTCTATAAAACTCCTGCTCCTCTGGAGAACCACCAGATGTAACCAATGTATATATTTTCGTCTCAGCTGCCAGGAAATGATTATTAGTTGCCTGCCGCCTAGCATTGTGGTTATAAATAATAAGGTATTTGCAGCGGAGAGATCGGATCCCTGGCAGTTGGCTTGTCAGTGCCAAGGCAACCATGGGTGACCCAGGTTTCCCTTCTTGGTTAAACGAAGATACTTGATCCGCATCATTCAGCTGTACGTGTGATATATCCCAGTTTTCGCAGTATCCCATTACCAGGCGCAAGCAGTCCTGACTATTGGCCACAATGCAGCATTTCTCTCCCCGCTCCACAACCAGATCGTCCAGCATTAAATGCACAAACTCGAACTTGGCCGAGTCGTACAGACCCATTTCCGTCCATGGCGGCAAACGAGGCTTGAGCATTTGCATCAGCTCTAAGCTATCAGGTTGGTTGACTCTGGTTTTTAGCAGCACAGGATGGTCACAGATCTCATGGACCATGTCCAAGACTACAGATTGTTCCTGACCATGACTATGTGCAGCTAAGAAGTGTAGTATTTTCTCCTGAAGCTGGGCTGGAGCAAGAAGGCACAAATATTCAACCGGAGTAAATGACGCAGGAGGTAATGGATTCACTGGCTCTGACGGACTTTCCCAGCTAATACTCTGATATGACGGTGGCGAAGTGGGATTGGTTTCCTGGCTCCAGCTTGGAATTTCTTTTTTGCGTTGGGCCGGACACTCCCCGACGGTTTTGAAGTCCTCTTCGACCTCTGTGGGACTTCCCTGGCGCATCCTCTTCTTGAGCACATGTGATCTAAAAGGTAAATTGACCACCGGAGGTGACTCAGTGTCGCCCACATGGCCATTTTGTGTGTCTATCTTCTTGCACCAATTCGCAATCTCCAGCTTGCGGTGCGCCGCGCACTCCTCAACGTTCTGGAACTCCTCCTGGACCTCTACATCCCTGCTGCCGATCTGCAGTTGATCGTTTTCCTTGATCTGTCGCGGCTTGAAGCACGTTGCAGTGTCAACAACCAGGCCCGAATCATCCTTTAGAGTCATCTTTGATCCGGTGACCACAAGTGTTCCGTTGCCAGTCCAGGTCTTGTGTTTCTTGGTGGTTTGATTCCGCCAGAGCACATGGTAAATGCGGCTGCCTCTGAGCGGGTTTTCACCAGGCTTTAGTTCTCGGAGACCTAGGCTTTCATAGCTCTTGGAGGAACCCCATGCCATCTGGGGAGAGTTGCTAGGCCATGAGCACGGCGGTTCTTCTTGTTGCTCTGAGGGATGGGGATTTCCAGATTCTCGCTTGGCGGCCAGGCGCATTGAAGGCGCCTTGGAACGTCGCATTGAAAAGACTTTAATATTAACTAATATTAATTGATATTAATATAAATTCCCAAAAATTCACGACAAAACGCGGCGCAAATAAAATTCGAAACAGGAAAGCAGTGTGACCGAAGCTCACTGACAGAATAATAACATTCAATGAAAGCATGGCTTTCATGTGACCGCGAAATGGTCACACCAGCATGCTGGAAGCTAACCGGCGCTCCAAATCTGAAGATTTTTGCCGAAATTCTCCCGAGACTCGCGATACCCCTTTCTGTGGGCCAGCACCGGCACAATGGCGTTTCACTGGTGCGACAACAACCTGCACACCACCGTCTTCACGCCGCGCGACTTCCAGGTCGAGCTGCTGGCCGCCGCCTATGAGCGCAACACCATCATTTGCCTGGGCCACCGCAGCTCCAAGGAGTTTATCGCCCTCAAGCTGCTGCAGGAGTTCTCGCGCCGCGGTCGCCGTCGTGGCAAGGTCAGTGTCTACCTGAGCTGTCAGGTGGGCAGCGATAAGGAGCCCGCCAGCATCTACACGATGCTTACCCACCTTACGGACCTGCGGGTGTGGCAGGAGCAGCCGGACATGCAGACCCCTCTCGGTCACTGCTGGACAGACTACCATGTGTCCATCTTGCAGCCCGAATGCTTTCTCAGCTTGCTCTTCGGTGGCCAACTGCCGCTGAGCAGTGTTGATTTGATTGTGCTGGAAGACTGTCACGACAGTGCTGTATATCAGCGGATACTGCCGCTCTTCGAAGAATACATCCTGCCGGCTGCTCCGGCGGAAAGACCGCGCATCCTGGGGCTGGCTGGACCGCTCCACAGTGCGGGCTGCGAGCTGCAGCAACTAAGCGCCATGCTGGCCACTCTGGAGCGGAACGTACTCTGCCAAATCGAGACGGCCAGCGATATTGTCACAGTGCTTCGCTACTGTTCCCGTCCATACGAGTACATCGTTCAGTGCGCCCCCTTTGAGATGGACGAGCTTTCAGTTGTGCTAGCCGATGTCCTCAACACGCACAAGTCCTTCCTGATGGACCACCGCTACGACCCCTACGAGATCTACGGAATGGACCAGTTTATGGAGGAGCTAAAGGGTGTGTACCATTACCGTCTGAATGTAAATTTAAAATTTACACCGAATCTCTCTTCCATTACCAGATATACCAGACCCCAAGCTTGAGCCACTGAACGTATTAGACTCGCTGTTGTCCGTGCTGCACGAGATGGGCCCTTGGTGCACCCAGCGGGCCGCTCACCACTTTTACCAGAACAATGAGAAGATGAAGGTGAAGACTCCGCATGAACGTCACTACCTGCTCTACTGCCTGGTCAGCACAGCGCTCATTCAGCTGCACGCCCTCTGCGACTACACTTTCCAAAGGCAGCAGGGTGCGAGTGGCGACTCACGTCCCACCATTGAGCGCTACTCCAGTCCCAAGGTGCGACGCTTGCTGCAGACGCTGCGCTGCTTCAAGCCCGAAGAGGTTGTTACCCAGACGGACGGTTTACGGAGAATGCGCCACCAGGTGGACCAGGCTGACTTCAACCGGCTGTCGCACGTACTGGAGAGCAAGTGCCGCGTGGTGGACCAGTTAGAGCAGCAGCCAACGGAAACCAGAGCCCTGGTGGCCAATCTGGAACAGATTCTCTGCTCAACGCACGACAAGCAGCTGCCCAAGGCCTCACACGCTCGTGCCACGGCCCCTGCCCAGGCGAGAGCAAAGTCCGGTAACGCATCCTCCGGATCCAGCTCCCATCCGCGGACGCGGCGACGTGTGTACACCAGGCGCCATCACCGTGATCAAAGTGACGGCAACGACACGCTCTGTGCGCTGATCTACTGCAACCAGAACCATACAGCGCGCGTGCTCTTTGAGCTGCTGGCGGAGATGGGCAGGCGCGACCCTGATCTCAAGTTCCTGCGGTGCCAATACACCACAGACCGGGTGGCTGACCCCACCACGGAACCCAAGGAGGCCGAGCTGGAGCACCGGCGGCAGGAGGAGGTCCTCAAGCGATTTCGCATGCATGACTGCAACGTTCTGATCGGTACCTCGGTGCTGGAGGAGGGCATCGATGTGCCCAAGTGCAATCTGGTGGTTCGTTGGGATCTACCCACAACCTACCGCAGCTACGTTCAGTGCAAGGGACGCGCCCGTGCCGCTCCCGCCTATCACGTCATTCTGGTGGCGCCCAGGTACGAGAGCCCCGCCGTTGGCACTGTGCAACTAAGTGATCGGAGTCATCGCTTCGTCTGCGGCGCCACAGGGACAGGAGATGGAATGGAGGGCGACAGCGACTCGGATGACTCTGCAATGCCGAATTCGTTGGGCTCTGATCCCTTTACTTTTGGGACAGCCCGCGGTACAGTGAAGATCCTAAATCCCGAAGTATTCAGCAAACAGCCTCCCACGGCCTGCGACATCAAACTGCAGGAGATCCAGGATGAATCTCCGACTACTGCACTGCTGGACACCAGTAATTCCAGCGATGAGGCTGTCTGCCTAAGCAACAGAACGCCGAGTGACAGCAGCGTGGAACGGAAGCCCAGGCAGCGCTTTCAGTGCGCGCTGTCTAACCCAGACGAGCAGGAGCTTACCACCGAGGACTCACCAAAGGAGGAGACCCAGAAATCACCCGTCGATCTTCTGGCCAAAACCACAAATGACTTAGTCCACCAAATGGCGCAGTATCGCGAGATCGAGCAGATGCTACTCTCGAAGTGTGCCAATACGGAGCCACCGGAAGAGGAGCAAACCGAGGCGGACCGCTTTGGCGCTTGCCTGGCCGCCTATAGACCCCAGCCACATCTTTTAACCGGAGCCAACGTTGATCTTGGAACGGCCATAGCCTTGGTCAACAAGTACTGCGCCCGCCTGCCCAGCGACACCTTCACGAAGCTTACGCCTCTCTGGAGATGCGCCCAGAGTAATAGAGCGGGAGTGGAGTTATTCCAGTACACCCTCCGCCTCCCCATCAATTCACCACTGAAGCACGACATTGTGGGTCTGCCGATGCCCACACAAACCTTGGCTCGGAGACTGGCCGCCCTGCAGGCCTGTGCGGAGCTGCATAGGATCGGAGAGCTCGACGATCAATTGCAGCCCATTGGCAAGGAGGGATTTAGGGCTTTGGAGGCGGACTGGGAATGCTTCGATCTGGAGCCGGAGGACGAGCAGATCGTACAGCTGAGCGATGAGCCGCGTCCGGGAACGACTAAGCGGCGGCAGTACTATTACAAACGGATTGCCTCCGAGTTCTGCGATTGCCGCCCGGAGGCCGGTGCTCCCTGCTACCTGTACTTCATCCAGCTGACCCTGCAGTGCCCCATACCCGAGGAGCAGAACACCCGCGGCCGCAAGATCTATCCGCCCGAGGATGCCCAGCAGGGCTTCGGCATCCTTACCACCAAGCGCATTCCTAAGCTGAGCGCCTTTTCGATATTCACCCGCTCCGGTGAGGTGAAGGTTTCCCTTGAACTGGCCAAGGAACGTGTGGTGTTGACCGGCGATCAGATCGCCTGCATCAACGGCTTCCTCAACTATACATTCACCAATGTCCTGCGGCTGCAAAAGTTCCTCATGCTCTTCGATCCTGACTCCACGGAGAATTGTGTGTTCATTGTGCCCACGGTGAAGAGTCCGGCAGGCGGCAAGCGAATCGACTGGCAGTTCCTCGAGCTCATCCGTGCTAATGGAAATACCATGCCGCGGGCGGTGCCCGATGAAGAGCGCCAGGCACAGCCTTTCGATGCCAAGCGCTTTCAGGATGCAGTGGTCATGCCGTGGTATCGCAACCAGGATCAGCCGCAGTACTTCTACGTGGCCGAGATCTGTCCCCATCTATCGCCGCTCAGCTGCTTCCCGGGCGATAATTATCGCACCTTCAAGCACTACTACCTGGTGAAGTACGGGCTAACCATACAGAATGCTTCGCAGCCGCTTCTGGATGTCGATCACACCAGTGCTCGCCTAAACTTCCTCACGCCACGCTATGTGAACCGTAAGGGCGTAGCCTTACCCACCAGCTCGGAGGAGACGAAAAGGGCGAAACGCGAGAATCTAGAGCAGAAGCAAATTCTCGTGCCCGAACTGTGTACAGTGCATCCCTTTCCGGCCTCCCTGTGGCGCACTGCGGTGTGCCTGCCCTGCATCCTTTATCGCATCAATGGGCTCCTCCTGGCCGACGATATTCGCAAGCAGGTCTCTGCGGATCTGGGACTGGGAAAGCAGCAGATCGAGGACGAGAATTTCGAGTGGCCCATGCTGGACTTTGGCTGGAGTCTCTCGGAGGTGCTGAAGAAATCACGCGAGTCTAAGCAAAGGGAATCGGAAAAGGATGTATTGGTCAATGGCAAGGAAGATGTCGTTGAGGAAGTGCCAGTCAAGGAGGAGGCTAAGGTGGATGTCGATTCTAAGGCGGAAAAGAGTGCCAACGAACTCATCATCGAGGGCGAGCAAAAGCTGCAGGAGGCTGATGACTTCATTGAGATTGGCACCTGGTCCAACGATATGGCTGACGACATAGCCACTTACAGTCAGGAAGACGATGATGACGAAGACGAGGCCTTCCACCTTCCCGTTCTGCCGGCAAATGTCAAGTTTTGCACAGGCGACCAGCAGACTCGGTACGGTTCGCCCACATTTTGGGACGTCAGCAATGCCGATGGGGCCTTCAAGTCGGCCAAGCACAGTCAGCCGCAAAGGGGTGGCAAGAACAAGGGAAAGGGATCGGCAAGGCAAAACGCCTACAGCTACTACGACTCGGACAACTCGCTGGGATCCAGCTACGATGATGACGACAACGGCGGACCCCTTAACTACATGCATCATAACTACAGCTCGGATGATGACGATGCAGCAGAGGATGCTGGTCGCATTGCCTTCACCTCCAAAAATGAGGCCGAAACCATTGAGACCGCTCAGGATGTGGAGAAGCGCCAGAAGCAGCTGTCCATAATCCAAGCGACCAATGCCAACGAGCGTCAGTATCAGCAGACCAAGAACCTCCTGATTGGCTTCAACTTCGAACAGCTGCAAAAGGAAGGCTGCTCCAGCGGGAAGTATGAGCAATCGATAGCCAAGCTGCAGGAAGAGATCGAGAGCTGCGGTATGCTGGTACCGCACAATCAGGAGTTGCACTTAAAACGTACCGATTCCTCGGAAACTAGGGTCGGCAAGGATACGACAATGAACCTGCTAAAGCAACTGCTGCCTTATGTGACGGAGCAACAACTGGCGGAAAGATTGGGCGATAAAAAGGAGCTTCACCTATCGGATTTGGTTGAATTGAACACAGAATGGGTCTCCCAGAACGAACAGGAGACCTACAGTGTCATGGGATGCGGTGATAGCTTCGACAATTACAATGACCACCACCGTCTTAACTTGGATGACAAACAGCTGCAACTGCAGTTTGAACGAAAATTGAACAAACCACCGACGCCGAAGAAGACAACCTTATCGACTCTTCCCTTAACTGGCTTTAGCTTCGACCGCCAGCCGGATCTAGTGGGCCATCCCGGTCCAAGCCCCAGCATTATTCTACAGGCTCTCACCATGTCCAATGCCAACGATGGCATTAACTTGGAGCGCCTGGAAACCATAGGTGACTCCTTCCTCAAGTACGCCATCACCACCTACCTGTACATCACCTACGAGAACGTGCACGAGGGCAAGCTGAGTCATCTGCGCTCCAAGCAGGTGGCTAACCTTAATCTTTATCGTCTGGGCAGGCGCAAGCGGCTGGGCGAGTATATGATTGCCACAAAATTCGAACCGCACGACAACTGGCTGCCGCCTTGCTACTACGTTCCGAAGGAGCTGGAGAAGGCCCTCATCGAAGCCAAGATTCCAACTCATCACTGGAAACTGGCCGACCTGCTGGACATCAAGAACCTGAGCAGTGTACAGATCTGCGAGATGGTCCGGGAAAAGGCCGAGGCCCTGGGTCTGGAACAAAATGGTCCGCAGAACGGTCATCTCGACGACTCCAACGACAGCTGCAATGATTTTAGCTGTTTCATTCCCTACAACCTGGTTTCGCAGCACAGCATTCCGGACAAGTCAATAGCTGACTGCGTCGAAGCCCTAATTGGAGCCTATCTCATCGAGTGCGGACCCCGCGGAGCTCTTCTCTTCATGGCTTGGCTGGGTGTAAGGGTGCTGCCCTTCACCCGGCAATTGGAGGCGGGAAACCAGAAGGATCGTTTACCGGGAAGCAGCCGACCAAATGCCGAAAAAATGGTCACCGTGTATGGCGCCTGGCCAACGCCTCGCAGTCCGCTGCTGCACTTTGCACCCAACGCAACGGAGGAGCTGGACCAGCTTTTGAGTGGCTTTGATGAGTTTGAGGAGAGTCTGGGATACCGTTTCCGGGATCGTTCTTATCTGCTTCAAGCCATGACGCATGCCAGTTACACGCCCAATCGTCTAACGGACTGCTACCAGCGGTTAGAGTTCCTCGGCGATGCAGTGCTGGATTATCTCATCACCCGGCACCTGTACGAGGATCCGCGGCAGCACTCTCCCGGCGCTCTAACCGATCTGCGTTCGGCGCTAGTGAACAACACAATCTTTGCCTCTCTCGCCGTTCGGCATGGCTTCCACAAGTTCTTCCGTCATCTCTCGCCCGGCCTCAACGACGTCATTGATCGATTTGTGCGCATCCAGCAGGAGAATGGTCACAGCATCAGTGAAGAGGTAAGAAATGCGTTAAAAGGTTTAAAATTTATCTAATTGGTTTCCTTTCAATTAGTATTACTTACTGTCTGAGGAGGAGTGTGACGATGCCGAGGACGTTGAGGTGCCCAAGGCCTTAGGAGATGTGTTTGAGTCGATTGCAGGTGCGATCTTCCTGGACTCAAACATGTCCCTGGACGTCGTGTGGCACGTTTACAGCAATATGATGAGCCCGGAAATTGAACAGTTTAGCAACTCAGTGCCAAAGTCGCCCATACGGGAGCTGCTCGAACTGGAGCCGGAGACGGCCAAGTTTGGCAAGCCGGAGAAATTGGCCGATGGACGACGGGTACGCGTCACAGTCGATGTCTTCTGCAAGGGCACCTTCCGTGGCATCGGGCGCAACTATCGCATTGCCAAATGCACGGCGGCCAAATGCGCACTTCGCCAGCTTAAGAAACAGGGCCTGATAGCCAAAAAAGACTAGGAGGTGCCTGTATCTTCGATGTGTTTCATTAGGCCTAAGTCTACAGTATAGTTCGTATTCCACACAGATTATTGTAAGCTTAAAGTAAGAACACATTTGTATAAAAACGTATCAGATTGTACTTTCTTAAACTTATGGATTAAGTTCAGAACATTAAAGTTATTTCGAACCTACTATTATATATAACCACCAAGCAAGCGATTTGTTTAAGCAATTTAGAGATTGGAGATTGAATATCACTAATTATTTGGATCCTCCTGGATCTTGCTCCATTGCCAGTCTTTATTATTGGCCTCTCTGGCAGAAATGAGCCCATATTTTATAAATAAACCTATAACTTAAAGCTCAGAACTTATCTTATTCTTCTCTCTGGAGAGCTCGTCGCCGATTAATACATTAAAAAGCTTTTTGTTTGTTTGAAACCCAACGTTATCCAATAACGCACTTCCAGTCGTGGTTAGCGTTTGATACGAAATGGATGTGGCTCCGATTCCTTATGAAGAAATCTCACTGGGAGACGTTAGTTCTTGCTGAAAACAAAGCATTTCACTGATTTTCATTTCATTTCAAATTTCACATTTTAGCGTGTTGGCATGGGATACTATGGAAGAGTGTACAAGAGTAAATGGCGGGGACGGACAATTGCAGTGAAGCGGATAAGCATTGGAAGAGCGGACAAACATATTGAGAGAGAGATTAACCAGCTATCCAAGCTGCGACATGAGAACATTGTAACACTTTATGGATTCTCCATGTACGAAGATATGTTCCACCTGCTGGAGGAGTACGCAGATGGTGGATCTTTGTCCACCGTGATCCATTCAAAGATTCTGAGATACTACCTGGCGAACGCACTCAACTGGGCCCACCAAATTGCTCAGGTGAAACATTTGATAACGTGTTAGATAAGAGGAACAATGAATAAAAAGGTATGCTTCCCAGGGACTAGCTTATCTCCATGCCATGAAACCAAAAGCTATTATTCATCGCGATATAAAGCCAAGCAATGCAATTTTGAGCCGACAGGGCCTTAGCCTGAAGATCTGTGACTTTGGGACTGTTGTGGACCTGACCACCTCAATGACCGCTGAGGTTGGCACCTGTCAGTATAAAGCTCCTGAGGTGAGTAGTCTCTATCCAGATATAGTTATAAATAAAACGGCATTATCGTGCAGGTCTTTCAAGGGCGACACTACGATGAAAAGTGTGATGTGCATAGTTGGGCCATTACTTTTTGGGAAATATTAGCCAGAAAGCAACCATTTGAGAAATGTAATACCCCATATGCGGTGAATCTTGCAGTGACCACAGGTAAGCGCAATTATTATATTAATTTAGCCCATACTTATCCCTGAATTTAAGGTGATCGCCCATTGTTTGGTGATAATATAGTAGTAAAACCCTGCCCCGAGGATATCATTAATTTAATATCCGCCTGTTGGAACCCGGAACCGAACAAGAGATATTCTATGAAATTCGTTGGAGGTTTCATGAAAGAAGCTCTCGCAGATGCAGGTCCTTTGGCCCGTTTGGGGTATTACATCAAAGAAAATAAAAATTACATCAAAGAAAATGAAGTACAAGTATGTCTACAATTACTTCCGGACAAATAAAAAAACCTTACGGGAGAAATAAAAAACTTCAAATTTTTAAAAGATGGTCCTAGGTTCTAACATACCTGAATCGATGGGACCTTTCGGTTTAGTACATGATTCAGCTGGCAATAACAAACAGATTTTTATATGTGAACGTTAACACTAATTTTATTTTCATGAAAACTCTCTCTGAAATATTTACATTGCAACGGCTTAAGTACGGGATGTGAAAAGGATGGGATGGGATGGGCGTTACATGGATGCTTCAGGATCCTGGATTCTGGAGCCCAATGGTCAATTCAATGCCATAAATGGTAGTATAATTTGCGGAAATACATTGTAGAATATTTTCATTAGCTGCGGGTATAGGTATGCATATTGGGAATTTATAAAATACGATTTATGCATATGTTTACAGTATATTGATCACTAGCAATACGATTCGATAACTTGACTTATACTCTTTTAGTTTTTGCTCTATCGAATTTAAATTTAGAAAATTAAATGTTAAAATGTTTTAATAAATATATTCATACGTAAGTTTGTATATATAGTAGTTTTGTTTGTTTCATCTTAAACAAAATGATCCTCGGTTGTTACACAATGGAAAACTGTAACGTTTCGTAGTTTCGTTTTTGGAGTATAATTGTTTCGTTAGTTTTTATTATATGTATATGTTGGTTGTTCATTTGCTCTTTAATAAACGTTACATACTTTAAACTTAGATACAACTATTTATAAACATGCGTGTATGTAAGCATAGTATAATTAATTCAATTGGTTTGGTATAATTGTTCTCTCTTTATACTCGCTATAATTGTTTTAGTTTCGTCATATTCTTTTTTCACCGCACGTTCCTGCCTACGATTTGTTCAATGTGTTCATATATATATCAATATATGCATATATAGAGATGTTCAAGCACATACATATATATTCCCTTTGTATTGTTTGTAATTTAGGTCGCTTTTAATTTTGGTTGCATTTGCTTCACATCATTAATCGGCTTGTAAATGAAGTGTTCTTGTAAATAACAGAGGCAAACGAAACACAAAATGCAAATAAGGCGACAAGATGATCTGATTGTGAGATATAATGGACGAAACACGATTATTTACTAAACTTTAAAAGTGACTTTCGATTACAGAAACGGATGGATTAATTATAGTCGTTGCGAATCGCCAATACTCACACCTTATGCTGGTTTTGTAGGCTCCGAAAATTTTGAAAGTAAATCTAAAATAATGTCACAGGTTCCAAAATAAAATAAGGTATTCAAAATGTTAACAAAAGGTGTCAAAAAACGATTTATTGTTGTCATTTGCATATGATATGTTTTCGAGTGTGGTAAAAAACCGAATATCAATAAATTATTAAATCATAAGTGCTCACAAAATATAAGGTTAGCAAAAAAAATCAACCAAAAACATACACTTACTAATTGACTTAAAAAATATGTGATCGGCTCGGGGACATTCGAGTACTAGTACATTAAACTATTTTACAAAAGTTAAAGGGGTTAAAAAGCAGCACATATTCGAGTCATGTCGCACATACACTGGGACAAACACATACCAAATGTACAATATTCGAAACACCGAGCACAAACTAAATAGTTGGAAAGCGTAATCGGCATGAAACGATGACAGTGATGACACCATGGCTTAACTAACCATAGCTAAGGATTGACCAGTGATACCTGGTCCTCTAATTTGGATCCGGCCTAGTGGGATTCTTCGTTATGTTGGATATTACATGATGAGTACAATGTCTATGAATATATAGCTCAGAGTGAGAGTACGTTACATTACTGTAAGATCTAATTTCAACTTCGCGCAAGGAGAAAGCCCCAACAGTTGGCTAAAATGTGGAACTCATTGGGCTATATGCGGGCGTGGTTAATGCGATTAGCTTTCACAATTTTCAATTTCCAGACGTACGTGTGTCTGCCTGCTTACATGATAGATGTGGGTCGGGTTTGTGGGTTGTCTACGATTACCTTTCGAAACGATACATAATAAACTCATTGGGGTTAACCTCATCTAAACAAATGCCGAGTGCTATGAGTTGGTGGGCGGAGTGGTTGGGCTGTCTGATGGATAAGGATTTTTGGTCTGAAATGCTCGTGATTTACACAATCATAATTCTAACATAATCTCATTGTTTAGCTGCAAATTGCAAATTGGAAATTCTGTTCCAGAGTCTGATTTGAATCGAAATCTATGTGTCTGTCTGTGTGTGTTGGTTGGCTGCTATATACTTATGTCTACAGAACGACGTCAGGCAGGTCGTGCGGCCTTGCCTAGGCGCGCATTTGGTTTTCATGTACGATTTTCCTCTCCTTATAGTAGATCTCCTCCGATTCCTTGTCGCAGAGCAGCAGGACCACGGCTCCGAATAGAAAGATGGCCGCTCCCCAGCCGACTCCATACGCCCAGCCGAACTCCCAGACTCGCCGATTGGCTAATAAAGAATATACAGTAGAGTGAGTCAAATAGCTAAATATAACTTTAAAAGAGTTCCATACCCATAGTTAGCTCGCCGGCAAAGCATACGGGATACACGATTAAAGCGGAGAGCACGGCTAGCACTGAAATAAGCATAGATTTTTAGTAAGCCTTCGGCGTTGTCATTGATATCAGGTAACTTACAGGATACAAGCATCACCAATACGGCTATGCGATAGAACTTATACTTTAGATTATGGTTCTGCGTCCTAAGGCCAAGACCAGTCAGTACAGTGGCTATGACGTCCGTTATTAGGGTGATAATGCAGAGTGCTGCTGTGGCCTTGATGTATCCTACGGTTAAATACACTCATTATTATCTTGATTCTAGATAGCTCTGTGTATTTATTACGTACCTATATCGCGGGTCCAGTAGCATCCTGGCGGATCCTGAACGTTGAACGGCAACGGCGTCACCGAATCATCGTCGATACAGTGCACAAAGAGGCCTTGCCGCCAGTCGGAGGCCATTAGCCAATCTGTAGATGCCAGGGCCATGATCATGAGCACCACCACAATGACGCCGCAGATAAATGCAATCACCTGTAGAATAAAAGTAATAAATGGTAGTTGGAGAAGTCGGTTAAGCATGAATTCCGCGCAAACCTTCAGTGGCCGCGTGATTGTGATGGTCTCAATCGTCGTTGTAGGCGCCATTTTCTCCGCTGGTGGACGTCGAACACTGTACAAGATAATTATTATTAATGGCGGGGAACTTAAAGACGGTTTTATTGTCAGCAGAAGCCGCGACCAACTCACCTTATCGACTACGCAGGCAAAGTGCTGCCAGCAGCTACTAATTGGAATGCGTTTCAATGCGTTTCTTGGTTAGTTTTGCTTAATGGGATGCTGGAAGGGCTTTTGGTTTCGATTTCGATTTCGTTTTGGGTTGCGGGGGAGTAGAGTAAATGTTACTCTGGTTGGCTTTAACAATCTAATATAAATGCTTCAATTGGCTTTTTATTGCTTTTGGTTTGCGCGCTGAGAGGATTTCCAATGCGTTTCGAATTTCAATTTGCTGGCGGAAGCAGCGCGTTCAACATCTGGATTGCAATAGGGGGGTATCGTTTGTTAGGGAAAGATACAGAGAAATAGAGAGAGATTGGTGACATTCGATTAGACAAACGGCTGGCGCACAACACGAGTGTGTTCATATCAAAGCAGTTAGAGGTAAGCAGCAGTAACATGCAAAAACAACAACTCTCGAGCAACAACATCGACGAGGAAGGATAATGGGAACTACTAGGGCTTTTACGACATTATTCAAATCAAAGTGCGGTCAAACTGGCAATTAAAATCGCATAAAACGGTGGCTAGCAACTACTATTCTTTAAAATCTTTAACTGCTATTGCCATTGGTTTTTATAGGATCACAAATAAATTTTTCTTATATAAAACGAATTTTTAAATATTTCATGGTCGGTTTAATTTATAACATCAATTTCAAATTATAGATACAAGTATTATTCAAAAACCTAACTTTTATTGTGGAAACATTGGGAACTCGAGTGTTCCAGGCTGAACTTGAACCCAGGGCAAAGATTGCGTGGAACACAGATATGTTGTTTCAATATTATTGTCAAGTAACTGACTTGTTTCTTAACACATATCATTTATAGTTAGTTTTTTTATATTTATAATTCAAAGTTGGTGCTTTATAAACATATAAACAATATTTCCCACAGTATTTCTATTGTTTTGACCACGCTTGTCTGAACCTACATATGTATGTATGTATGTCATGGATTAACTGGCGGAATTTTCCGCACAATGCGTTGTTACCACAGTTGAATGGGTTTTTGGGATTGTGTTTTAAATTAAACAACCGCCTCAAATGAGGCAGACAAAAGGTGCGGTGGATCCAACTCGATGCACACATTATGACATGCAAATTATCCATTTGCATTCCATTGTGCGCACTGAGATCCCAGCCAACTTGTAAGATCTCTGAGATACAGATACAGATACGGATGCCTAAATAATTTGTATCTGTGCGAAATACAGTCGCAACGTCTAACGGATCTCTCAGATATTTTCTGCGGGCCAGACAGAGATGATTTGATTTTGACTTATTTATAGCGGCTAAAAACTAAGAAGAGCGACAACAACAAACAACAAATTCATTTCGCGGATGAACGACGCGAGTCCCGCGCTTCTATATGCATGTGAGTGTGTGTGGTTGTGTGGGTGAGTGGCATGGCAACAGGATCAGAGAGCGGTTAATTGCTACATATATAGAACGTAACGGGCAGGCAAAATTGGGGCAAACGGCCATCATATGCAAAATAACAACAACAACAACAACAACAATAATAACATGGTCAGCAAGTGGAGGGAGCATTGGTGTATATATGTTTATGGATGTATGTGTGTGTTTGTATATGCAAGTAAAACGGAAGCAAAACAAAATGCGGACAAACAGTAGACGGATGCGAATTGAGATACCTTTCCTTGTAATAGTCCAGAGTTACCGATTCGGAATCAAATTCTGAGTAATCTGGCAGCGACTCGGCATCAAAGGAGCTCATTCCGCTGAGCGTGTAATTGGGCAAGACGTTCATTTTGTTGTTGTAGGCAGCAAGGTTACCCTGGCGCTGTTGTTGCTGCTGCTGGTGCTGTTGCTGCATGGTTGTTACTTGCTTTTGTTTAAATAATATTAAACACACAGGCACTCGCACACACTTAAGCTAAAACACACACGCCCACGAACTGACGGAGAAAACTACGCTATATTTTTTTTTCTCTATTCCCTTTTCGCTGCCTTTTCACACTCTCGCCGTCTGCTTTGATTTGCTTTGCACAACTCGGCGATTTCGTTACCCGTGCACTTACAGTCTGCTAGGAGAGCGTGCCACTTTTCCTCATTCACATATTATTTTAGACACTGATCGGTGCTCGTCTATATAATTAAAAAACAAAAACGACAAAAATAATAATGTTTTGCTTCCCTCATCACAATTTAGAGTGGCCAGAGTGGGCTTATTATTAATACTACAATTGATATACTAGTACATACAGAATGAACGGGCACATTGGCGATTCGCGAAAGAAAATACCGAAAAACTGTGCGCCTTGCTCGCAGTCCGAGCGATAAATAAATATATCGATATCTCGATATATTATCAACATCCCTAGGAATCGGCGTCGCGTGGCTGCATTAGATTAGACAAAACAATATAAATATCAGCAGTGGTTTCGGTTTATAAGAGAAAAGGTTCGTGACGGACCCGAGGAATCCATGGCCACCGACACGGTGTCTAACGGAGAGAACTACGCGCAGCATCTAGCCGCCAACGGCAACGGCGACGACGAGGTAATATGCCCCACATGCGACGTGAAGATCAAGCGCAGTCAGGTGGCCGATCACTGTCAGATGGAGGTGGACCGCCTGCACAATCCGCCAAGCGTTAGCAATCCAGAGGTGACTCCGGGACCAGCAGCTGCGTCTACAGCCCAGTCGGGATCGGGGGGCAGGCAGCCGTGGAGCGTGTTTCAGCGCGTGCAGCGCAACCGGCAGGCCCGACAGCGCCAGCGCACAAGGAAGCGTCCCTCGTCGCCGGCGGCGCCTCCTTCTAGCGGAGCTGCAGCACCAGTGACAACATCAGTTCCAGCTGCAACTCCAGCAGCTCCTCCCCGGGCTGCTACACCAGAAACCACTCAACTAGCCAACTGTCCCGTATGCAATCGCAACTTCCCACAGACCAATATACAGGAGCACGTGAACCAGTGTCTGCGCAACAGCCGTAGAAACGGAAAAGCCAATGGGGAGCACTCTAGCGATGATTCTGAGGACAGCGACGAATACGAGGAGTACGAATGGGCGGGCCAGAAGCGCATACGCGTATCCACTCTCGTGCAGGGTGGTTACTCAGCCTTGGGCCTTGGCCAGACGATCAAGTACAATGGCAGCCAACAAGCGCAAGACGACGAGGACGAGGATCTCAATGTGGACGAGGACGATACGCACATTTACGGGCCAACGCAGTACGGCGAGGGCGACGTAATTCCAGTAACCAACGAGGACACCGACGGCAACATTTCTGAGGTGGATGTCACCAGCTACATGCGCCGGCTCATCTCCTCCAGCGAAGGGCCCAAGCCCAATCATTCCAGCGAAGCCACCGAAGCAGAAACTGTCACTGCCACCACCGCCAAGCAGCAGCCGACCTGCGAGGAGCCGTCCACATCACGCTCAACACGATCCGCCTCCCAGAACCAGCAGCATGTCATCGAGTCCCTTAAGGCCAAGCTGCGACTCTACGAGAATCAGGCGCAGGGCAAATACAAGTGCCTGATCTGCCTCGAAGACTACAAGAATCCCGCCATCTCCGTTTCTTGCTGGCACGTACATTGCGAACAGTGCTGGCTGAAGACGCTCGGAGCGCGCAAGCTGTGCCCACAATGCAATTCGATCACCACGCCAAAGGACCTGCGTCGCATCTACCTGTAGTATGGTGTGGAGCAGGAGGCATGGACTCCAGTCATCTGAATTGTTATTCCCGCTTGCGCCAGACGCCCGGCTTTGCGCCCTTCCGCGGCTGTAGTTTATAGTCCTACACATATTATTTATAAAGATAACACCTATGATACGTGACATTACAATAAGCATTAACATGTAACTATTACAATAAACCCCGGACAAGCATCAGTATCTGTTATATATACGTTAAAGTATATGGAAGAGCTATCTTAGAAACTATTTCAATAAACCTACGGCAACACATTAATCTTAAGAAATGGAAGGCTATTAAAAGTATGTTCATTTTTATTTAAATTCCAAATTCGAAATCTTATTCCCAAATTACAAATGCAAACTGTAAACGAATGTATGTTTATATTTGTGAGTACGTTAAGAAGAAATACAACTTTAATCAAACAACGAGATTAAATACAAAATGTTTTTTCCTTATGACTTATTGTAAAACAATAATTCAATTATTTTTTTTCTATGTATGGTTCGATAGACGTCCTTCGATAACTTTTTCAAAAGCCTTTGAAATAGAGCGGAGCACGTGTCACGTTATTTCTCGTGAGATTAACACGCTGGAATGCAAAGTCGGTTACAAATATATATTGAAATATATATAGTAAAAATTTAGAGTCACACCGGATCTACATAGGTAAAATAATTTAAGATGAGTACTTAACAATATTAAACCCGTAAACAAAATATACATTTACTACAATTTAAATTTAGTGTTCGTGTTGACTGGAAAACATCTACACGCGCCCATCTCTAATTCACATTTCTTGTTTCCCCGTTTTACCACCATGTCCGGCTCCGGTAAGAATTTCTTTAAAATAACACGAATTGGCTAACCCGGCATTCCTTGCAGGTGCGAATCCCTTTGTCCAGTTCAAGGCATCCTTCACCCAGGACGGAAAGGTCTACAACTACTTTGATCTGCCCTCTATTGACAGCAAATATGGTGAGCCGCCGGTGTGACAGAAGAGGAGCCCTTGCTTAATGTTATTGTTGCAGATTCACTGCCTTTTTCCATTCGCGTGCTGCTGGAGTCTGCGGTGCGCAACTGCGACAACTTCCACGTGCTGGAGAAGGACGTGCAGAGCATCCTGGCATGGACACCGTCTTTGAAGCAGGGAACCAGCGATGTGGAGGTCTCATTTAAGCCAGCACGCGTTATTTTGCAGGTGACGAACACAGAGTTATTCCATTTGCTCCGTTTTATTCATTTTATTTTGTTTAGGACTTCACTGGCGTGCCCGCCGTCGTGGATTTCGCTGCCATGCGAGATGCAGTCCGCGAGCTGGGCGGGAATCCAGAAAAAATAAATCCCATCTGCCCCGCTGACCTGGTCATTGATCACTCCGTCCAGGTGGATTTTGCCCGTGCCTCTGATGCCTTGGCCAAAAACCAGTCCCTGGAATTTGAGCGCAACAAGGAGCGCTTCACATTCCTGAAGTGGGGCGCCCGTGCCTTTGACAACATGCTGATCGTGCCACCTGGCTCTGGCATTGTGCATCAAGTTAATCTGGAGTACCTGGCGCGCGTCGTCTTCGAGAGCGACGAATCAGATGGCTCCAAGATTCTGTACCCTGATAGCGTCGTCGGAACGGACTCTCACACCACCATGATCAACGGATTGGGCGTTCTGGGCTGGGGCGTTGGCGGTATCGAAGCGGAGGCCGTAATGCTGGGTCAGTCCATCGCCATGCTGCTGCCCGAAGTGATTGGCTATAGGCTGGAGGGCAAGCTAGGCCCCTTGGCCACGTCCACCGATTTGGTTTTGACCATCACCAAGCATCTTCGTCAACTAGGAGTGGTTGGAAAGTTCGTGGAGTTTTACGGTCCCGGAGTGGCGGAGTTAAGCATCGCGGACCGAGCCACCATCAGCAACATGTGTCCGGAGTACGGAGCTACAGTGGGCTTCTTCCCCATCGACGAGAACACGCTCAGCTACATGCGGCAGACGAGTGAGTTTTGCCAGATTTTCAATCATACGACTCTTTACGACTGGCATTGATTTATAGATCGCTCCGAAAAAAAGATTGACGTTATTCGGCAGTACCTGAAGGCTACGCGCCAGTTGCGCAATTATGCACTTGAGGATCAGGATCCTCGGTATACAGAGGTATGTTTACCGTTTTTCTAACAAAATAAAACCTTATTTATTTCTCCTTACTGTTTCCATTACAGACTGTCACCCTGGATCTGGCGACGGTGGTCACCTCGGTTTCGGGTCCCAAGCGACCACACGATCGCGTATCCGTTTCCAGCATGTTCCAGGACTTCAAGTCCTGCCTGACAAGTCCAGTGGGATTTAAGGGATTTGCCGTGCCGCCAGAGGCCTTGGCTGCTAGCGGCGAGTTTCAGTGGGACGATGGCAAGAGTTACAGGATAGGTCATGGCTCGGTTGTGATTGCAGCCATCACCTCCTGCACGAACACCTCGAATCCCTCGGTGATGCTGGGAGCTGGTCTTCTTGCTAAGAATGCTGTACAAAAGGGTTTAAGTATCCTGCCGTACATCAAGACCTCTCTTTCGCCCGGATCTGGTGTGGTCACCTACTATTTGAGAGAGTCAGGAGTGATTCCATACCTAGAGCAGCTGGGCTTTGACATCGTGGGTTACGGTTGCATGACCTGTATTGGCAACTCGGGTCCGCTAGATGAAAATGTGGTGAACACCATCGAGAAGAACGGCCTAGTGTGCTGTGGAGTGTTGTCTGGCAACCGAAACTTCGAGGGACGCATCCATCCAAATACCAGAGCTAACTACCTGGCCAGTCCATTGCTGGTGATTGCATACGCTATTGCCGGGCGCGTGGACATTGATTTCGAAACAGAGCCACTGGGCGTGGATGGCAATGGCAAGGAAGTGTTTTTGCGCGACATCTGGCCCACGCGTAGTCAAATTCAAGAGGTGGAGCACAAGCACGTCATTCCGGCCATGTTCCAGGAGGTGTACAGTGAGTATTCGTTTTGTTTTTCTGTCTAGCAAAAGAGTAATATTGATTTCCCCTTCTCAGGTAAGATTCAGTTAGGCTCTCTGGACTGGCAGACCCTTGAGGTGTCGGATAGCAAGCTTTATCCCTGGAGCGGAGTGTCCACTTATATCAAGCGTCCGCCTTTCTTCGAGGGCATGACCCGGGAGCTGCCCAAACTAAACAGCATCGACAAGGCTCGCTGCCTGCTTCTGCTGGGTGACTCAGTGACCACCGATCACATCTCACCGGCTGGCTCCATAGCCCGCAAATCCCCTGCAGCCCGATATCTGGCGGAGCGAGGTCTGACGCCGCGTGACTTTAACTCGTACGGCTCCAGGCGGGGCAACGATGCGGTAATGGCACGCGGCACCTTCGCCAATATCCGGTTGGTCAACAAGCTGGCCTCCAGAACAGGACCAAACACGCTTCATGTACCTAGTGGCGAGGAGATGGACATCTTTGATGCGGCGGAAAGATATAGGGAGGAGGGAACACCACTAGTGCTGGTGGTGGGCAAGGACTACGGCAGCGGCAGCTCCCGGGACTGGGCTGCCAAGGGACCATTCCTGTTGGGCATTAAGGCAGTAATCGCAGAGTCTTATGAGCGCATTCACCGATCCAACCTGGTGGGCATGGGCATTATCCCACTGCAGTTCCTGCCGGAACAGAGCGCCGAAACGCTGAAGCTCAGCGGTCGGGAGGTTTTCAACATTGCGCTGCCCGAGGGCGAACTGAAGCCGGGCCAGCTAATCCAGGTCGAGGCCGATGGCAACGTATTTGAGACCACGCTGCGCTTCGACACTGAGGTGGACATAACGTACTATAGGAACGGTGGCATCCTTAACTACATGATTCGCAAGATGCTGGACTAGTAACCAAATTTGTTATCTTCTATATTCCAAGTGCATTTTCTAACTGTTATTTGTTTTTGTGTGATGGAAATACAATTTAAAAATTATCATTAATTATTTTATTTTCACTTTAAAGATTCTCTGTACGGCAAATAAGATTGTTCAAAGTGCCCGCCAAAAAAGGTATCGATAGCCAAGCTACGTAAGACAAAGCAAAACGTAAGATAATAGTTTACGTGACAGCAGGGCAGATATCGATATACAAAATACTTAGAAACAAATAAATGCTATTTCTTAAAACAGAAAGATATATTTAATATTATACATGTATACTGTCGTCAATAATATATTGGCCATGTAGCTACGGTGTTGCCAAGTTAGTTTACAAAAATGCTTCAACACTTTAGGAAAAAAACATAAGACAAAGTCTGCTGTTTTTCAAAACATTTCTTATTTGTTTTTAGTTTTCTAAAGTGGAAATGTTTGTGGTACTTTTAAAAGTATTCTTTAACGATTATAAACAAAATATATTAATATGTTTATATATATATAATAGTAGATTGTATTATTATTAATATTCACTCTCTTTTTCATTTCACCCGCACTCCTCTGTTAACTCACTCATTTTTTAAATTCACCCGCAACATTCTGTTAACTCTCTGTTTTTCATTTCACCCACAAAATTCTGTTAACTCTCATTTTCCTTTCAGCCGCTCTTCTCTGTTAACTCTCGCATTCTTTAACTTCACCCGAAAAATTCTGTTAACCTCTCTTTTTTTTTAATTTACCGCAAAATTCGTTTAAACTCTCTTTTTTTTTAATTTCACCCGCCAAATTCTGTTAACTTTTTTAAGTTTGTGTGACCAGTGTGGACAGCGGAATTTAGAGTGACCAAAAAACAAATATGAAAAAATATCAACAGAAAATACCACAGCATCGATACTTGCGCAAACAAAATATCACGATATGATATATCGATATATTGATATTTTGATATATTTTCAACAACCCTAAAATAGTTTTTTTTGCTTTTGCTGCTTCTTTTTGTCTCCCGTCCCGTGGATTTTTCTCCAAGGGGATTTCCAATTCGCAAAATATAGAAACCCAAATAAGATTACCGATCGCGCGTTCGTAGAGATCTCGGCGTTCCGTGCGTGCAAGTGCAACAGCATAAAATAAAACAGGTAGCGCAGTACAAAAGTCTACTCCGCTCCACCTCCTCCCAAAGATCTGCGGATCGCAGGAACCAAGAATTGTGGTGCTGGTGCAGGGCCAGGTGCCCGCCCCCACGCGTTCGGAGTGCAAGAGGAGGCGTCGCGTCGCCCGGATTATGTCATTTGTTTACGGGCAACTGCCGCAGGCAGAGAAGCGCTTTTGAATGTTGCATCCGAAAGAGGCAGCGAAAACCTGTAAAAATGTAGACTGTGTGTGTGCGTTAGTGTTAGTATTAGTGTTAGTGTAGCGGACCAGTGTTGGTGAGAGTGAGTGTGAGTGGCGCGGATAATGGACGTTTAGTCGTCGTATAAAAATACGCGTAGATATAGGAGATATACACACATACTTGTATATATGCGGACAGGCACGCCGCCGTATCTGCTCCGCAGCACGTCGTTCGAGAGCCCGCGCGCCTCCCCGATGCGGTTGCTCCCCTCCAGAGTCAGCTCTAGCATCGTCTCCGCCCCCGCCCTCGATTAGAGCCAATGGCCACGTTCAATGCAAGCGCCAGCAGCAGTGCCGCCGATGTCCTGAGCTCCACCTTGTCCGCCACCTCGGCCACGGCCACGGCCACGTTCCTGGTGCCCACAACGGCCACGCAGGCAGGAGCCATTGCAGTACAGCAGCCAGCGCCCCATCCGCCGCACCTGCAGCTGGACCAATTCGGGGGCTACGCTGCGGGAGCACCGCTGCATCACCATCATCAGCAGACCAACTCGTCGTACACCTTCGTGCAGATCAAGCGGGAGCCCTGTCAGGTGTCTGAGATTAGCTCCAACAACTGCCATCAACAGCAGCAGCAGGCGCATCATCAACACCAGCAGCAGCACCACCACCACCAACTCCAGGGACTGGGCAGCGTGTCCTCGTCCTCGGTCACCGCCTCGGCCACTTCCAAGACCATGTCTTCGTCCACGCTCACCACGCTGGTCAAGATCGAGGCCCCCTCGCCGAAGGTGTCTGACCTGGAGAAGTCCACAAGTAAGTTTCATTTCGTTTCAGCCAGCGGCTTCAGTGGCATTGCATTTGCATACTTCCGTTGCAGGTAATTCCGTGCCCATTGGAATAGCGGTGGCCAGGAAGCGGCCGCAGGAAACATTGGTGCCCTCTCTGAGCACCCCGGCAGCGTTGCCGCTGCAGCAATCACTCAGCAAGGACATGAACTGCTTCGGCATACGCGTCGCTGACCTCGGTGAGTGGAAACTACTTTCCAGGGGTCGGGCAAAGCGGTGGGCAGGGTATCTAATTTAATTTGAAAGCCCAGATTTGTGTGCCTCTAATGAACGCCTGTCCGCGTCCCTTGGGGCATCGTTACGATGCCTATAATGCCAGGACGTGAACGTCGTTCAATTATGCCACTAATAAGATTGCCCGCCAGCCAGCAAACGTTGAGCGCCAGCGAGAATTCCATCAGTAAGTCGCGTCCAGCCAGTTAAGGCGAGGCGAGGGTGTCTGGTACGTCTCGCAAACACGCCGTAAACACCCCGTCAGAGTTGAGAGGGCAGGAGTCATATGATGCGAGCTGATGGCCGCCTGTTGTGCGGCTGTCGTTGTTGTGACAGCCACCGAATCGACTCGAATCGACTCTTCCCTCCCTTGGCGCGAGGACCAAAGAAGGAAGTGGTGGTAAATCATACGAACTTCTAAAGCGGAAATAAAACGAAAGTGAAACACATTGCGATTCCAGTAGGGTGGCTTAGGTCGACTTTGGGTTGCTCTACATGTTGACGAGGGTGTGTTTCCTTTAAGGGCATCTAGATTCCATACTCAAGATTTCACTTGAAACCCGCTAATGCAGAATTAATCGACTATAACTGCGGCAGTGACGGCTTATTATATTTTAATATTCTTTATTTTCTTTTCTCTATAATTTGCTATTGGAAAATGTCAACAGATGTGAAATATTCTCAGTCATTGTGATATGGAGCTCCAGATTGATATAAATGAAGATGCTTAACTAAACTGAAGCCAAAGCAATGCAACCCCAAAAATTGTTAGATAAAAAACTGATATAAAAATACAAACTGGGAGAACCTTTTTTTTATAGCAGTGAAAAATGTTGTTTTAACAGATGTCATTGTTTAATTTGGTTGATTAGGGCGACCTATATTTGCGAGTTGAGATTTTTGACTGTATTGAATTCTTAATCAACTGATTTAATCCTTATAAATCATTACTCGAATATAGGCCGAAGGCTTTTTAGTATACTGATTTTTGATTATGAGGCATTGGTGGTACTTATTTTCTGACTAAAGCAACCCCAAACACAAAGCGTGCTTAGCAGCCTCTAGTTGCTTCAGATGCATCCCTTCTGTTAGAACTTTGTCTTGATAAACTAGCTAGTAATATATAAATAAATATAGGAGCTTGTGCAATTACATTACACTTTAATAATACTTACACTTTTGGTCACCTTTTTATATACCTTTTGTACCTTGTGATTAGGAAAGAATGAATGTGCGTAAATATGAAAGTTAAAAACAGTTATTTAAGTGAAAAAATAGGTGACAGTTATTGTTATACTTTACAAATGGTTTTATTGTTCTTTGAAAATATTTAGTGAATATATTTCGAAAATACATTGTTCTTGAGGTATTCTCTTCTTAATATAAGTAAACCCCCATCAAGAGATTTGCATAATTTTGTAACTTTCCTATGAAAATGTTTAATAGTTTGTACAGATTGGCAGTGTAAATGTATTTAGGAATCCCCTTCTACAAGTTCTAAGTGCAATCTACGCAAAAGAAATGATTAAAACTGATGAAATTGTTATGAAGTTTAGCATCGAGTGATAATATCCCTATAATAGGCAAAAAAAACTATGCTGGTGATGTCATAGTGGAAACTTGTGACTTTTATTGTGTTTATAAAATGAAACAAAACTTTCTTTTTCTAAGTTAAGGGGAATTTCAACTTAAATTCTACGAATAGATATAGTTACTATAAAACCAGTTTGTATCAGTTCATCTGTAAAGGCTTTTCATGGGAATTACCAATCAAAAAGTTTGGCTTTTCAATTTTGTGAAATTCCTTTTAAAAGTTAGATTATATGTACATGACTCAGCGCTGAGGACAGGGCATTGTGGGCTTCGGCTTCCTTATCACGCTCCACTGGAGCACCAGTTGAGGGGGCGGCAGGCAGAGACCGAGAACCCAAAGACAGATTACTCATGGACGGTGTGCTGCTGGGGTGGGTGTTTTTTCTTCTTTTTTCTTTTTTCGACAACCTATCGAGGGCTGTTGCTCCAGGAAGGCGGTGCTTAGATGTGTAGATGTAGATGTTGATGTTGTCAGGGAAATTAAGAAGGGCTGCGGGACGGCAGCAGCCACAAGGGATGCTCCGCTCCGACTGGTTTTTGGGGATGGGAATTGGGAAATGAGATGGAGAACACAGGAGTGAAGTCGTTTACGGGACAGGACCAAGCAACATGACACGCCAAAATGGATTTGTACAGGACCATATGGCAGAGTCGCCATTCGATGGCTTTAGTTATTGTTTTCTTCTCCCTTCCGATTTGGGCTGCGGAGTTACGGTCTATTTTTAAACGCTGGCTGGGCACAGAGTTCGGCACGCGGAGACAAATCACTTGTCAGAAGATGCGCCTTAATTGCGTATTTGGAGATGGGACACGGCACACCCGAATGGTCGAAATAATATACTTAATATTTGGCATTCATTCCGCTTCTCGGACTGCATACTGCCCGGGTGGTGGTGGGTGGATGTCGCTCTAGTATCTCTCTTCGCTCAGATCCCTTAATGTAATGCAATTACAGAACCGAGCCGCACGTACACTTTAATCGAATTTTTGTAAAATTATTCAGCCGCAGGCCGGGGTGGGTTGTTGCTGCTGCTGGAGTCGAATGATTCCGAGTCAGATGTGTGATGATGAGAGGTGAGTGGGCTAGGTGGGTGGTGGTGGTGGGAGGATGGGCGCGCGACCAATTGCATAGTTCAAGGACACTGCAATATTTCACGTATACATACACATCCCTGGCCTGCAACCAAAGTTACACGGCAGCGGCGGCGGCAAGCACAGAAAGTTGATTAAACAGGGAACGAACGTTGAGCTGAGAGGTCGGAGCGTTGCTCTTGCCGAGAGTTGAATTGAATCTCGAATAATAATTATGCTTCTGCTCTTTTTTTCAGGCGCCACCAGTTGCGGCAATTTGTACTTCACGGGCAACGGCGACCTGATGACCACTGGCACCGCCACCGCCGAGGAGCTGGCCTTAAGTGCGGCGGGCGTGAACCGAGCACCGTCCACCTTCTGGCAGTATCCAAGTGAGTTGAGACCCACCAGAGCATGCCACCTGCGCTACCATAAAACCCCATAAGAGTTCTCTCTATACACACTGTCTCCCCCTCTCTCTATTTGGTTATCTCTTTTCCGTTGCGTTTTTGTAGATGCATTACCCATTGAATCAGTGATTTCCATGTCGCCCGCCACGGTGGGCCTGCAGTACTCGCGGGAGGCCAGCCGCGGACAGGTGGTGCTGCTGCCGGCCGCCCCAACAGCGCTCGGTAAGTCAGCCCGAGGATCGCGCGACGACCTCCATTCGCACTCCGCATGCCTGCACACACAGAGCCCAGGCTCCTTGGATCCCTAACATCCTGGGGGTCCTGGGCCAATTTGATTTTGATAATCGATTCGCCAAAACAAAACTAATTCATGCTTTTACCACTGCGCTTCTCTCCACCCCCCCTGCCTTACGCCACCCCGCCTCTGCCTCTGCCTCCGCCTCCGACTCCAAACCCGAACCTCCGACTAAACTGAATCGCTACCACGCCCATGCACAGCAGGCATATCAAATTTTCCCCTCTTAACGCCCACAGATCCGTTCCAACAGGCAGCGGCTGCGGCGGCCTTCGTCTGGCCATCGGCCTACATCCCCCAGGCGCCAGCTCCTGGCGGCCCCACTGCCGCCGCTGCCGCTGCAGCTGCCGCAGCTGCCTCGCTCCAGCCGTCGCCCAACCTGACCAACTTGCCCAACTTCATATTCCCCTCGATGGGCAGCCACCAGGCACTGGGCAATACGCCCTCGTATGCCTCCACCCTGCAGCTGTATCTGGCCGCCGCAGCCACCGCCACGGGGAGCTCGACGATGTGCCAGCACAGCAATCAGCAGACCAGCACCACCACCACGAACTCCACCATCAATCTGAGCCTAGCGTCAGGAGCGGGTGTCACGAACAGCTCAAATGCGGCCAGTAGCCTCAGCTCAAGCAGCAGCCTCAGTGCGAGCAGCTCCAGGTTCCTTAGCCTGGCAACGGGTCAACCTGGTCCCATGGGATCGCTGCTGCTGCCTCCAACGGGCATGAAGCTAGAAGACTATCAGTCGCAGCCGTTGCCACTGTCGTTGCCTCCGTTAGTGCCGCTGGAGGCGACGCGCGACAAGGAGCAGGCCCTGAACCTGATGCGTCTGCCCACGCCACCCACATCGGCCACAATGGAGCCGTCTACCCTCGGCCATGCAACGCCGCATCAGCTCTTCCAGTCGGTACCTATTACGACGTCCACTCCGGCCTTGTTAAATCTATCAATGCACGGCTCGGGGGGACAGCTTCCCGTTGCGACGCCCCTGCCTGCGGTTTGCGATGAGGCGGCGCTGAACTACAAGCTTCATGCTCCGCTGACGCCGCAGACCCCGCCCCGCATCGCGGAGATTTCCGCACCAGGAAGTACTCCCCTTCTGCCGCAGATGCAGGACGTCAACATCCAGACGGACACGCCTGTGTGCAGCGAGGATGAGAGCTTTCCGGGTCCACCGAAGCCGCAGGAGTCCGTAGCGGAGGCCAACCCGACAGCCGCCACCCTTATCCAGCCGCTGGAACTGACCAAACCCAGTGAAGCCAGCCATACCCAGCCGAACGAGTGCCATACCCAGACCGAACCCAGTGACATACTACCCAGTGCCAGCCAGGCGGAGTCAGCGGAGCAGACTTCCCCGGAACCTATAGAAATGTCGTCACAGGCCACGCAGGCTGCCCAGACAGCGCCCGAAGACCTTACCGGTCTCGAGCTGCTCTCCAACATCAGCACCAACAGTACACCGCTGGTGCGGATCAAACAGGAGCCAGTTGAACATGTTGAGCCGCCACAGCCGCAACTGGTTGAAGTTGCGTCGGAAGAGCCACCGCTGACTATGCAGCAAATAGAGCCAGCGCCCACGCCGGAACCGCTTGGAGGCCTTAAGCTGTTGTGCGCTCTCGCCGAACAGCGAATCCAAGAGGAGGAGGAGGTGCAGGGTAGTAGTCTCTTCGCTAGGCCCTCCTCGCGTACGCCCACACCAACGCCACAAGCTCCTGCGACACCACCCCCGGCTCTGGATTCTAGGCCTTGTTTCGGCTTTGTCCCACCGCAGGGACCAGTCTTCCCCTCCTCAACCTCCTCCTTTCAGATGCCATTGAGTTCGCCAGGGTTCCCCTCGATGCAGGGCATCGAGCTGCCCTCCACTTCGGTGGCAGCCGCTACCGAGTTGTCACCGGTGAAGCGCAAGAAGCACAAACATTCCAAGTCCTCGGGCAGTGACAGTCGCAAGTCGGCGCGCTGCAGCAAGAAGAGCAAAAAGAAGCGCAGACATAGCAGCAGCAGGCAGCAGCAGCCAACGACGGCAGGTTCGGCGGAGGAGGAGGTTAACCTGCAGGACGAGCAGTTGCAGTCGGAGCTGCGCAGCGCCCTGCATGCCATGGATCCCAGTTACGCGCAGCGCTTCGGCCAGGAGGTGTTTAGCATCATGGATAATAGTATGCGGATGCGGCTGGCTGACATTACGAGGCAGTATCGCAAGAAGAAGCGGAAGCTCGACGAGATATCCAAGCACAAGAAGAAGAAGAAGTGCTCCAAGCAGCAGCCGTTAATCCAGCCTGCGGTTCAGCCAGCACCCACACTACAGCAGCCACAAATGACGCTGTCTAGTGTCCTGGGGTAAGTGAAATTAATATAGATTGATGAACTATTCTTATAATATCCATTTTTGACCCTCAAGGACCTCGTCTCCTTTACGCGACTACAAGTTCCCAAAGTTCTCGAGCAACAACCTTCAGACGTCCAGCTTCCTTCGATTCCCGGAGAAGACGCACTCCTTCCCACCGCCGCCCATGCAGCAAAGCCAGCCGGAGCCCAATCCCTTGCCCACCAGCTGCTCACCGAGTACCTCGTCGTTTGTGCGTCTCGAGCCTAGTGCCCTTGATGCGGCCGTTGCTATTGTCCCAACTACCTCGACCCTGACTGCGACGTCAGCATCCTCCTGCTCGCCGTCTTCAAAGCAAACAGCTGCTTCTGCGGTGCGTAAGCAGCGCAAGATGAAGGCGAGTACGGTGGGCGGCACTGGGGAACCGACCGCAGCCCCGGAGGCAAAGCGACGAGTCAGTGGCATTGATCGTGAACTGCAGCTGACCAGCGAGCATCTATATCGCGAAGAGACACGTGTCCTCACCGACATGGGTGGACTCTTCTACGCGGGAGTGATGAAGCCACTTCGACCACCGGACGTATACTCGATCACACTGGATGGGGAGCGCGGCAACAAGTCGCACGTTATGTCGCGCGAGGATATACTCAAGGATACGGTGTGTAAAAGTAAACTCTTTTCCGACTCTGAGACTAATGGGATGCATCTTTTTCAGATTCTCGAGGTGGCGCCAAAGAGCGTAGAGAGCGTGCCCGTGGGTACGCGTCTGTGTGCTTATTGGAGCCAGCAATACCGATGTCTCTACCCGGGCCGTGCCATCGACACGGAGCAGGCTGAGGATGGAACGACCAGCAACAGCAACAATACGGCAGCAAATACGGCGACTACGTCGCCGGACTTTGTTAGCGTGGAGTTCGATGACGGCGACAGCGGCAGGATCCGCTTGCAGAACATCCGGCTGCTCCTGAGTGACTATCCCATAGCAGGTGCGTGTCTATTCCTAAGTTTCGTGGAAGCCTGGGGGGACCTATCCTATCGTTAGTTCATTTCTTGTGTCTGTGCTTCCTTATTTACTTCTTTGTTGTTTTCGTTGCTCCCGCCCAACATTCCCGTCCACACCATTGGAACAGAGTACAACGATAATCCCCTCTACTCAGTAGGCAAGCAGAAGCGCAGCGCTCTGCGCGGTGCTGAGTGTGGTCCTGGCGGACCCTCGCAGGAGCATCTAAGCGTGCCCGGCTGCGAGGACTCGCACAGCCACCACAGCCTGGGGATGAGTAGCGACAACACTACTTCGCTGGCCGCCACCATGGAGCTGTTCACGCAACGCAGTGAAAAGAAGCGCCTGAAGAAGAGCCTCAAGAAGATGTCCAAGTCGCAGAACGGCGTCAGTTCGGCCACGGCTGCCAATGGCGGGACAGACGCAGCTCCGTCCGGTGAAGTGTGTGCGGGTGCAGATGATGCCGCCCGCAAACATCACAAGCACAAGAAGCGCAAGAAGCACAAGAAGCATCATCGCAAGAATGGTAGCGAGGAGCCAGAGCCACAGGTGCAAGTGCAGGTGCAGATACAGCAGGAACAGCAAGAGGCTCCGCCAACAGCACCGGCGCCGACAGCGAATCGAGTTAAAATGGAGATCAAAGTCAAGTCAGAGCAGCTAGAAATGGAGGAGGAGACTGCATCCAATCTCATGTCAGAGATATCCGATGAGGTAAGCGGAGTTATCAAAATATTCCATATCGAAATAATACAATTATATGTGCTCCTCTTACAGGCCAAGGGTGAGGATCTGGTCGAGCATAACAACTCCAAGGGCAGCAGCAAGATAGCTGCCTTCCTGCCGGAGCGGCAGCTTTGGGGTTGGCATGGCACCGCCTATCGTAAGGCGGGCGTCAAGGGGCGCGCCAGAAAGCAATTTTACAAAACAATCAAAAGGGGAAAGGAGACTATCACGGTAGGAAAAAGAAATCTTGATATTTATATACCCTCGTCATATATTTTTTTGTATTTTAGGTCGGGGACAGTGCAGTATTTCTATCAACGGGCAGACCAGACCGACCATATATCGGTCGCATTGAGTCCATGTGGGAGACCACAACGGGTAACAAAGTGGTGCGTGTGGCGTGGTTCTATCATCCGGAAGAGACGACGGGCTGCCCAAAGCTAAGATATCCGGTGAGTGAGTCAATTTCAGAGATGTATATCAAAGGAAGAAGTTCTGTTTTGATTGATTAATATTTACATTCTACGAGAGATTCTATTATTAACAGCGAGTAAATAACATATTTAATTTGTCTTTTAAAACCAGGGTGCTCTGTTTGAATCGCCGCATGAGGATGAAAACGATGTGCAGACAATTTCGCATCGGTGCGAAGTGCTGCAGTTTGGCAGTTACTTTGACAAATTCGGTGCCGATTCGAAGCAATATCAATCCATATACGATAACAATGATACATATTATTTAGCCGGGCACTATAACCCAAGGTTGCAAGTGCTGAAACTACAAGACGATATTCCAACTCTCGAAGAGCTGCAGGATACAAATACTACTACTACTACAACAACTACTACCGAGGATTAAGCGAAACGTGGCGTGGATAGGCATAGTCGTGTTTAGGCATAGTGCATACAAATCTATATATATACAATATATATACACACATTATACATATATTTTACTATACGTGAGAGGAGCAGAAGGAGCAGAGATATACCTATTATATGTATACAAATATTATTTCAATATATTTTAAATGTATTATGTATTTCGAAAACTCAAGAAAGCAAAGCAAAACAAAAAACAAACACAAAAAAAAGGACAGAAGAAAAGATAGAGAGATATAAAACGAGAGAGAGAACAAGGAACTAAGCAACAACCACTAAATTAATGTGTAGTTACGTGAGAAGCGCAAGCAATTTTAAGTCTAATTTTTGTAAAAAACGAAAAACAAAAGAAAGAGCTAGGAGATGCGCGACAAAGTTGATTCACTCAAAGTTCAGCAAAAACGTTTACAAACTAAATGTGTGCTTCTACATACCCTACGACCATTCGACACAACACACAAGACACAACCAACTAAGCATCCAACCAACCAGCATCCAACCAACCCAGCATCCAACCACAAACGAACACAATCCGCACTTAGAGTCCCCTTCTACAGATACGGATACACTTGTTACTCTACGTGTATACCTACCACATGTTTCAGATGAAATTTAAAACGTGTTTTAATGATTTTAAGCAGGCAACATGCAGCAACTACTACTATAAATGTAACAATTCAATGTGATAGCAAAACAAACCCAGATGTTGATGTGTACAGAGGAGAGAATAAGTATAGATGATAACTAAGAGATCAAGCGAAATGTGTGTGTTGAATATTTACAGCTCGTTTATTCAAGAAGAACAGCAAAATATAAAATCAAACCTATCTTTAATTACATCAATAAACTTGCCGGATATATTGAAAATTCCGTTAATGTTTTCTTTTTCTGTTTCCAAGTTCGAATTGCAGCTGGCTTTGGGATTACATTTCAAAGAGTAGGAGACCTAGGACCGGAACATGGTTACAAAGTTAAACTAAATCGTTTTCATACTTGTATTAAAAAACACGTTACACCATGTGGAAAGTTCAGGCCTTGGTGGTGCATCTCTTGCTGCTCGGATCCATCCTGAGCATTTACTTTCAGTCCACCGTGTTGTCGGGTATGGAGCCACAGTTGACCATGGGTCAGTTGGGCATGCGGCCGCCAGCAGATCGATTGGTGGTTTTCCTCACCGAGGGCCTACGGGCAGAATCCCTGCTGGAGGACAACTGTAGTGCGGTGCCAGCCCTGCGGGAGCTATTTATGGATCACGGCTTGGTCGGAATTTCGATTTCCTCGGTGCCGACGGCCCCTCGACCGGGTCACATTTCAATCTTTGCGGGCTTCAATGAGGATCCGTCCGCAGCGCTCACCAACTTTGCCTGGAATCCCACTACCTTTGACACCGTTTTTAACCGCAGCCGGTTAGCTCTGGGATGGATGGACAACAGCATTGCCAAAATCTTTACCCACTTGCCGAACGGGGGAGAACCGTTGCGCTTCGAAACCTATTCCAAGCCGGAAGATTCCATCAGACTCATGGATGAGTGTACCTTGGAAATGGTGCGTGACTTCTTGTCCAAGACGCACAACGTACGGCCGTTGCGCAATGCCACCTCTATGGTTTTCTTTATCCACCTAGCCGACATGAAGTTTGCCGGTCAGACTTACAAGCCCACTAGCACCCAGTTCAAGGAAAGGCTTAACTTTACGGAGCAGGTTGTCCGGCAGATCTATGATCTCTTCGAAGGTGTGTTCAAGGACAAACGTACGACCTATTTGTTAACTTCGGATCACGGCATGACTAATAATGGTGAGTAGCTTCGCATAATTACTAATCCTGTTCCTGTTTGGGTTGTGATTCGAAGTATTTGTAGGCAACCATGGCGGTGGGCATAAGTACGAGGTGGAAACCCCCTTCATACTCTGGGGAAGTGGTGTTAATCGCAATGCTCCAGAAACCGGACAGCACTTCACAGTCAACGACGAGGGACGTGAGATGCCTCTCTACGAATTGCAGCAGACTCAATTGGCGCCGCTTATGTCCGCTTTTATTGGTCTTCCGCCGCCCAAGAATAACATGGCCCTGCTGCCGCTGGGCTATGTGGATGCCAGCATTCAGTATGAGCTCCAGGCCATGCATTTGAATACCATGCAGCTGCTGGCTCAGGCCAGCATCCTAATAAGACAGCACGAGAGTGGCTTATTTTCTCAGTTTCTGGCCAGATACGAATACCTAACCTCCGATGAGATCCACAAGTATTCGCTTAAAATGCTAGGTCTGGTGAACAGACATCAGTTCGAAAAGGCCCTGATGATGAGTCAGAAGATGGCGAAGCAGGCGCTGCTATGCTTGGAGTACTACCACACCTATTATGACCAAGCGCTGTTCATGGCCACCACCGCCTCATACTTTTTGTGGTTCTTCTGCCTCCTGTTGAAGCTCACGCGTGAGTCCATCCAGCCCAGACCAGCGCGAAGGGGACTAGTTACCTGGACCACGTTGCTCATGTCCATTGGGGGACTGCTACTCATGGTGGCAATGATACTGCAGAATGTCCCGTGCATAACAGCATTCTATCTGATGCTGCCCTTTAGTATTCTAATCATAGCCGTGGGTGAGCTGCCCAAGAAAGGTGTCTGGGTTAAGAACCTAATCTTCCATCTGGCCGGGATCGCAATGCCCGGTTTCCTGCTGATACTGATGGCCTTCCGGAATAATCACATCGGACTACTATACGGAGGACTGGTGTGCCTCAACAATCGCAAGGCATTCCTCAGACCCTCGGTAAAGCTATTTTCCTGGCTGGGTCTCGTCTTTCTGCTGAGTGCCATCCTGGTGGTGAAGCAGAACCCTAGCTTGAGCTGGATTACCTATGGCATTACGAATTATGTGAGCGACAGTCACGTGCTATACTTCAGCATGGTTCTGTCCGTGGTGCGCACTTTGGTCCTGCAGCAACAGCATTCTGTTCGGGTGTGGCTCGTTAATGTTGCATCTCTGCTGATTGTGGCTTATGGAGTGTATCAGTGGGACTCGGATGAATCCGTTTGTACTTACGTCTATGTGGCCTGCTGGGCGTATCTGGCCTACGCCTTCCTCTCGATCCCTTACAGTGGAATTATGGAGACCAGGCGTCGGCTAGAACTGATCTTTTTCAACATGCTGACGGTCCACATAATGCTGACGACATCCATTGAATCGCTCATTATCCAGATCATGGTCACGGAGTTTGTGTTGGGCCAGGAGATTTATGCAGAAAACCATGGATTGAAGGACGGAAAAGATCGCAATCAGAGTGAGAGCAGTAATCAAGAAGGGGAACGGCATGAGGAACAGGATTCGGATCACCAGGAACATGAGGGTGAAAAACCGAGACAACACCTAAGGCTCTCCTATCGCTATGCATTCCTCATACTGTTGTACTTCTATTTGTCCTTCTTTGGCACTGGACACTGGTTCTTCGACTTTACCTTCAAGTCGACCACTTCGCGATTGTTCCTCTCGCATTTCTGTCTTTTCGGTGCCGTCGCCTTCAGCCTGCTGAAATTATTCATACCGTCCATCATCATCATCTCCAGTACTTATGTCCTGGTGACCTTTAGCCGTAAGAATGCCCGATCCATCATAATTTGCCTTTTCCTGATGACCGAAGCCATGAGCCTGTTCTTCTGCTACTTTGTTAAGAATCGCGGTACCTGGAAGGAAGTTCGCAAATCATTGGATTACCTCCTGGTTACACATGTCTTTATCATTCTGTTGATTGTTTGCTCCTGGATCGCCAAGGGATTGCTTATCAATACCACGGATGAGATGCCACCGAGCCCCAGGCAAGTCACTGTGATTGAAAATGCTACTGCGCTAACTGAAGATAGCCAGGCGTAGTTTAATTTGGAAATAATATCGAAATTTGATTCTGTATTTATGACACTTATTGGTGTCACTGTTTTATGCTCTTCAATATATTTTAAATCGATTCAATTCAGTCTTTAATATGAGTCTTAATGGAATATTGTAAGGCTGGTTAGTTTGAGTATTCGAATATTACGTATACGCCCTATTAAACAGGATGTATACTTGTTTTTCAAAATATTTTAAATCGTTTCAACTCAGTCTTTGATTTAATATAACTTGAGTATTCAGAAAGACAAACGTATAGCACGGATTCAAAAATAACACTCCCTCTTCGAATATTACGTATACGCCCCACTTAACGGGCTCAATACTTCTTTTTTTAAATATTTTACATTGTTTCAACACAGTCTTTAATTTGAGTCTAACTTGAGTATTTAGAAACACAAACTTATAGCTAATCAGTTTCCACGGATTCAATTATAACAATACCCCCTCAAATATTACGTATACGCCCCTTTTAACAGTCTGTATTTGTTTTTTTAAATATATTTTAAATTGTTTCAACACAGTCTTTAATTTGAGTCTAAATTGAGTATTAAGGAACACAAACTTAAAGCTAATCAGCTTCCACGGATTTCGTAATAATAATACCTCCTCAAATATTACGTATACGCCCCATTTAACAGTCACTATAAGTTTTATGATTCCTTTACTTGGATAAAACTTTTAGTTAAGCCGAATAATTATCTCGCTCCCGTATTATTATAAGTTCCAGCGAAGTTCACAACGCAAAACTAGTTACTGAATCGCTACCGACTATTACAACACCCGGCTAACAAAGCTCTTGGGAGTTCCCACACCAGAAACGACAGTTCTACAGGCTCGTAAAACCGTCGACATGCCCCTATTTGCATAATGGCCCAAAGCTGACGAACGCGTGTCTGTCGATGATGTTCAATGAGCTGGGCTGGGCTCACACATGGGTGCCACGGATAGGAGCAGCGCCGCCCACTAATCGGGAAATCCGTTGCTCCTTTCACGGCTCCGCCCGCTGTCAGATGCGTGCGTTGCCTGGCTGCGGGGGTCACGAGACCCGGCATCGATCCAACAGTCGGAAAATTTGCATTTGCCAGGCTGTGGAAATATAGGGAAGACGCGGGTCGACGGATGAGCGGATGCGTGCCTGGGAGACACAATAATTAAAAAGCGATTTGTCTACGGCCGCCGCGCGCACTGGTGATTGGCTGAGCCAGGGAGTCCGGGTCCCGGGTGTCAAGGGGTTGCCGTTCTGCCACCGCCGGTGGCCAGGCCCCACCGAAAATGAGCACCACCCCGAAATGGTACTGCCGCAACAAATCCCAGCCGATGCACACGTTCGCGGAAATCGGCAAATTGGGCCTGGAGCTGCGTCGCATTACCAAACGGATAGTGATCGATGTCAACTCGGCGATATTCAGCGAACATGTAAGTTTTACCGAGCTTATTTAAGTGAAGGTATTACCTATAGGTGGCACTTGCAGGATACCATTTTGGAGGAGTGCGAGCGGGTGGTGGAGCAGTACTGGAACCTCAAGGACGAGACCAAGAATGCCGACTTCCAATCGCTCTCCAAGAAGATCAAGCGAAGTCCCTACAACCAGCTGCTGATGAAGAAGTTCGTCCTCATTATGGAGGTCAACGACAGGCGCTTCTGTCAACTGACCTTTGTGCTCAAGCGAACGGTGGGTCTCGGATACCTACCTTTCTATTCTAAGATGTAAAAATTCCATTTCAGCTAAGCTTTCTGCTCCGCAAGTCGATGCAATCGGAAATGTGGCTGAACTGGGCCCTGCACATCACCCAGCTGTATAACAAGTGCCGCAAGGTGAAGAAGCCGCCGGTTCAGGTGGAGATGGACCCCCAGCCGGGTAACGAGGAGCAGGAGGAGGAGGAGCCCAAGCTTGGTGGCAAGCGAAAGGAGGAGATGCATGCCAACGTTTGCAGCAATATGTTTCCTGGTCTGCTCTTGACCCTCAAGCCGATAGACTTTAGCTTTGTTCTTCAGGTTGGACTCCTGGAGTTTTCAGTATCCAGTTTTGACACCTCTGTTTTCCTTTTAGCTTGTGGCCCAGACGCGAGTGGAGCAGAACGCTTTGGACCTCGTTTTCGGCCTCTTTAACATGGGCGAGCAGGATGCCTGGCGAGAGCAACAGAACCTGGAGTCCACCTCCTCCAGTCTAGAGATACTTCGTACCCTGAACATTTCCTTTGCCGCCGGCGATTACCAACCGTATTGCGACTCCGCCCAGGATTACAAGTCGATGCAGATGCAGCTCACGGATGCAAGTCTCCAGGTTCAGGAGCACGATCATCAAAGTCTGCGTTGTAAGCACACGGAGAGCTTTCTGCAAAAGGAGCGCGTGTTCATCGCCCAATTGATAGCCAAGGCCACGGAAATAAGTCCATCTATTTTCGGTGAGTTCTTAAACGGATAAGGATTTAGCTAATGGCCTCCAATCTCTGGCAGATAATGTCAAGAAGGGCCCTGTGGATATTCAGGTGTATATCGTCAAGGGTTTGCGTCTGCTGTGGTCCTACGTAGGAATCATTTTGGATCACATCCTGTTGTGGTGGATAGATACTCCAGTGTCCTGCTACCGCCTCACGCACATCGATTCCATTCGCAGCTGGCTCTACCATCAGAGTGTTAATGGTAATTGATTTTTTGTGGCAAAGTATTAAAATTGTAGTCAGAAGTCATTTCCGACCCTATAAATCAAAACTATTCTTAATCCCATAATTTCTTGTTCCGCAGATATTCCCGAACCAGTTTTCTCCACCTTGCGTGGCATTGGCGAGATCTTGACTGGTTTCGTTTGCAATAACATCTGGGACCAGCTCTTCCGTCTCACCCTCATCTCGTCGAATGACACCAGACGTCTGGTGGATGTGGTCGTGGAGCAGTATCGTGATTGCCCTAAGAACGTAAAATACATAGATCTTTGATCATATATTTTCCAAATTGAAAACCAATTGTCTCTCCAGGAATCCGGCACTCCAACTGGCACCGTTTGGATCAGCATTTTCGCCAACCTGGTGAATCTTAGTAACCAGTATTTCTCGAATTTGGAGGCGCACAACAATTCCAGCCTGCTGCCAGTGGCTGAGCAGATACCCATCCTCCACAGGCTGGATCACTCCGTCCACACGATGCGATTATATGTCACCGAGCAAGCGAAGCTCCTGTGCTGCGAGTGGAAGATGGATCGCTTCTTCCAGATCCTGGAGCACGATGTCAAACTGTGCCTGAATGTCTTTATAACATTTCAACTGCCGAAACTCACTGCCGACCTGAGCGATATCCTGATGCTGGTTTGTGTAGCCCTGCGCACCAAGCTCATCGCTGAAGTCAATGCCAATATAGACAAGCTAAAGGTGCGTCTAATGGGAGAATAGTTACAGAATGCATCCTTGAAATTATATATTTTATATTCTAGAAAACCACCGATGAGTGTGTTCAGATCCTGTCAGCGGTTTGTCGGGTCCTCAGCCTGGCCAACTTTACGCTGTGCTTTCCCTCGGCCAGCTTCTGGCAGCGTGAGGTGTACAACAATGAGGAGAAGAGCCTGTACGTGGGGTATGTGCTGGATGAGATCTACCTGCCCACCATTCGGGCCACCAAGGACATCGTCATACTTAAGTTGATCCTGAAGCTCATCTGCGAGGCCTGGCTGGATTTCATCTACCAGAAACGGATCCGCTTCAGCGTAAATGGAGCCGTGCGATTGCTCAACGACTTTGACGATGTCAGGGAATGGATCCTGAGCTGCACCTTGCTGGACGAACAGCAGCTGGACAAGCTAAGCAACCACGAGGTGCTGCGCATGTGCAAGGGTGTGGGCAAGATCCTGCTTCGCAAGCCGGAGGATGTCATCTCCATCACCCAGTCGCCCAAGTACGACAAGAAGGCCCGTAAGTTGCATATTAATTCCCATGAAAATAGCTCTGTTTTATGGATATCCTTTGTCCTTCCAGAGGAATCCACCCAGGACACCCAGCTGCCTTCGGAGATGTTCGTGTCCAACCAGAAACATTGGCTGCAGTTGCGCGCCAGTGGTGGCACTGGCTTTCCTTTCCTGAAACTGTGCTGCGGCGATGCCGCCATGTAATCCGCCTTTTTCGAGGGGTACAAGTGTTTATTGTGTCGCTAAAATGCCTTACAAAAGTGTGGGGATGGTCTAGAATATATGGATGTTAGAATGAGGGCAACTATGGTTATGTTTCTTGGAAGTCTCCTAGGCGGGCACCTTGCGACTGATGATCTTTATCAGCTCATCCACGCGCTCGCTCTTGCCGGCAAATTGTTTTGGATGGGGTCCAATCATTTGAATGATCATCGGCACGTCTTGCGAGACCTACAAAAATTGTGAAAAATAGGCAAAAGTTTGACAGCTGTCCATTTCGGTTCTCGAATATAGGTCAATGTGTGTTACCTCTAGGAAGCGGGCGAGGGCCTTCAGCGTGCGGAAGATCTGGTCCTCGTTGGGACTGCTCTGGAAGAACTGAAGAATGGCCATGGCCAGCTCCACGGCGATGTCGTCGAAAACCTGTCAAAAGACACAACTTAATCTGTCTTCTCTGGGATTTGTGAAGCAAATCTTACCACAGTCTTAACTTCCTTGATCGCAATATTGTAGAGAATCATGCTGCCAATATTTTTCAGCTGCGGGCAATTGGAAAGGATGCAATGGACAGCCACCTTTGTGGTCACTCGGATATTGGAGATGGTCTGGCCATTGTAATCCCACTCGGAGATGTAGAGCAGCCATTCGGAGGGACCCAGGTTCTCAAACAAGTTGCACATCTATTGATAACAGGATATCAATGATTTAGCTCAAGGACTACCTATCTAGTTACTTACAAACATGGCCCATGCCTGCTGCTCCTCGGGTGTGTGCTTATCAATGTCCTGGGCAAAGTTCATTAGTGTGTGATCACGACGATCCTGGTGCAGAATGATGATCACATCGTCTTTGAGAGCAGCGTAGGCCAACGTGCGGATCATGTGTATCCGTGTGTCTGGGGAGAAGGCCTGAACGTCGCGCAGGACGCGCTGCACGAACACCAGAAAATTGTCACCGAGCGCCCAGGAGCCATCGTCCTCGATCAAATACTGATGCAGCTCCTCCATGGCCACCTCCTCCTCCTTGTAGATCTTGCCATCCAGCAGCTTCACTAGGCTTTCTAATTCAGTCTTTATCTGCAGCGGACGAAGGTGGAATGATATCAGGATAATTATTTTTGAGTTGGAGAGATATTTTTCTATTATTGGATAGTATTCCTGTTATATGAACATTATTATTGTGTGCTTATAGTTTATGAACTTATAAACATTTTGTAATGCTATTTAAGTTTTTATAATCATTCTCTTTTCAAATTGTATACATTTTTCATTAATAAGTAAAGGAAAAATGATTTATTCTGCAGTTATTTGTTATTATGTACTATAATCTTGTGTTTACCCACAAATTGGGTCTGCAATTTTGTTTATATGTATAAGTTCAACGATGTAAAATAATATTTATGGGTAAATACGTCGAAAATGTAGCTTTTATTATTAAAGGTCAAACGGATGCAGATAAATACCATTTTAAAAACATTCAATGATTTAAATTGTTAGCATTACAATTCTTTTTTGAACTACAGCATCATCACAACAATAGGTTATTGTTATAAATCATATATATACAAATATGTTCATGATTAAGCAACCTGAACGCTTTTTATGGTTTCCTATCCGCGTTTATTTGATAGAATGTTTAATTTATTAAAACTTTCACTAATATGTGTATTTAATTACAATAACTAGTACCTAAGTACAGCTAGCTATTTCCATTTTTGGACTTACATCAATGTCTTTGAGGACCAATGCCGGTTCCCGTGGAATCTCCTTCTCCTCCGTCGACTTGGAGCGCTCCTTGCCGTTCTGCGGCTGCTGTTGTTGGGCTGCGGGCTCTGACATCTTTGGTCTATTAATAGGCGGGTGAGGAAATTAATAAAATAAATTTCATACTTAAAAATAAATTCGTTTGGCTGCAGCAGAAACCTCAGCAGCAGCAGTAGCCTTCGGTTGGCCATTAAATTGCAAGGCTTTTCACTTTTTATAACAAATTATCTTTTACGATCCGCTCACGATAATGGTGTAATTACCAATTTAAATGTTTACAGTTTTCCGCTCGGGAAATATGCGAGGAATTTGATGTTCAATATAAACAAAGAAGCGGAAAATATAATTACGAGAGAAAGAGAAATAAATGAAAGCAAAAGCAGAAAACAGAAGCCGGCGGCGACAATTGGCAAAGACAGGACAGGACAGAGGAAAAGTTGTCAAACCGAAGTGTGACAGTAAAAGCTGAGGAAAACTCAAAATAGCCATGGTATTTTTAGGCCTTTACTTTACGTAGACAAAAACAAGGTACAGAAGATTCACGCTGGCAACACGAAAATTGCATGCAATGTGATATAGAAATGGGGAAAATCATCTCAAGCGGCTTTCCAAAACTTTTCCGGTTAGCGCGTAATGCAATCAATTCAACTAATTTGCTTAATTTATGTTGATTTAAATTACTCACATGCTATTTTAGTAGAAGTGACACACAAATTCCTTCACTTTCGACACCAATGTTCAAGAAAAACAAAAGCCAAATTCAACTGGGGCACAACTTATATATTTTCCTTGCTGCGATGCGTTTTGTTTATTCAGAATTCCAAAGATGAATATATATACAGTATGGTTATTTATTTTTCCAGACCTACTTAATTGGTGGCGAGCGTTGCAACTTGTGTGAAACTTTTCATTGAATTCCGGAGTCGAGAAGCACGCGAACCGTTCCAACGGAGAATTGACTCGAAATTGCCTCTGTTTGTGCCGAAGAAAATCCGATCGACGTGTGGGGAAAACTTTTCGGAAAATGCACACATTTGCTCACCGAGTCTCTCGAGTCCACTCGTTCTCGTATGAGCAGTGATCTGTGAGTGTGTTTTCGGATATTTCGTGTCGGGTTCTTTAAAAATAGACACACACTCGCTTCTCGGTTCGCTCTCGAGAAAGTGTAGCCAATGCAGCCGTCACACTGAGAGAAACCAGGAAAGTGTTCTGGCAACTACAGAACTACTAATCTTTAAGATATTAAAGCTTTAAGACGGATTTGCAGCGGCTTTTATTACCATCGGCAAGGGCAAGGACCATATCGCAACCCCGTCAATGCAATGTCGATTGTTTGGGTTTGGTGGGTGCTGAGGTCAGGGGGGTTGGCCCTGGAACTAGAACTGGGCCTGGGGCTGGGAAAGGTCGGGAAAAACACAAAAAGCTATTAAGTGGCAACGAAAACACATTCCACGCTCAGCCGGGGGTCCTGTCACATTCTGAAAGCAACAAGTCTCACATTGCGTATCCGAGATGTTGCCCAAGGACCAAATTATCGCTCCTTTCATTCGTCTCCAGAGTGTTAAGCGCGTCGGTTGCCAAGTGGAGCAAATTCCAATTAAAACTATCCTTCACCATGAAGAACTCTTTTAAAATCTGCCTGAGATTGCTCAGCTTGGTCTTCGTTTGCGTGAGCTCCTGCCAGGCCTCGCTCGAAAGGGAAAATAATAATGAAGTGAATAACTTGTCAAATGTGAGTTTACTAACCGTTAGTTCTTGTCCTCAAAGAAATGGTGAAATTAGTCGAAGTTAAGTACACATTATGCGAACTATAATCTACATTGATATCGAGGTTTTCCCCGTTGCAAGTTTACTAAGCAAACGAAATTACCTTAACTTTCGTGATTTTTATAACCTTATAATTTTAGTCAGAAGTGTGAAACGCAATGAAGGAGTCATTTCCGACCCCATAAAACATATATATTCTTGATCAGCATCAACAGGCGAATCATTCTAAGAATGTAGGAAAGAAAAAAAATTGTTTGCCATTTTTTTCAAAAAAATATATAAGGCATCTTTAAAATCCCTAAAAAAAAAGATAAAAATTTGAATTTTTTTAAACTTGAAATTCAGTATGCAGATTTATAAGGCTAATAAAAACTAACATAGGAAAGCTTTCCGAATTATAATAGATTCGATTTTGGCTTAGTTATGTGCATTTTAAATTTTGATTTGTTAAAAAAATGTTAATATAAAAATATTTATAACTATCGTATATTTAAAGCCTAGTTATGATTGATTTCCGATTCGATCTTATAATTTCATTGCTAAACTTTCTTTTTAATTGGAACTTCTTATGTTTATACGTTTTTAAACTATTTTCCCTTACTGCACTCATGGCGTATACTTAATTTAAGGGTATTCACATATTAAGTATACGCCACGTATGCAAGATTTCGCTTAAATTGAAGACTATTTGTATACCGTTTCAGAGTTTAAATTTTAATAGGAAGCTTGCAACGCAGTGAAGGAAAATTTTCCGACCCTATAATAATATATATTCTGGATCAGCATCAAAAGATTAATCGGTTATTATTAGCCACATTTTACTATTGTTGAGCAGATTATTTTATTCTTGGTTTAAAATTAATGATTCATAAAACACTATTTCAAATTTGTTATATTTTCATACTTATCTTTTTTACTTAGCATAAACTAAGTGGCGTAATACAATGGAAGTATGAAAAGCGACCATTTTGCAATGCATTCACAGGTAATTTGGATAATCGATATATGAATATATTATTATTATTAGTTACCAATTATGAATACTCTTCCAGGATGTGGCCGAAAACGTACCTCGTATCCCTCTTATCCACCCTTTTCGCTAATAAAACGTAATGAGATCGAGGAGAAGCCCTATAACAATGAATACCTATCTGAGGGATTGAGTGATCTGATCGATATTAATGCCGAACCAGCTGTGGAAAATGTGCAGAAGCAGATTATGTCGCAGGCGAAGATCTTCGAGGCCATCAAGGAGGCCAGCAAGGAGATCTTTAGGCAGAAGAACAAGCAGAAAATGCTGGAGAATGAGCAGAAAATGCAACGGCAGGAGGAACGCGAAAACATTTAAATAATTATCGGGAAACGGATATAGAACGAGCCCTTGGACTGGATAGTTACCACACTGGTTTTGTTATTGTACATAATGTCTTTATAAACGACTCTTTGAATTGCAAAAGATTCTAAGGCACTGGCAAGCATTGAATAAAAGTTGTTAACTTGGCTACATGGTGTAAATTTCATGATTAAGTTTAAAAAAATTCTTTTTTTAGAATATATTTCAAGGTCGGAGTACTTCGTATTTATATACAGTACGAAATTTGCTTCTGACATGGAATTTGACTGTGTTTGGTATTAGTAATCAGTAATCGCAGACTTGACTCCCCTATGTTATCACTGAAAATATATGATAGCGATAAGAGGTCTTTACCATTTAAATGATATTGTTAAGTACATTTCGGAATAACTTTCATCAAGTTCAAGCTTTTAGCATAATTAACTTCTTCAGTTCTAATACATACAAATTTAATTAATAATTTTTATTTCATAATGTTTGTGTACTATTTCTACCTTTATCGGATTATTATAGTAAATCCATACCATAGATAACGTTTTATAAACTAAAATTAATTTACATTTAAACTTATTAACTATTATTTTTTGTTCAACTTAACTCTGCAAATTATCTTTCATTATCTTAGGATTCACACAAATTAATATTTATTTATCTTTTTATGCGTTTAATTTGTAAACAAACATATTGCAACATTTGTGAAGCAGAAGCACTTTTTTCATCAGTTATTAACTGCGATAATAGCACTCAACAGCTGGATTATAATCCAAATAATCAGAGTGGGCTTAATCACTGATTGGGCGTCATTGTATTTCGCCAGTTTCAGGCTAATTTGGGCACTCTCTTGGACAAACGGACGCGTACTCCATGCTTGGGGATCAGGGCAATTCCACTGTTCTCATACTCCAGCTCACGTTTGCTCATCACTTCCACGTTGAAGTTCTGGAGAATCTTAACAATCGCCAGCTTGGAATTCACTCGACCCATCCTCTGGGCAATGCAGATCCTCGGGCCTTCTCCGAAGGGCATGAATCCTGTGGAATCATAGTTGCGACTTTCCTCGCTGAAGCGATAGGGGTCATACTTCTCAGGATCGGGGAAGTATTCAGGGTCGCGGTGAATACCATAGAGGGAAATCACCACCGGAGTGCCCTTCGGGATGACGTGATTGGTCTCGGGCACTGTGTAGTCCTGGGTGCATTCTCGATTCAGGATGGGAAGACCAGGATACTTCCGCAAGGTTTCCTGCACGCACAGCTCTAGGAACTCCATCTTCTGCAGGGCATCGTAGGTTATCTCTCCACCATTCTTGGCCAAGGTTTCATCCACCTCGGTCTGTAGGCGCTGGAGGAGTTCTGGGTATTGAGCAAGCTCAAAAATAGTGAAGGACGCCGTTGATCCGGTGGTCTCCTGTCCAGCTATGTAGAATATGAAAGCCTGGGCGGTGATGGCCTCCAAGGAAATTGATTTGATGTGTCCTGTAAATTGAGAAATTATGAGTCATATCATTCATTTCGGAATTACTCTTTTACTTACCATCGGGGGTCTTTTGAATGCTAAAGGATTTCTCGTCATTCTCATCTATCTTGCCGGTGTTTCTGAGCTGAATGAGCAGTTGAAGCAGATCCTTACGCACGATGCCATGTTTCTCACGATGCTCAACGGTTTCCTTGACTATCTCCAGCATTGCCACCCCAACCGGATTCTTGAGACGCATCCGGACCATATTTTGGCAATTCTGCAGGAATACAACTTTAAATAAACTTTATCAATCCCAGTAGATGGGAACTTACGAGGGCACCAGGAAGATCATCATGCCGAATAAGGCATTAAAGCTAGTGTTGAGTCGTGTTATTGTCACCAGATTGCGGAACTTGTTGTCCGGATGCTCGAAGCTGTTCACGTCCAAGCCGAAGATGGTTGAACCAATGATGTCGATGGCATAGTTTTGCATCACGGATTTTAGATCCACCTCCATGGAGCCCTGCTCGGGCAGTTCCTTCTGCAGATGGGCAACCATTTTGTCACCAATGTCCTCTGAGGTGGGAAACATGGCCTTCAGCTTGCCGGAAGTGAAGCACGGTGACAGCATGTGTCTCATGGAGCGCCAGCTCTGTCCTCGCAGAGCGAAAATATTGGCCGACAGAGGATCTTTATCCTCGTCCACGTACACTCCGCGATCGTGGAAGCTGGCGAAATCCTGGGCGAGAATACGACGGGCCAGGGCGGCATCGCGCACCAAGACACCCGGACGGAAGAGCAGATAGATGCCCACGAATCGTTCCTTGCTCTTGAGGTAGATATCATGGATGGCCAGGCCCATACTCTTCTCTTGCCTCCAGACGCTGTCCAAACAACCGAATGGAAGCCCTGAACCCTTCTCCACTGGAAAGCCGCGGCGCTCCCAGAACTCGTAATGGTTCTTCAAATAGAACCAAGCCAATGTCAGGAGAGACAAGGCCAGCAAAATTAGCGAAAACATGATTAACGTTGATTAAGAATTCTTTCAAGAATGTAACTCGAGCACCAGTTAATACGAAACTGTCAACAGAAGAGCTCTGTTTCCCATTTATAGGGCGCGGAATACTCTCTCCTGTACGGCGCTATTCTCTTCTTATAATGATTACTTATACAGCCACTATATGAATATTCTCTTTGAGTGGTTTAGCATGACGTTATATATGGGAAACATTTGTGAAATAAGAGACTTTGCTAAATTTTAACTTTGCCCCCCATGGGAACGAGTTTTTAAGCTTGGATCTCTTAACAACTTGACACTACGACTTATTTGTTTTGCTCTCACAAAATAAAAACAGATCAACAAATATTTTAAATGCGTAAAAATATCTTTTTACAACAAAAATTGTTAATAATCTAATCTATCTTACATATGCAATAAAAGAATTATGATATATATATCTTATAAACCTTTAAATATTTAAATTACTAGCTGATTTTGAACTTCTCAAATTGATGCTGAAGCTTAACAAAGAAAAAACAAACAAATATTGTGAAATCAAACATAAACTGTTGAAATTTATAGGTATTGAAAGAGAACACTTAAACTGTTGAAATTTATAGGTATTGAAAGAGAACACTTTTGTTAAATGTATTTCAATTATATTAAATGTTTTTATTGTTTCAAGTATATATTTAATGCTGCTAAGGTTTTACTCAGAGTGAATATTAAAATAGCAAATAAATATAATTTATTGACAAATATCCTGTATATGCCACTGACTTCTTTACTTGTCATTGTATAGGTTGCCTTTTTGTTTTAATATGAAAACCGAACTAGAAATAGTTAATCATTTTTGGCATTTATAAGTCCCATTAGTAATCAGTAACCGCACCGCACTTCAAATATATGATAGCGATAAAAAGACTTAACCATTTGAATAAAATACCTTAGCATGTGAAGCATTTAACTCTTCTGTATATACTTTTAATGAAATAATTTATCATAATTAAGTGACTAGAAACACTGGCTCCTAGGATAGGCTGTTATTTCATCAGCTCGTCGAGCTCAGGCTAGTTTGGGAACTCTCTTGGACAAACGGACGCGTACTCCATGTTTGGGAATCAGGGCAATGCCACTGTTCTCAAACTCCAGGTCGCGCTTGCTCATCACTTCCACGTTGAAGTTCTGGAGAATCTTAACAATCGCTAGCTTGGAATTCACTCGACCCATCCTCTGAGCAATGCAGATCCTTGGACCGTCTCCGAAGGGCATGAATCCTGTTGAATCGTAATTGCGGCTCTCCTCGCTGAACCGATCAGGATTATACTTCTCAGGGTCGGGGAAGTACTCGGCGTCGTGATGGATTCCGTACAAAGAAATTACCACCGGAGTGCCCTTCGGGATGACGTGATTGGTCTCGGGCACTGTGTAGTCCTGGGTGCATTCTCGATTCAGGATGGGAAGACCAGGATACTTCCGCAAGGTTTCTTGCACGCACAGCTCTAGGAACTCCATCTTCTGCAGGGCATCGTAGGTGATCTCTCCACCATTCTTGGCCAAGGTTTCATCCACTTCAGTCTGCAGGCGTTGGAGGAGCTCTGGGTATTGAGCAAGCTCAAAAATGGTGAAGGACGCCGTTGATCCGGTGGTCTCCTGTCCAGCTATGTAGAATATGAAAGCCTGGGCGGTGATGGCCTCCAAGGAAATTGACTTGATGTGTCCTGAAGATAAAGAGATTATAATATTAGACTTTGGCGTTTCGGAATTACTATTTTGCTTACCATCGGGGGTCTTTTGAATGCTAAAGGATTTCTCGTCATTCTCATCTATCTTGCCGGTGTTTCTGAGCTGAATGAGCAGCTGCAACAGATCCTTACGCACGATGCCGTGCTTCTCACGATATTCCACGGTTTCTTTGACTATATCCAGCATAGCCTTACGCACCGGGCTACTAATACCCAACGAGAACAGAAACTGGGCAATTCTGCAGGTGTGCAAACAATTAGGTCCAAAAAATGCTATCAATAGATGGGAACTTACGAAGGCACCAGGAAGATCATCATTGCGAACAGAGCATTAATCCTAGTATTCCTTCGAGCTAACGTTACCAAATTGCGGAACTTGTTGTCAGGGTTCTCAAAGCTATTAACGTCCAAGCCGAAGATGGTTGAACCAATGATGTCGATGGCATAGTTTTGCATTACCTTCTTCAGGTCAACTTCCTGAGAGCCCTGCTCGGGCAGTTTCTTCTGCAGATGGGCAACCATTTTGTCACCAATGTCCTCTGAGGTGGGAAACATGGCCTTCAGCTTGCCGGAAGTGAAGCACGGTGACAGCATGTGTCTCATGGAGCGCCAGCTCTGTCCTCGCAGAGCGAAGATGCTGGCCGACAGCGGATCTTTATCCTCGTCCACGTACACTCCACGATCGTGGAAGCTGGTGAAATCCTGGGCGAGAATACGACGGGCCAGGGCGGCATCGCGTACCAAGACACCCGGACGGAAGAGCAGATAGATGCCCACGAATCGTTCCTTGCTTTTGCGGTAGATGTCATGGATGGCCAGGCCCATACTCTTCTCTTGCCTCCAGACGCTGTCCAAACAACCGAACGGAATTCCCGAACCCTTCTCTATTGGAAAGCCACGTCGCTCCCAGTACTCGTAATGGTTTCTTATATAAAACCAAGCCAATGTCAATAGGAACACAATCAGCAAAATTAACGAAAACATGGTCAATGTTGATTAAAAATTCGAACAAGAACGTAACTCGAGCACTGTTAATATTATAATGGCCAAAAAAGAGTTGGGTTTCTCTTTTATAGGGCGTAGTATACCTCTTTTTTTTGCAAAGCTGTTCTCTTCCGATAATGATTGGGTGACATAGCCACACAATCAATATTCTCTTCTAATTATCTATTGTAGAATGACATTATAGATAGGAACCTGTTGTGAAATAAACTAAGAGACTTGCAAATATTTTTTGTCTTTTTTTCAGGTTTTCTAATTGTAAGACAGAGTCTCTTTAAATCTTTTAATTCAAACTAATTGGTTTGGATTTAAAAAAAAACTTACATGCCTAAAATTGTATTATATGTTTGGGAACCTTGTTACTCTCTCATAGGAATTCGTTTAACATTGGATTTTATAAGGGGTTTTAGGTCAACACTACGACCTTCATAAATAAGAAGTTCTAAGGCAAAGTAAGTCGATTATACAAATTATAAAGCAAAACTAATAATATTGGTTTTCTCTTAATGCACATTTTGTTTGCTATTATTATTTTTAATTTCAAATTTTGTATGAAAAACGTACATTTTCTTTTAAACTTTGTAAACATGTTTTTAAACAAAATGTTATAGAAGACTTTTAAAAAAAAAAGAAAATTATAAATTCAGTTCAGAAACGAAGAACTAACTTCATTGCTAAGTTATCACGAAATTTGTATTTAGTTCTTATCATTAAAGTTTCTACTTTCAATTTACATGATTTCCATGTATTTATTTCTTAATGATAAGAATTAAATGATATCTATTCCTTTGTTATCAAAAAATTTACGCAACCATGAAGCAACACAGAAAAAAAGTAAAGCATGATAATTGTTTGGATTATAAACATATTATCGTCACAGTTTTAGTTAGTCATACATGTGAGGGTTTATTAAAAGATATAATTTCCTAATTTTTATGACTGACAAACTGACATCGGAAAGTTTTCCGGCTTAGTTATGAGTTCTTCGGCTCAAAAAGTGGTATAAAAATTTTATTCAGATGCTTGTAACACTGTGAAGGAATCATTTCCGACCCTATCAACAGACGAATCTTTCTAGGCATATGGAAAGAAACAATTTTTTTTGCAATTTTATTTATTGAAAATATTAGGAGGGGTTACATCGTTAAAATTCCAACAAATTGTACTTTTTTAAATTTTAATTGGAGTTTGCATATTTGTTAACCTAATAAAAACTAATATTGGAAAGCTTTCCGAACTAATATTAATGCTCATTTGGCTTTGTTATGAGTTTCTTAAGCTTTAATTTTTCGAAAAATAGTCATTTAAAAAATAAAGATAAATATGGGCTCAAAAAATACGAATATTTTCAAATGTAGATATGATAAATTAAATTGCAAACTGCTAGTTAGTTTCCTTTATTATTTTATTTATAAAGTTTTGCGCAATCGTGAAAGCACAGTCATCACTATAGGCACCCATGGCTGTCTTTCTGAATAAATAAATTTTGTATAAACATTTACATCGATCCTTTGAAAAAGTTAATTTTTCTGGCGCCATCATTATCTTTTAGTTATTATCATACTTTAATTTCATTATCCCATATGAAGGGTGACATTCCCTGTTCTTGGATTGTCCTTATTGGTACTGTTCGTCATCACCCGAACCGAAGAGCTGGACCTACTTATACTTGTCCTATGCAGCTCTGGAGGATGCTTCGCGTCGGACCAGGGCTTGAAATTAAAATGGAATCCCTCCAAATCCTGACAGTTGACGTGGGGATTACCCTCCTCGCGCAGACGTTGCATGACATGTGCTCGAACCTGTTTTATACCATCCGAATTGCGGCAAATAATGGCGGCCAAACTGGTCTTGTAAATCTCCGCAAGTTGAGCTATAGTAGAATATATTTTTTAATAATAATAAGCACAGATTATAAGTTATAACTTAGCTAAGATATTAATCTATCTGACTACAATCAAAAATTGATAGAAACCTTACCTTTGCTGAACCTCTGTGGCCCCATCTTCCGCTCATACCAATGGGAGTCACCCAGCTTAATGCGGAGGAACTGATCAGAAACCATGCAACTGAGCAGCGGTCCAAAGATGGCCCCCTCCATTGGAGGCTCACTGAGCGCCCCCGTGTAGACGTCCACATCTTGTGGGGAACTAAGCCAAATGAAATAGATTAGCTGGAGCTCAATGGATCAGTCAGAGTTACCCACTCGTATATCTGCTTTATCGACTTCAAGGTGTCGTTATCTACGGCCTGGGCCATCTGTTCCCACGTGTCCACCGCTGGCAGGCGACAGTGACGACGGAAGACCGGATAGGATGGAATCCCATGATCCCGTCCCCTTTGAATGTTCAAGGAGACCAGATCCAGTCCGCAGAGGGGCAACCGATCCTCAGCGGTGCCCTCGAATAGCTTTTGGGTTACCTCCAGCGAGAAAAAGCGATCCACCTGCATCACAGGCGTATTGGCCGCTGTCATCAAAGCATGATCGATGCCATGGGCCGCCCACAAGGAAAACGGATTGAAAAGCATCTTATGAAGCTCCACTGCCTCCGGACTACTATTACCCCGCGAGATGTTGAACAACCCGGGCAACAGGGTGTGGGCAAACCTAAAGGCGGCCGCAGCAAAGCAATTAGCAATGCTGGGATCCACCTCCGGATCATAGGTATCCGGAGCACTTAGATTGTGTTTAGCCGGCAGAAGACCCTTCGCCTCGCTGAGGTTGCGGCCCAGGAGCACCGGCAGGAACTCATTGTAGGTGATGTGTGCCATTTGAGCACCTAGGATTTTACGCGCCTCCTGGTACAAGCGTTCGTCCTCCCAGTGGGGATTCTGCTCCTGCAGTTTCCCAGCCAGATAGTTGTGATGCCTGGCCCACAGCAGGTGCATGGAGGTAAGCAGCAGGTTCTCGTTGGCCCGATCATCGCCAGACTCGAAGCAGTACTTTCCCTGGCGCGTCATATGCACCCTGTTGCATCCATCTGTCGGATTCGAGGAGATGGGCAGCAGCTCCCGGCCATCATCCGTGAGATACATTCGCAACGTACCATTGATTAAGGTGCGTAGTTGATTCTGTCGCTGCTCCAGGTTGCCGTAGACCACGGAGGCATCCAAGAAGGCCGTGGCCTGGTTCAACTGCATCCGAGGACCAAATCTGCCCGTTGGCGCTGGAGCAGATCTCACAAAGTTCATGCAGGTCAGGTTGTACTGCTGGTAATATGGATCGTCGGGCAGGATCTCCACCGGAAAGCACTCCGGATGCTGCTCACGAGTGGAAGGAACACAGCAGTCAATGGACTCTCCCTCCTGTGACGTGGTCAGTGATGTGGCCGTGATATCGTGGTCCATGAACTGACCAAACACTGCCAGCATCACTGTAAAGTTTGAATCCGTTTCATAGCTGGACCGATGAATCTTCAAGGATACCTGGCGAGCCGGCGGCAGGCATCCGTGGTGGCTAGCCCGTGGAGCGGCAATGCCATCAGCATAGTCCGGAGACACCATGCGGCGGTAGGGCACCATGGAGGCTCCATATGTCCGGGGATGCTGCTTGTTATTGCACACTCCTGTGGATCGTCTATAGCGGGCATTAAAGTCGCAGTCCAATCGCAGAACCGTGGGATCGGGCAGAACGATCCGGGGTCCCCAACCAATATTGCTGCGACCCGGCTGCTTGGTGTAGTTCAGCCTCCTAGCTATGTCCATGGTGGCCTGGTTCTCAACGTAGCCACGCCGTGCCAATTTCCGTGCCTCGGGGTTAGTGCTCAGGGAACGATAGTGCCGGAACGCAGGCGTATTCACTTCGTTCGGCTGCAACCCCTCCTCCAGAATCTCCCGATCACCCAACGCCTTAATCCCAGCACTCACCGCCTGGGCGCCATCATTGTGACCCAGTGCAGCTTGTTTCAGAGCCCAATCCGCTGCCGGCTCGTCTGGCAGCGGTCTATTTGGTGGCACTTTGATTTCCGATCCATTTACCACAAAGAAGAAGCTGGGACCCCCGTCAGCGCCGCCAAGGGAATCGCTAAAGACCAGGGCCAAGCACAGGGCGGCGATTACAATGACTCTGCAGCAGGAAAGTGAAATCAATTTGTGGTTAGCATTTTGCGGTTAATCGACGACTAAACGATTGCAATGGGCCAACGAGGGAAGGGTATTAAATAACATGGGTAGAGGGTAGAGTGTATAGATTTCTCACTGTTTTAAAAATTTCTCTCTGAAAGAGAGTAGCATCAAAAAGGAGGCAAAGACTTCCGAATTACAATACCCCTTTAAGTGCTAACAACAGCCTTAATCACAATAGATAATATAGTTTTGCAAGCTCAAAGGATTGGCATTAACCCACATTTGGAACGGATTTCAGGCGCCTCCTAAAACACATTAAGAGCCACATCATCACTGCAGGCACATTTGCAGGCACATCATAGAAGTTTACAAAAATTCTAGCAGTTATAAGTCCAAACTAATCGGATGAGCACTCACATAAAGGTGATGCCAATGCAGCATTGAAACTGCCGCATCTTGTTGCGACGCGAACGCGGATTAACGCCACCGGGAAAAACGTGTTCAGGTCCTTGGTACGGTGGCAGGAGCACGTATCCGGAGCCACCGGCAGCGGTGAGCGGCGTTGTTTCGTCCGTCATGATCAAAGTTAAACTGATGCGCAGTGCCGGCAAATGCAGCTAACAGAGCTGCGGCCCAGGGCGACTCTAGAGTTGCGTTGGCACTTAGTGGGCTTCCGACACTCCGCTGGCCGCCACACTTCAGATACTTTCGCCTCTGACAAAGCAACTTGGCTTATAATATAATATAATGCCAGGCAGCAGCAAGTAACAAAGTTGGCAACTGTCCACCGGCCAAGAACACCAGCCATCATCTTGAACTCTTAACGTAAGCTTTAATAATTGACAAATGCGGGAAATGGGATTAGAGTTCCTTATCATCGGACTGTCTTAACATGTCGGCCACATACTCGTAGGTCAGCTTGAGCAGATATTGGAACGGTTTCTGTTGCGGCAGATCACCCAGCTCCGAGCTCTCTAGGAAATCCTCCAGAGGCGGTAGGCTGTTCTCGGCCTCCTTACCCAACACCTGCGACATTTCGATAATCTTGAAAAAGAGCAGCTTGTGCATGTAGTCTACTCCATTGTTAGCATCATAGTCCGTCCAGTTATCGCGTTTGATGGCAGCACACCATATCTTGTGCTTCATGTCGTATGGGTTTTCCACGTAGGTCAACAGGTCTAGGGCCCTCTGGAACTCTACCTCCGTGGCAGAATAATTTTCCTCGGCAATAAACAGCTGTGGATAATCGACCGTTGTAATGGTTTTGTTATTTACCAAAGACTCGACTGCACTTACGTTGATAATTTCCTCGGCCTTGAGTACTTTCTGGTCTGCGGTATCAAAGCCAAAGTTCTGCAATACGTCTAGGCCCAAATCCGCCTGAAATTCGATCAGGGCCAAATCAACATCAATCTTATCCACCTGGGCCATCAGATCGGAATCGGGTGCCGCTAAGGCGGCCAGCTTAGCCAGCGACAGCATGGACTTTTTGCGCGCCACAAATTCCACTTCACATTGGGCCAACTCGTACAGCATCTTGGCCGCCCGCTCGAAGTCGCCGTTGAATATCAGCTGGATCCAGCCCAAGGACGGATGGTCACGCATGAACTGCGCCAGCGCCGTTGGATTGTTCTTGAATCGATCAAAGACCTCACCGTGCCGATTCTGGCGCAAATGCCAGTTAATGGCGAATTGCGAGAAGTTGTATTCCTCGTACTTGCGTGTGTAATCGTCCAGACGATCATTGTCCATTGTCTCATCGCATATCAGCACCAGGCTCGGGAAGTCAAGGTACTTTTCTGCCAGCTTTGCGGCATACTCATATTGACGGTCCTTGACTGTTAGTAAAATAAAGGATTAAAATTATGTATTAATATTTAAGACATTATATACTTACTCAGTACTGAGATGAGCTCGCGTCGCTGAGCCTCAAACTGCTGCTGCAGGACATTGAACTTCTCCGTGTCGCGAACGCTCTCCAGGTAATTCTTTCGCCCATCTAGCACAATATCGACCAGCTCGAATATCTGTTGGTACAGCTGCTGCTTCACCTCTGTCTCGCTGACGCAGTGGCCGCCATAGCGCACACTTATGTCAATGAGGCGAGTCAGTGTATCCCGGACTCCGGCCACGCCTGACATGGCCGTCCAAGGCAGGTTCTCATAACAGGCCAACCTGTCGCTGTGCAGTCTGAAGCTGTTGGCGTGCTGCTCCCGATGCCGAAGCACCTCGTGGAGCGTGTCCAGGACAATGGAGTTAATGTCTGTAATAAAGTGGGCCACCGACAAGGTTGTCTGGCTTTGACCAGCAATCCGATCGTCGGCAATGTCCGCTAGGGCCTCAAACACGTTCTGAAATTTGCTTAGTTTCACATAGAATATATCCTGGTTGGTCAGGCTGCCCTGGGGCTTATCCTCCCATCCAGCAACTGTGGCATCAATGGCCTCCTCAATTAGAATGGGCAGTTTGGTTTGCAGGGAACGTAGGGCCAGGGCAGCCACTATCTTCTCACTTAAGTCGGACAGTATAAAGCTTGTTGGCTTTAGCACGTTGCTGCCACAAGGAATGGCATTGAGCTAGAAGCAATAATTCATAAATATAAAAAGTCTGAAATCAAGCATATGAATCTCACCTTTTCCCAAACGCCACTGGAATGCAAAAACGCTATAAAATGCTGGAAGGCAATAACCTTGTCCCTCAGCTGATTTATAATCTGCATGGATCGCGAGCTTCCAAGGGCATGATGATGGATGTCCTGATCTCCCATTACCTCCTCCCAACGTGGATCCGATATGGGCAAGTCCTCGGCCAGATCTTCGGCGATGGTGATGACAATCCTATCCAGCTTGAGCGCATCCACAGCCGCTCCATTGGGATCGGGATCAAATACGCTGCGCAGCAGGTCACCGACAATGCTCTTAACCATGTTGTTGTTGCGTTTGAGATGGTACAGGAATGCTGCCTTTAGGTGACCCACCTCATCGCTCAGTTCGTTGTACATATCCTCGGGATCAAGCTCGAACATGTGCAGATTATTGGTGCTGCCCGTTATTGCGGAATGGTCGGCAACATTGAAACTGGCACTGAACGAAGCGGGGGCAAAAAGATCGGGGGTGTTACAGGTGCTCATATTCAGCAGTTCAGTGCCGTCGAAATCGCCCGGCGTAATGGAAACCAGTCCGTGAGTGCGGCTAAAGAACAGCGGCAGGTGACTGCAGATGGCTGCACTCAAAATGCGATCGTCGTGCATGTGGAACTCAATTTTCTCCGCCTCCAGTTCCGCCGAAGGCCCACCCTCGTGGGACAAGTGCAGCGGGTATACTACCTTTGGCGTGTACAGATAGATGTGACTGCTACCGACCACAAAACGCAGACTAAGGCAATCCTCCTCGGTCTTGGGGCTAAAGAACTTATTGATCTTTAGCGGCGTAAAGGACTCCAGAAACATACTCTCTTCCTGGGCACTGACAGTCACTGTGAAATGGGAAAACTTTATGTTAAACCTCAAAAAAACCTTTATGCCTCAAAACCCTAAATTTTAAAACAATTCTCACCGAGAGCATAGCACATTTGTGGAGCGTGGGCAGCGTTCACAGCTCCGGCTAGAATGTAGCCCTTGCTTTTGACCATTTGGAAGTCTAACAGGTGCAGCTCGATCTCCACATTGTCCGCAGGCAGACGGACATTCCAGAACTTGGTCTTGAACTCCTCGCGGATTCGGCGCACCACTTCGGCGTCTTCGTAGATCAGCTGCTCGGCATTTCCCTTGTTGGACAGACACCATCGCTGGACGGCGCGGTCAGAAAGCAGGGCAACAACTGTTTCTCCACTTTCGGAATTGCTCTCGCAGCACATTCCCACCAAACTCTAATTAAAGAATGCTTTAGTACTTTTATTTACTTATATACACGCCCACTCACCTGATCCTTGTCGCCGCCCGGGTTCATGCCAATTAAAATGGAGGCGAACTTCTTTCCAAAGCCGCCAAGGAAGCTGGTGGCCGGCTTGATGGTCTTGTGATGAAGTGTGTAGCGTCCATTGGCAAGGCCCACTTTGAGAAACACCAGATTACATGTAGAGGTCACAGCCAAGTAACCATTTTGGCTGGGTAGATTTAGCAACTGAACAAACTCTTGTCCGGTTAAGATCGAGAGATCGACAGAGTTTCCGTCATGAGCGATGGATGACCAGTATCGCACGTCTCCGGTGGCGGAAACAGATATGCAGGACGCCATTTGCTGGCCAGTAGTGTGGAATACGCTTATCAACTCACTCTTGTGACCCAGGTCGCTGTAGGGCAGAGTCAACTCACGGCTCTGGGCCATGCCCCCAGTCCGCCTTGGGGTCAGACCAGCACGAGGAGGCGAGTTGGACTTCGTTGGGTCTTTGTACTGCCAGATGAGCAGACGCCGGCCTTGCACAACCTAAAAGGATGCCATAGCGGGAGCTGTAGTTTGTGTATCAGTCCAAGTGGCAATGATCTTACCCAAGCCCAACCATTCTGGGCCACTTTGGCAGTGATTGTTGCGGCTCCAGTGCCGGGAAAGGTCAGGGCCTCGTTTACCGCCACGGGTAGCGGGCCGCCGAAGCTCTCCACCACATTGTAGTCCGAACGTATCCCCGGAATGGACTGCGTAGAGCGCACCGATAGACACAGCCGGCTGCAGAGTAATGTCAGAGGCTAATTTACTGTTCGGATGGGCTTGGAAATAAATAAATACCTGTTACTCAGGGCGGTCTTCTTCAGGCTTCCATGCAGTTGTGCGCTGCTGGCGTTGCCGCCAAAAAAGGATTTTGGTGTGCTGTCCGCCGCATTAGGCGACATGGCGTAAATCCGTGGTCCCGGAGACGATTCCCGCGGTACTCCGTACAGATGTTTCTGCAAGTCTCTGTCCATTTTAATTATAATTCCTTGCAATTTACTTATAAACAAAACTTTTGGATGAAGCCGGCATATGGTCCAGTCGATAACAGTGACAATTATCGATTGAGCACAGTATTTTAAAACCGTTGTTATCGATGTCACGATGTCACCACCTATCGCCCGTCTCTATCAAAAGCCCAATTTGTCATCTCTAAACGTAATCTGGCTGAATTTCATAGATTTTCGTAAACAAAGCGGCAGTTCTCCGGATATATGGCCACCTGGACACAAAATGAGCCGACAGGTGTCACCAAGCGCAGGCGTTGGAATCTGGAAGGTAAGCCCAAAAGCCAAGAGCAGTTAGAAACGTTAAAAACATGGAAAACTTGTGCCTAGCAGATCGCGCCTCGCTGAACAAGCTAAAGCACCACATCGCAGAGGAGGGCTGTCCACAGGTGCAGTACGATTTGGCCAAGCAGCTGCTGGAGAATGCCATCGGTGAGTGAAAGTGTCTTTGGTGAGCTATTGGGTAAACTAAGGACCTATTGGGCTTTGCAGAACCAAATCTTGCCAAGGGCAACCAGAACCAGAAGGCCGTCAACTGGCTGGTGAGTGCTGCTCATAATGGACACGAGGACGCGGCCAAGCTGCTCCGTCAGTGCTACGACGAAGGCAGTGGCATCACAGCGGAGAATGCTGACGAGGTGCGACGCTGCCTGGCCATGACCCCGGGCGAGCGGGCGGCGAGAAAAGCAGCCCGGGAGCTTTTTGCTTGTCTGTCGAATGGGAACGAACACATCACGCCCAAGCAGCTGGAACGCAAGATGCGCCGTATCTACAACCTGCAACGCAAGCGCCGTCGACGCGACGATGAACGCTCTTCGTCGAGCAGCGAAGGTGAGCAAGAACAGGAGCCAGAGTGCGAACCCCTTGAAAACGCCCCAACAAGCGGACTGGCCAACGTGGGGCGACGCCGCTTCATCACCGAAGCCAACTTGGTTTCAGCAGCCTCGAACTACAGTGCCGGCCAGATGCCTAGCGTTAACGATGCCCTCACATTGTCCGTGCCGGATCCAAGGAGCCTGGATCACGTGCCCTGCTTCTACCGCATGATCTTTCACCCGCTCGTCTTCTTCACCCTGTTTTACCATCGCCTGCTCAACCTGATTGTTTCCATACCCGCCCTTATCCCGCTAAGTGTTCGCTGCAGTATCCTCATGGCGCTCTCCTGGTGGAGCACCCGCCACACGTTGGCCCTGGGCAGCTATTACCTCAGTCTTGGTGTCATGATCTGGGCCACGTGCAAAATGCTGAAGACCAAGCAGCAGTTCGTGGACTTCCGGATATGGTCGGGACTGTTTCTCAGTTATGGGGACAACAACATTGAGGCCGACATTGCCGAGCAAAGATTCCTGCGCAACAACATGAAGCCGTACCTGTACTACTTCTGTGCCTTCATCTGCAACCTGATCGTGTATCCGCTGGTAACCGACGCCTGGCTACCGCACTCGGAACTGACCATTGTGTCCGGAGCCCTGACCTTCCTCACCATGGGAGTCTCGATGTACGCATCGTCTCACTTGTTTCCGGACTGGCTGGTGATAGTCTCCTTTGCCGTTAATGTGCTGGCCAAGTATCCGTACGAAATGGACGAAGTGGTCTCTTCCCGCTGGCGCTTCCTGGACCTGCGCGTGCCCACCTTTTCCTCCTTCGTCATCGGAAATGGGATCGAGTTCTGCCTGAATTGTCGCACTGCCTTGTACCTCTTCATCCCTTTGCTGCTGGTGATGATGGCCAAACGCTCCCGATGGCACGGCGTCTACACATACCTCATCCCGCACTGCGTTACACTGAGTTGGCTACAAGTATGCATTTCCACTTCACAGAGCGCCACCATGTTTGGAGTGGTGAGGGCAGCGCTTGGCCTGGCCGGTATAGTTTTGTTCCTGCCGCTATTCGGGATTGTGGCACTCCTGGTACCCGTCTTCATGGCCATCGACAGCTTGGGCCTGGCCAGCGAACAGCTCCGATGGGGCAGCACAGCAATTGCCTGCGGATTGGTAGTGGTGCTATCCTGCGTCCTGGCCCTTAATCGAGCCACACAAAAGTACATAACTATGTTGCAGATTATTATGGCCATTACCACTGCCTGCTTGCTGGTCTTCCCGTACATGACTTCCAGCTTCAAGGACACGCCTCGTTTCAATGCCATGCCCAGGGTGGGTCTGCACGCCCTCTCTGAGGCGGACACGCTGCATTGGGATCGCTTCCATTCGTTGTGCGCCCAGCCGATCCAGGAGCAGCCAAACAAGATCAAGGCCCAGCTGCGTTGCTCTCATCTGAACGGGCTGCCCGTCACTTGGGAGGGCAGCATAGCCAAAGTGGAGATCTCAAAGGTGTCCAATATACTGGAGGACATCATTGCCAACTACATGCCCGTGTGGCTGGGCCGTGTGCTGAGATGCGTGCACGGCGAGAATATTTCGCAGCACTTCAAGTGCGATCCAAAGCTGGACTCTCAGTGCGAGGAGTGGCGGAGCGTGATCAAGACGCTGAAGGCACAGAGCGGCAGCTGTACGCTGCAGCGTTGGAATCGCTACGAGTACGAGCTGTTGGTCAAAGTGGGCAAAGGCAAGGGAAGCCGTCTCTTGGGCCGCACCAGCTCCACCGATGTGGTCCTACGGGCTCATCATGACTTTGGAAACTTCACCCGACGCCTGAATGAAGGCGATGTTGTGCGATTCTACGGCACTCTCCTCAATTCACGACTTCTTGCGGACAGAGTTCAGGTGCTGTTGAAGACCATAGAGTGCGTGGACTGCCATTCAGCCAGCCTAGGTACAGCGAGCATCGAACGGGTCATGGCCTCCTCTCCTATGGACGCTCGCCTTCAGGATCTGATGAGGGGCATCAAGTATTTGTTAAACGCTTTGTTAAATCCTTTAATAACTTTTAAGTAAACCCACATAATTAAAGCAAAGTCAGGGATAGCAATTGGCTTGGCTGACAAAAAACCATGATTTTTGGGCTTCATAATCATGAAATACAGAGAGATTTTCTATAATTTATGAGCTTAAGTATCTAAAGAAATAGGCCAAAGATTATTACGGTTTTTATAATTTATCATTTATTCTGACGGCAGATATCCTTTAAAGAGTAATTGGATTTTCTTTATGGTTGTTGGGACCCAAGTTATAATGGATTTCCCAGAGATAATCAACAGTATTCGTACAGCTAATCAATAACAATGCTGTTTGCTTCATTTGCCTCTATTAATGCTATAGTCCTCGGGCATCTTATTCGCCTAACTTTCCTGCGCACCAAAGATTGTACTTCTTGATCCGATGATCCGGTGTTGCCCGCGGCGATGGGCATCCTACGGGACTCCAGCGGCACTATCTCGTGCTTTTCCTTTGGTATATCCAAAAATTTAAATAGTTCTAAATATTTGTTGGTAGTGGACTCTTCGTTGATATCTTCCTCTTTCCTCTCCGAAAAACCATGCAGCTCGCACGGCTCCGAGCCTGCGAACTCTGGTGAGTTAATCAAAAATTGGACACCGTTGAGCAACAACTTCCTGTGGCCAGGATTATCAACACCCAGCATGACGAGATCGGAGCAGACGATGAGCTTCAAGCGGGCAATACAATCGTAGCCACGCTCCAAAAAGTTCTCTGTGTACTTTTCCATCGTCAGCAACGCTAGCCAGTCGCGAACGGCTTGTCGATTCATTTTGAATTTTGATATTTTCAAAGTTCGTCCTCGAGAGTTCCCGGAAAATGCAAAGTTCTGCTTCTTTAATCGGCCATTGATGTTTTTTGACATTTTGTCGCGCGCTTCCGTTAACCGGAACTAGTTCGGGCTTGGGCCCGATAGTGCCATCCATGATACAATTATACAAGGTAGTCTCGTCGGCTGCCTAACCGTTCGGCTTATTTTCAGTGCGTTCGTGTTTGTCAAGCAGAAAGGTTGTGTGCGGACGATTTTTTTCTTACTATTAACCCTTGTGTGCGATGTCGTTCTGCTAAGAACATAAACATTAATTTAGATAAAAAAATTTTACTTTAAGATTCCGATATATTTTAAAATTAAGAATTTAAACAAAAAATAGCTTTACAAAAACAAAAACAAAGATTAATGTCAAATTCCAAACTATTAAAAATTAAGTTATAAAACACTTCAACTCTTTTTACTATGTATGAACAATTTAACCCCCATGGACCATCTAAGGGCTAAACTAAAAGCTCTTTTGTCGTTTCACTCGCACTTACTACGCAGACTCCTCTCACTCGCACTTGTTGTGAGTAATGAATAGCGGAGTGCTTTTGCCGACGAGACTACCTTGTATAATTCTACCCATGATACAATTATACAAGGTAGTCCCGTCGGCTGCCTAACCGTTCGGCTTATTTTCAGTGCGTTCGTGTTTGTCAAGCAGAAAGGTTGTGTGCGGACGATTTTTTTCTTACTATTAACCCTTGTGTGCGATGTCGTTCTGCTAAGAACATAAACATTAATTTAGATAAAAAAATTTTACTTTAAGATTCGGATATATTTTAAAATTAAGAATTTAAACAAAAAAATAGCTTTACAAAAACAAAAACAAAGATTAATGTCAATTCCAAACTATTAAAAATTAAGTTATAAAACACTTCAACTCTTTTTACTATGTATGAACAATTTAACCCCCATGGACCATCTAAGGGCTAAACTAAAAGCTCTTTTGTCGTTTCACTCGCACTTACTACGCAGACTCCTCTCACTCGCACTTGTTGTGAGTAATGAATAGCGGAGTGCTTTTGCCGACGAGACTACCTTGTATAATTCTACCATGGTGCCATCGCTTATTAAGTTAAAAAAAAGCTTCTTAAGCTTTCGAAAGACCCAACGACCTGACAACCCTGCCCCATAATAAAGTATTAAAGGCCAGGCGCTTCGTTCTGGGAACACACGCCATTCACCCACCCAAGAGGCCTCCACTTGTCTCCCGCACGCACACAACCCGCATCGCTAGCAGCGCCAACCATTGCCGACCAGCCATTTTGTCGTGCGCTTCCGTTAACCGGAACTAGTTTGATTCTTGGGGCTTGGGGCCCGATAGTGCCATCGCTAAAGCTTCGTGAGCTTTCGAACGACCCAACGAGTTGGGAACCCTGCTCTATAACAAAGTATTAAAGGCCAGGCGCTCCGTTCTCGTGAACACACGCGATTCACCCACCTGAGAGGCCTCCACTTATCTCCCGCACGCACACAACCCACATCGCCAGCAGCGCCAACCATTAACGACCACCCAGAGGGGCAGACGTAGACCGTAGCAGATACCAAAAAAGGAAAACAGTGTCAGCATGATTGCGACTATAACGAAGAAGTACCAGAATGTGGTGATTAGCACGGGCAACATCATCAACACGGAGCTGGGCCAGCGCAAGTCCAACGAGGAGCTGTACGATGGCCTGCAAATAACGCTGCACAGCGACCCGAGCGAGGAGCGCGTGGTGGCGGAGGTGCAGATCGACGAGCAGCACGGCCGGGTGCAGCGGGCCACACAGGAGCTGAACAGTCGCTTGACGGAGAACGGCCGCAATGAGATCAGCATCGGGGCCAAGATATTCCTCAACCGCAACTCCACGGATTGCGTGAAGCAGGCGGTTGAGGCACTGCTCAACATACTCAACGTAACGCACGTGGACAACGTGGTGCTGGCCTACCACCCGAACGCCAGTGCGGTTGCCAGCGCAACGGCAGCGGCCACAACAGGACCGGCCAAGTCACCCTGCTCCGAGGGAGGCTCTGCACCGTCCAGTGCCAGCAACTGGAGCCTACGCAACGGAGCCAATGGGCTGGCGGAGCTGAAGGAGCTCTACCAGACCCTGGAGCAGTACGCACTCAAGCAGCAGATCACACAGTTGGGCATCGCAGATCTGGACGTTGCGGCCCTGGAGAAGCTTCACACAACCGCCCAAGTGGTGCCAACGATTGCCCAGGTGAACCTGTCCACCTGCTGTGTGGTGCCGCCAGAGCTGCAGGAGTTCTGCACTGCCCACGACATTCAGCTGAACACGCACAGCGACCCGGAGCTGCTGCTGCCCGAGGAACAGTTCGCTGGACTGGCGCCCGGCTACACAATCGACTGGTCGCTCCGTTACCAGGTGCATGTCCGCTGCCGCGGCGTGCTCACTGCCAAGGGCTACATTGTGGGCGCCTCGCGTTCCAGCGCTTAGGATTAATCCCAATCAGATGCTAGATTATAGTTTTTATGTTTGTATGTATGCTCGTATACTGTGTGTAGTGGTGTACTTATTGTTTGTTATACAAAACCCCGATGAGGATTCGAAGCCGATCGATTGATTTTACTGTAAACGATTTTCAAAACCTATTCTGAACATAAAGCGTTTGAAAAACGGCAAAAAGCAATTGTGTATGCTGTACTCTGTATCAATTGCTTTCAGTTCCCAGCTGCCGGCTATCATGGGTCAGAGAGTCGACCACCGGGGACCGGTTGGGTCGCTCGCTAGCAAATTAAGTATACGCCCAGTTGGTGTAATTTACATATATATGCTGTGACCGCCGGCAATTGCAGGGGCCGTGCTCTTGGCGACTTCCTCCTTCCCCATTGTGGCTTGTTATTTCCTCTGGCTAATCGCAGTCTAGGGCCTCCACTTCTGGTGGACTCAAATCTAATTAAAGGCAGAAGCGTCTCGCCCGGCGACCCATCCAGATCACGTGGCTGACCCCTGCTCGCTCACTTGCTTTTCAATACGACGAAAATAATATATAAAAAAAGGGGGGAAGAATAAACCGGACGCCGATTAGAATATATATTATTATACATTGGCAGATATTTTAAATATATAACTGCCGATTGAGATGGTATCAGCGCTAGGCTAGGTGCAACAACCAACGGTCATAAATCCAACACTTATAATAATAAATGGAAAGTGTGAACAAAAAAATGCCAAGCTGACGGATGAAACTAATCAGTTGGCTTAATTTACAAGGGCCGTATACAGCTGGAGTGAGCCAAGATTGGAGGAGATTGGGAAGTGGAATGCGGTGTGTGGAGTGCGGAGTGCGGTGGCCCTGTAAATGGGCCACTTAATTGACAGCTGGAGGAAGTTCGTTCGAATGGTTTATTAATGAGCGCGACAAGAAACTTGGCCGAGCGTGTAATTTAGGGCCAAAGTTCAAGGACCATGTGCCTGGTGTTCTAATGTATGTATCTTAATAAAAAGTACTCGAAAAAAACCCCATATAAATAGATATGTGTTGGAATGGAAATACAAACAATAAGCACACTTATCGCTCTGGCTCTCCCACTAGCATGACTTGTATGTTTCTGAAATCCCCAACAGAATGAGAGCGGGAGCGGGAGAGATAGCTGGAGCTGCTGCTGACTCAATACAACAACTTGTTTGCCGATCTTTTACAGCTCCGTGCTCCGGCTTGTTTCGTCACCAAATCGTTGTGTATGATGACGCATCGGCAGAAGCAACATGTTGTCCCAACACCTAAATGCTGGCAACAAGTGGAGAGAAGCCTCTGGAACACAATCAAGACCCCACGCACACTGCGTCCAAATGGAAACTGGTGAAATGTGGGTGACATAAGGCGGTCGTAATCAGCTTGCTATCAGTATAAATTGTTTTTTTGTAAGACAAAACCGCATCTAAGTGCAGTCGCTTGATAAGCGCACCACCACACACGGCGTATACGTAACCGGGCGGTAATAAACCATATCCATTATAAGAGGAATAGCGGCTGCTACACATTCATCATTATGTTCCGGCTGAGCTGAGCTGGAATGATTCTGCACTTTCCACTGAAAACCATTAGGGGACAGGTATCCGGATTCCAGAACTTTCCAAGGCCCACCCACAACCGAGTCATGGAAAACAAGCAACTGTGATTACACCATAACAATTGTTGAGTCTTTATTAGGTTAATTGAATATTCTTTGAATGCTTCGTACTCACATTATCCATAACCAAAGCTAGTTTCCCTCATGTTTCGCTTTACTTTATCCTTTATAACTTTAATGTATGCTTACACAGAGAGTCGATAACATGAATGTACTGACATTGATAGGTTTCATCTTCTCGACGTTATCTCTAATTACAGGAATTGTCTGATTTGTGATGTGTGTTTTTTCATGTTCATATTTCATCCCTATGCGGAAAGACTACAACACCTATCGTAGAATGCTGGTTGCGGTTGGTTACATTTACATTTAGCCTTTGCCTTCATTTTTTTTTGTAGGCCATTAACAATTAGCTACAATTAGATTGCATCGTAAAAACTAATCTCACTTGGATCGCGCAATTCAAAATAATACTCTGTATAATTTCGCTCCATTCGAATTGGAAAACCAAACGCTCTTTGCTGGGGACGGACGCTGTGTCTGACAATTGAAATCGCTTTTAATTGGCATTCCGAATTAACAACAAACTGAAACTGGCCACTCGTGCACTCAGCTTGGAACTTGTTTACATTCGTTGTACGTTTCCATTCCGGGGACCATTACCATTCGAATCGAATTTGAGGTAACTGGGTGACGGTGGCGGTGGCTGTAATGGCGAATTTGAAACCGGGCTGTGGTGGCATTAACGCAAGGAGGGCGGTAGGGCATCCTGGAGGAACGGGTATCCTTTTCTGGTCAATCCTACGTTCGTTGCTGTTGCTGCTGCTGCCCTAGGACTGGTAAACCATATAGTAAAAATGTATCAAAATCGTCTCGATCGCCATCTCGAAAAACAAGAGAAAACGTACAAAAATCGTTTGTTTTGTTGGTCGTAGACATCTTAAATACTTCGATATCTGTGTTCTGGACTCTTGTGTGTTGCACATTAATTTCTAAAGTAAGTGTTCGCGTCTAGTTTCTCATAAGATTCAAAATGTATACATACACCTTCCCACGACCTGTCTGCCTAAACATACACTCTAAATTCGACGGAAATAAATTGGTTTTTTTTTGGGACATGAGCTTGACAATGAAACAGTTTCTTTGCCTACGGTTCACATTAAACGTGTTTATCTCCGAATAGTTTCCTCTAAGTTACTTATTTTACGTCCTATTGAGAGAGTATATAGAGTAGAGTAGTTATTTATAGACACATACGGCTTTGCACATTGAGAAAGCCACGTTAATAGAATCGAATCGTTTCTAAGTGGGTCAACGGTTGAGTAGATTGTGTGGAAATTGGGAACTGGATTAGTAATTCCAACTCCATGGTGGAGTAGGTAAGGTCCTTGGACTTGGAGTTCGCTTTTGCTACATTTAATAAATCTATAAATATTTTAATTTCAATTTTGCAGTTGCCCATTTACTGTTTTTTTCAGTTTAAACATTTTTTTTGTGGTGCCAATCAATATACATATATATATATATTTTAAAAAATATTTCCCGTTTTCGTTATCATTTTGTTGCTGTTTACATACTAAGCAATCGATTACAGCTAAAGTATTTGTTTAATCCAATGGAATTGCAATTTGTCAAGAACACACAACACAACAAGACATCAAGAGTGACACTTAAAATGCATATTGACATCTGTTCTTTGTCGATTTTGGTTTGGTTTCGTGTTCCGTGTTCCGCGTTTACCGATTATTTAACATTTAGATCAAAAATAGTGCCCCTAAAAATGCCACAAAAATACAATCAAAACATTTGTTTACTAAACTACAAATACATACAATAAAATACATTGATGCACGCATAATATTTATATAACATACATACTACTTATGTACGGATGTAACCTTCTCTTTACTCTAGAACAACTTTTATAGCTTAGTCTGATTCGTGTGTGTGTTTGTTGTTTGGGTAATGTTGAATGTATAACTACTCAAAATATAATACCATTTCAAATACAATTTCATCAGTTTGCCATACCGGCATACATAAGTAATTCAGTCTAATTTGGGAGTTGTTGGTCAACGATCATTGCCCTGGATAAGGGTGGGAGGAGTTGGGAATTGGGTAACCCAAAAACCGAACCGAAACACAACAAAATTTACAAGACGATTATCGGTCAGAAAAATCTCCAAAGGTTTTCAAACATAACTAAGAGAGTGTGAATAATTATTTCAGCTTCTTTCCTTTTCCATTTCGTTTCGATTCTCTAGAGATTTCTTTGTCCCTCGTTTGTCCTTCTATTCTTCTATCAGGTTCCATAGTTTAAATCAAATGCGACTTCCGGTTGGAGTGTTCGATGGCCGCCAGCAGCTCGTGCTTCTTGCGGACGTAGAGTCGCCCCTTCTTCCAGGGATTCTGCAGCTGCAGCGGCTTAAAGTCATCCCGCAGGCAACGCTCTCGTGCTCCAATCACCGCCACCAGGCAGAAGTTATCCAGCACCTCGGGTCCATAGATGGGTCCGTTGTTTCCCTTTAGCACCACCGCCATGTTGAGCTGCTTTACCACCAAATTAATCACTTCACGGGCCGTTGTCTTAGGGGTGACATGTAGCTTTAGGCTAGTTCCACTGGCCAGTCCCGTATTGTAGGCGGTGTACACTTGGATGATTCCCGGTGCCTGCTCAGTATTCAGGCTGGAGCAGCTGGCCGAGTCCTCTTCGCTGCTCTGTCGCGACAAACTCTTCATGGAGGAAGCCTTGGAGGTACTCGGCATCGGCTCTTCGCCACCCACGGCTCTTAGCTCGGCTAGAGTGCTCTTCAGATAGGGTCCACCTTCGCGTAGGTTTGCACTAGAGGCTGCCTTGGCGGCTGGCTTCAGCGGCTTGTGCTCCAAGTCGGTGGCGAAGGCGCCATTGCCGCTCCTCAAGGAAACACTAGATCCAGCCAGATACGGAGCCGAGCTGGAGCTGTGCACTGTGATTAGTGGAGCCGCGTGCGATCCTATGTTGGAGCTGGTACGCTTTCTTTGGGCAGCCAAAGCCTGTGAGTTCCGCAGTGCATCCGCCAGGGTGTCATCGGAACGCGATGGAGGAATGGCAAACACACTGCTCGTACTGTTCCCATCAGAGGCAGAGTCCACGGCGGAGTAAAAGCTCCTTGCCGTATAGGTAGAGCTCATGGAGTCGCCGCTGTTCTTCCTTAGCGATACCTCCGAGCAAATGGATCCACCATATTCGCTGGTCGTGGAGACTTGCAGAAGTTGCTGCTGCTGTTGTTGGAGCGGCTGCTGTTGTTGGGACTCCTGGTGGGTGGCAACTTGGTTGGATGCTGGTTCCACTGGTGTAATCGCACTCAAACCCAGATTCTGCTCAGACTTGGAGTGCTCCGGTTTGGTCTGCGTTGGATCCTCGTTGGTCCCTGGTCCGGGCCAACTGCCTCGACCCGTGCCCGTTTTAGAGAACTTGCTCTCGCGGATGGGCAGTTGCAGCAACTGTTTGTTGGCGGAACCTGCCGCCGTCGCCGATACCGATTCGTCCTGCCGCTGTTGAGCAAAGTCCAGGATCTCACGCATGGCTAGCGATGGCTGGGCGCTTTTATTCCTGGCATAAGCCACCACATCCATCAGCCAGCGAACGCTCTTCCAGACGATCGTCAGACTAGAGCTGAGCTCCTGCAGCGTGGCCAAACGCTCCTTTGCCGCCTGCAGTTCACTGCTGGAGAAGGCTTCGCGCAGGGCATGTGTGGCTAGCGCGGTATCCAACTCAAGGATGCAGGAGAGTCGGGCGTATTTCTGAATGATGGCTGGCTGGTATGTACGCAGGTGGATCATCTCAAAGGCTTGTATACTCAGGCTGGCCAGGTCATCCCTCTGGAGCAGCAGCTCCGATTGGCCGGGTACGGCGCAGGAGGCTTCAGCGGATGGACAAACCACCAGAAAGCTGATATCCGGACTGTGCTCGATCACCTCCACATCGTACAGGCGGTGGGTGGTCGCATCCGCGGCCTTGATGTTCATGCTGGCGAATAACTTGTGCATTGCATTGGTGAGATCGTAAAGGAAGAGGCGCTGCACCTCGGAGGTCGCTGCTCCCCCGGAAGCTGTATCTGTTCCCGGTGAGCTAAAGTCCAGCGGCAGGCGAAGGGGATCGCTGGTGCAACGGTGGAGCACCTGCCATTCCTCGGCCGTAATGTGACTGTTTTCGCGCACCTTGCAGTGTGGCAATACATTGGGCGTTTTCACGGGCACCACCACCTGAATCTGGTCCATGGAGCACTGCATCTTTAGGTAGCCCAAATAGAGGCCCGGCTCTAGTCGCTGTAAAGCGGCTTGCTGGTAATGCAGCTGATCGCCAATCGACGAGATGAGCAGTTCGTTGATGGTATAGTCCTCGTGCAAGGCACCGAGTTTCTTCTGCAACTTGCTAACCGGAAGCCACCGGGAATTTAGGATGGACACGGCCTTTTGGCTCTTGACGGACTGTACGCAGGTCAGCACCACAGTACCCTGGGCATCTTTCAATGGCTTGAAATACAACTGTCCCAAGTCGGTGAAGCCCAGAGCTGATTGCATCTGGCAGACGGCTGACAACAGCTTGGTGCGGAAGTGAACGGCGGAGGTGAGGTTGCGCTCCATATCCGAGCGAAGTGACTTCACATCGTCCCAGGTGCAGGCCACCTTCATTAGCCAGTAATAGTCCATATGCAGGGCACTGGGATAGGATTCGTCCACCTCAATAACAGGCGGAAAGTCCTCGCTGGTCACTAGGACTTTGTCATCGCAGTGGACAATGCAAGAGAAGTAAATGCCACTGTTTGGAAATGGAAAAGAGGAAGCATTTAGGTAAGGTTTCGAATCAATTTGCTTTAAAACTTACCGCCTTAGTGTTTTTTGGAACTTGGAGGTGACGGAGAACAACTGCTTGATAGTGGTTTTCTTTTTGGGATTGCGTCGCTGGCCGCTTGCTGGATCTAGGGTCAACTCGGAAACATCAGCGGGTCGTGCCAGACGCACTGCGGTAAATAGATTGTCCAGGATTCGATGGCGGCCCACAAAACGATCCTCCCGATTATCCAAATCTCGCCAGGCTGTTCCAAAGATATCACTTAGAATTGAGTGCCGTTTAATTGTAAATATAAACTTACTCGAAGGCACCACACTGGCGGGCACAGAGGTTCTATAGGCGCCCCATCCCTTGACATTGCCGCAGGCGGCACGCAGGAAATACCGACGCCCCTGCGTGAGTCCAGATATGTGACATTGGGCGCCCATCGTGCCGTGGAAGCTAATCCACTCCAGCAATTCGCTCTCACCCACAATGTTGTTGAAGTCCGCGCGGGTTGACCATTGTACTGTGAATTAAAATAATTAAATAATTATCGAGAGTCAAAGAGATTTAAACCTTTAAAAATACAATTATACAAGCTTTGTTTAACCAACAAACGAAGCCACTCTAATTAAGCGAGGGTATAACCAAATAGACAGCGGGAATTGAATCAAGAATTAGGTTCACCGCAGCACGACAAAATAACCACAATCACATCGCGTAACCCATCCCACTGAGCTGCCACAGTCACAGCCACTTGACATTGCAACAGCTGCGGTTTACCTTTGAATTTCGTGCCGATGGCCCCCTCAAAGGGCTCCAGGATTTGGACGCTAATGGAGTTGTCGCCGGTGACATCAACGACCACAGAGGCGGGCGCATCTGGGGGACGGGCCTGATCCCAGCCAAGCTGCAGGCGGCGCAGCGCCTTAACCCGTCGCTCCCAAATGCCGATCTGCTTCTCCACCTCACTGCCCGTGCAGCCGGTCACCGAGGCGCTTGAATTGCCTGCAGAGAACGAGAACAATCGTTGATTAAGAGCCCACTCAATCCGGCTCGATGGCGGCCACTCACCAATTATAATGCTCGAGATGGAGGGACGTGAGGCAAACATGGGTGGGCAGAGGCCTTCTGGTCCGCTCAGATCATGGATGCGCGACTCGGCGTCCTTGAGCAGGCCGTTTAGCTTCGTTCCTATAGTATCCACGGAAACTGCAATGCAAATTTAAATTGATTGGTGAAATGAACAGTCAAATGACTATAGACTAAGGGCACTTTACATTGGGAACCCTCTATGGCGCCATGCTGGAGCAGCATCCTGGTCATGGAGCGATTATTGCTTAAAACGGCCAAATCAAGGGCGGATAGTCCATCGTTGTTGATGCTGAAGGTAGTAAGAATATTATTATTTGATGATTAGATTGTGCTTAAAGTAAAGCTCACCTATTCACATCCACATCGGTTGACTCCAGAATGGTGCGCGCCTTTTCCAGATGTCCATGCTCCACAGCCGAGAACAGAGCTGTGAATAGATAACAAGGAGAGATGTAATTAAGAAATACTAATTGAAGATGGAGAAGTAAATTCAAAAAGACTAATGTGGCGATGCGTGCCAAGTATCTGCTTTTTGGACCATACCATGCAAGTGTATATTGCTTTGCGTCAGCTTATCCAGCTGGGCTTGGGCTAGCTTTAGCTGTTTCTTGGTCATTTTACTGGCCCGTGGATGAGGTGTATTTCCCGGAATCTTGCTACGCAGCTGCACAGGCTGCCTGTGGACCGCGAGCTGCAGCTGTTGCACATTCCCAGATGCATTCTCATCCCCAGCACCCATTGTCGGAGAGTCCAGCTCCGAGGAGTCTGTCTCCTCGTGATCATCTCGCAACTTGGCGTTCTTGGGTTGTGAATGGCGAGAGATGCAGAGTTGTGACTGCGATTGCGATCCTGCGTTGGAACGCGAATGGGGCAAGAGGAATTCCATTTCCTTGAGATCCTGGGAGTGGCAGGAGATGGCAGTTCGTATTTTGGCTACCGTTGCATGCTGCGATAACTGCTCCGACCAGCGACTGGTGGAGAGCAGTGGGGCTGGATAGTAGGTGGGATAGTCGTCCTGGTTATTGTTATTGTTGTTGTTGTTGGTCTTTCCAGCACTCGGATTTCCCGGCTTTTCACGCAGCCTGACCACACTATCAGTGTCACATTCGCGCTTATCTTGGGGCAGTATGTTGTCTGTGTCGAGGGGATTGTGTGAAAAAACATAAATAATGGGAAATCAAATTGGATGCAAAAATGAAAGTCAAATAAAACTTAAATAGAAATTAAACGGAGGTGTGTGTGTGTGAATAAATATTTACAATGGCAAATGACCAGGCTCACCACGTGTCTGTTTATCGTAGCAGATATTTGTATATATATAATGCATGTGAGTGGAAATGTAATTACAATAATTGTTGTTGCCGATGCTGATGCTGCTGCTGCCGTTGCGATTAATTAAATATTAAACATAAATGCCGTTTCTCTCCTATTCATTGCCGCTATTATTCTATGCGATTCGGAATTTCCGCCGATGACCAAAGCCAATTAAATTAATTATGCGCAAACCGTTGTGGATGCAAGTTATGTGTATAGCCGAGTGGGTTTCGAGTGTGTGTGTTTGGAGGAGTGTGTTTGAGTGTGTGAGTGTGTTAAGTGATGTCTCCATGCAGCCACCCACCTGATCCGAAAATTAAATGCACCCGCCAGAGCTCAGCAGAAGCCACCCACCCACCAATTTTCCATGTCTGCTCCCCTCGCGCTTTTCATTGCCGCCCAATTGACGTTAATTCCCCGCTTCCAGTTTCTGTACAGCAAATACACCGAGAAGCCAATTTAAGAAACAAAACTCTTGATTGAAGAATGTTTTATCCTCAAAGAATAATTACACTGGAGTAAGAAACCTTAAACTTGTGGAAAAGTTTCATTTAAAAAACTATCTCTATGAAAATATTTCTAATACAATTAATAATTACATATATTGTATATCATGGCAAGTTCATAAATATTATTAAGAGATCTTGATAACTAGCGAAAAGAAGTTAATATGGTTAATATTAATATGTTCACTTACTAACTTTTTAGGTCAAGTTTTATTTTAAATTAATATCTTCTCAGAACAAAAGCATTTCCAATCATAAATGTTGCTTCTTAAATAGTTATTTTCCCCTGTGTATATATGGATTGTGAGAGAATTTATGATGATATATATATATGAGGGGGTGGTGCAGTTTTTAATTACCCCTCATAGGGGACTGCACAATACGGGTTAAGGGCGGGCAGACAGAGAACTACCGATCTCTTACCATCGATGGCATAGTGACTGTGCCGACGTTGCTGTTGTGCCGACACCGACGGCGACGATGAGGAGGATGTGGAGGTGGATGTGGAGGTGGCCCGATGCGGGGACACTTTCAATTGACAGAACCTGGTCAGCTCGTTGAGCGTGTGAAACGATTTTTGGCGCACAAAGACCGCCGGAGAGCGCAGACAGCTGCTCATCTGGAGCTTGTGCGGCGGATTGGGGCCTTGTTGCTATCGCTGTGGTAGCATCTGCAAGAGCACACAACATTAACGACCCGATTTGGCCATGGATTAAGCCAGTTTATAGTGTCTTCACATGTGTGCAGCAGTATCGATGTATATATGCACACTCGTGAAATGAATATTCAACCTCAAGCTACCAACTTCCATCTCCCCCACTCGTTTTACGGGTTTTTGCCTCTCCGGTTGTAAACAAATGGAATGCAAACGAGTTACAGGGAAATCGGTTTCGTGATGTAATCATAATTCACGAGGATATCTGCCTTGGGAATCCCTACCCTTAAGATAGACACACACATCTGCTGCCTTCACTATTGTCTAACAAATAGTTCGTTGACCTACTTGAGAAGTGATAAAAATCCCAAATCAAAACTTGATTGTCGAATGTGCAATAAAAATGTTTGGCAAAAAAGAAAGAAATAATTCAGAACACTTTATGTAGAAAACACTTCACAGCTTTAGTGGCTTTTCAAGCTGAACTTAGTGATTAGAAATAGTATCCTTTTGTGAAGGAATTTTACGGGCAAGAACCCTATTAACTTATGGCTCACAATAATCAATTTCACCCTCCCAAAATAGATTTATGTTTTTCTCAGCCCTTCCGGGAATATCACTTTGTAATCTCTATTAGAAATTTTTTCGCGGCCACCAAATTCAGGTAGAAAAGAACCACAAAATTCCATTGAATCATTTTACCTGTCAGTTAATCCAGGTTTTGATTGTTCGGAAAGAAACATGCCTTTTTATATGAAGCACAGAAACATTTCCTGTTATGTGACAAAGTTATTTCAGCGTTTATAATAATGGGAACTGTCTTGGTTGCAGTCCAACTGTCTTGCTGAGCAGTCCAAACTTTTGGTTTCACAAACACTTTGTAAAAGCAACCAGCACTTCTATATTTAAATTTACTTTTAAATTATCTGAAAGGGTTTTGAAGGACACCTACGACTGTTCAGGTAAGGCATCGGCTTCCGAATGGTGGCCGTGCGCATGCGCGTCGTTCCATAGATTCCCTGCTGGGCATGTCTGGTAATATCCGCTAGAACGGTACCAGACTCCTCGCCGCTGAAGGTGCGTTCCAAATCAGAGTCCAGCGTAGCCTTTGGTGCCACCGTCGGACGGCAGTAGCTCTCTGGGATCTGAAGCAGCTTACAGGCCTTTCGCGGCAGCGTTGCACCCACGGGGAGAGTGGACATTAAGCGTTCGATTCCCAGTTCCCCAGAGTCACAGGATTCAGTGCTCATCTCTCGATGGAGGGGCACAAATTGGCTCTTGCCTTTCACTTTGGTGGTCAGCACAGCCACTGCATCCAGATCGCTTAGCATTCGCAGTGCCTTGGCTGCCTTGCTCTTGTCCAATGTCGAGGATCCTCGTCCGTTGCGGTTGCGCATGTGCAGCTGGCTGCGAAGCTTAAAGGGAGACTGCAGTGGCAGGGCGGGGCTATGCAGCTTGCTCTTCAACCGCCGGAACGAGGAGCGGACGGAGTGAGAGCGACGTAGGGCGGGCAGTGAGTCCTCGCTCTCGTCTTTGTCAATTTTTTGCGGCGTTGCTACTTCTGAGGTTGTAGCTGCAGACGCCTGCAGATCCTGGAGCTTGGCATAGGAACCCAGAGCCTTGCGACGCTCCATTGGTCACCGAGAACTGTTTCACTTTTCTTTTAATTTTTGTTTTGTTTTTATTTTTTTATGTGCTGTATTCTTTGAATCTGTTTTTGTACAAAGGTAAACCTCACTTAGGTGAGTTTTTCCTTTTTTTTTAGTCGCTTGGGTTTTTATGCCAGGATTTTCCGTTGTGCGCGTCGCGTGTTTCAAACTCGAACTGAGAGCAGAATCGGGTTGTGATTCAGTGAGTAACACTCACAGTTCACAGGCTCACAGGCTCTCAGGCTCTCTGTTTTCAGATATATCCCTCTCATGATCTTTATTTGTACAGCAGAGGTCATAAAAATAGTTTATAGACTTCTCTAAAAGATATATACTATTCAACTTAATACAGACACTGTTTGATACAAACTAATGCATTTGACATTGTAATATGATTGATAATATTACTCAACTGACTTAGAGGTTCTTTTAGTTTTTGTCATATATTTTCCTTCCCTAATTGTATGACCTCATCTGTATAGGGTAGCCATCCTCCCTATAAAACTCTCTCCCAACTCAGTTCTCAACGCTCTACCTACCCTTAAAGGTTGTTTTCAGGAAATATCGTTCGCCCAATCTACTTGATCCCCTGTTTACCGGACTTTGCGCTTTTGGTTTAAATTTAAACAGACCGCGATATACGAATATTTATGTACCTGCCTTCAAACTCGCTTAAGCTGCCGCGGTTCTTGAAAAATACCTAAGGATGCTGTCGTCCGGGTTTTTGTGTGTGACTCTCCGTATGTGAGTTGTATGTATGTGCGGCTGTTGTAAAATCAATTATCGGGTATTTCGAGCATCGTAAACCGACACACAAATAAGCTGGGGTCCTTGAAGGACGAATACTGCTCCTGCGGCGGTTGTTGTGTCTTCGATCCCTGGCCCTGATTTATCGACGTCTGTCGATGGCTGTGAGGTGTCGTCGTCGCCTCGGGAAATGAAGACAAATGGAACAAATGAAATTTGTGTCGCGACTAGGAGTCGTCGACGGCATACCCAGTCCCTGATTAGCTCCGAAATGGAAAACTAATTGGAACTGAGGGTTCCCCCCATCCCTCCCATCGAACCGAAACTGGTTTCATTTTTCAAATTGCTTCCAATTTATGTACGCGTGTGTGTTTGTTTTCACCTGATTCCCATTAGCTTGCTAATTTTAGACATTGTCCCATGCGAATGAATGAGAATTGTCCCCAGATTTTGGTCCACCTGTCAACAGGCACTTGACTCCACATAATACTGGGAATTAGTGTGTCTCGGAAACGGTTTATTAATATTTAAACGTTTTGGGAGAGGTCAGTGATGA